TGGGGCTCTCCCCCCCCCCACCATGGTATCAGTGATGGGGCTCTCCCCCCCTCTTCCCCCCCCCCCCCATGGTGTCAGTGATGGGGCTCTCCCCCCCCCCCCCCATGGTGTCAGTGATGGGGCTCCCCCCCCCCCCCCCCATGGTGTCAGTGATGGGGCTCTCCCCCCCCCCCCCCCATGGTGTCAGTGATGGGGCTCTCCCCCCCCCCCCCCCCATGGTGTCAGTGATGGGGCTCTCCCCCCCCCCACCATGGTGTCAGTGATGGGGCTCTCCCCCCCTCCCCCCCCCCCCCCCCATGGTGTCAGTGATGGGGCTCTCCCCCCCCCATGGTGTCAGTGATGGGGCTCTCCCCCCCTCTCCCCCCTCTCTCTCTCTCTCTCTCTCTGGAGCCGGAAATGATGTTGTGTTGAAGCCGGAACCAGGAAGTGCAGCCCCGCCCTGAGCCACAGACACACAGAGGGACACAGAGGGACACAGACCCCCACACACAGCCCCACACAGACCCCCACACACAGCCCCACACAGACCCCCACACACAGCCCCCGGAGCCGCCGCCATGATCCTCCTGGAGATAAACAACCGCATCATCGAGGAGACGCTCAGCCTCAAACTGGACAACGCGCTGACGGGGTACAGGGCCTCTCCCCCCCCCCCACCCCCCCACAGGGCCGCTCCCCCCACCACACCCCCCACCCCCCCACAGGGCCGCTCCCCCCCACACACCCCCACACCCCCCACAGGGCCGCTCCCCCCCACACCCCCACACCCCCCCACAGGGCCGCTCCCCCCCCACAGGGCCGCTCCCCCCACCACACCCCCCCACCCCACAGAGCCGCTCCCCCCCCCCCCCCATAGGGCCGCTCCCCCGCAACCCCCCCCCTGGGGACTGAGGGCTGAGGTTGGGGTCTGAGGCCTGAGGGTGGGGCTGAGGCCTGAGGTGGGGCGGGGGGTGGGGGCTGAGGCCTGAGGGTGGGGGCTGAGGCCTGAGGTGGGGGCGGGGGGTGGGGGCTGAGGCCTGAGGTGGGGGCTGAGGGCTGAGGTGGGGGCGGGGGTGGGGCTGAGGGCTGAGGGTGGGGCTGAGGTGGGGGCTGAGGCCTGAGGTGGGGGCTGAGGGCTGAGGCCTGAGGTGGGGGCGGGGGGTGGGGGCTGAGGGCTGAGGCCGGGGCTGGGACCCGGGGCCGGGCTTTTGGAGCTGATGGTTTAGGGGAAGGTCGGGGTGTGGTCCGGGTGGAGGCTGTGCTGCCTGTTCTTCCCATTCCCCCCTTTCCAGCCCCTCGACTCCCCCGCAAGTGTCTGGCAGACGGGGTCCATTGGGATCTGTTTCCCTTTAAGCGCTCGGGGACGCCGTATAAGTGCAAGTTGTTATTGTTGTTTCCCTTTAGACGTTCCAATGGATTCTGCCTCTCCGGCTCCCACCCTCTCGCCAGCCCCAGTGTTCCTGATGTCCCCGCTAACAGTCCCGGCTCCGATTTCTGTACTGACCTGCCCGCTCCCTCCGCTCAGTGGGCCCCAGTCTGACCCACATCCCTCTGGGACTCCATCCCGGAACCCCTCCACCTCGCCCCCTCCCCTCCCTTGCCTTCTTCAAGGCACGCCTCAAGACCTTCCTCTTTGTCTGTGCCTTGGGTCACCCTCCTACCCCTGCTCTCCACCTCTCCTGATCATAACCCCCAGCTCGGGTGCAGATCCTTGGCTGTCCAGCACCTTGGAGACGTCCTCCCAACGTGAAAGGCGCCGTGTAAATGCAATTTGTTGTGAAGGGGTTAATGGCCGAGTGAGTGACATTAGGGAGTCCACATTGTTCCCATTTTCTGTCATCTCAGTGAATCGTTGTCTTAAAAGCCCTGTTTCCTTGTCCCTCCCATTGATCTCAGTCTGGCTCACTCGCTGGTGCCCGCACACACACGTCTGGGTGAAAGGGAGTCGGTTGGAGTCCCGCGTTGGGGATGTGGAGCTCACAGTCCAGGCTTAATAGTAAATACAGGGAAGGCTGACTACCAGGCATGACAGCCTCCCACTCTGCCACTCCCAGCTCCCCTGCACAATACACAGCGATGGCTGGGATCAGCTACTGGGCTTGACGTTAATGTGGTGAGACACACAGTGGGTCTAGGAGCGAGGGAGGAGTGTAAACAGGAAAGTATGAACAGGACTGTAGGCCGCTCAGTGCCTCGAGCCTGTCCGCCACTCTATAAGATCATGGCTGATCTGGACCTTAACTCCAATTTACCTGTGTTATCAGTCAGGGCCCCTCATCAGTCCAGGCATTACCTGAATGGTGTCTGGCCAGAGAGAGTCTATGTAGTCTCTGGGTCAGTGAGTGAGCTGACAAACTGAATAGTTCTTTCTCTTTCTACAGCAACAAGCCTGACACAGTGGAAGTCACGTTTGCAGGTAAGATCGAGGCTCAGGGAACCTCCGAGCTGTGTTGTGCAGACAGGCATCAGCCGGGCTCATTGGGTAGCACTTGCCTCTGAATCAGAAGATTGTGGGTCCATTCCCCGAAGGTAATAATCCCTTCAAAAAAAGAAAAAACGTGAAGAAGAAATAATTTGGTCACTCAATCCACAACTGTTTGTGGGACGCTGCTGTGCCCAATTGCTGCTGCGTTTCGCCCACAAAATATAGTCACTCATTTTAGAGTATGTTCTGTGAAGCGCTTTGAGACTTCTCAAATATGTGATAAGGTGTTGTATCAAATGCAAGGATTATTATTAAGTTGGTCCTGTGAACCCATACAGTGTAGGGCCAGGCTGACACTTCAATGAAGTGCTGGAGGGGTGGGGGCTGCAATGTTGGAGATGCCGTCCTTCAGATGAGATCAAAAACTGAGGTCCCGAGGGCTTCACTATTTGAAAAGAGGAAGGGTTTCTCTTGGTGTCCTAGCCAACAATCCCCTCAAATGGGGGTGGTGGGGGGGTGGGGGTTAACATGGCTTCTCCCCAGGATCAAGTGAAAACTGTTATTTCCGCTGCAGATTTTGATGGCGTCCTTTATCACATCTCCAACCCCAATGGGGACAAGACCAAAGTCATGATCAGCATCTCCCTCAAGTTCTACAAGGAGCTGCAGGACCATGGGGCTGACGAGGTGAGAGACATGCACTGTTTGTTTGTGTGGTGTGTGAGGGTGTGGAGAGGGGGCTGTGAGCGTGTGGGAGGGGGCTGTGAGCGTGTGGGGAGGCAGAGGGTAGCTCTATTATGTCACGTACTGTAAGGCAGGTCTGGTTGAGTCAGTGCTGTCAGCCAGTGGGAATGTCAACACCAACCATCAGCTGCCCAGAGCAGTGATCAACCACATGTCTCCCCCAGTGGGCAGCCTCTGTCCCACCGGAGAGAGCCAGGGGTGACGTGCCAGTGTATAACCTGGTGTGAGCAGAGCTGAGGATTCCCCGTCTCTCAAACTGATGTAGGTGTTTGGATTCCAAAAGGCATCTGGTCACTCAGAGGCTTGTCAGGGTTTGGGATTCATTCCAACCAGCAGCCACTGAGGCCGGATCAAAGTGGAAGGGGCTAAGGAGCCGGGGAGCAGTGAGAAAGGGAGCAAGTGGGTGGGAAACTGAGTGGTGGGGAGTGGGGTGAGTGGGAGTGGGGAGAGAGAGAGTTGGGTTAGTAATAAGGAGATGACACGTTGCTGACGGGAGGAGCATGTGAGTTCCTGTGCCTGGGATTGTGAGACCCTCACAGAGTGAGGAAGTGTGCAGATCAGGGCGTGAGAGACGTGCACAGGCGTGTGGTTAGAGCTGCCGCTGTGACAAGCTTCTCGAGCTGCTGCCTTTTATGGTATGTTTACTGTATTGGAAATAATGTCGAGGTTCCTCTTAAACAGGAAGCTCTGACTCTCCATGAGTTAATCTTACGCTGAGCAGCCAGCAGAGCACACTGCAGACCACAGGCTCCCTCACTAACCCACTCCCAAGTTAATGCCCCTCACAACCCCACCCAAGGCGTTCAGGGCACCGGCCCTGAATCACCACCCACCACCGCCCACCTGGACCTCTCCCCACCGATCTCAGCCCGGGTTAGAGACAGAGCAATGTCCTTACTACACTGTCCGTCCACACGCCCAGTGAACACATTGCCTTCAGCTGGATGTCTGTGTTCTGTTACGGCCACCCTTTGCCCGAGACATTAGACCAAGCTCCTGTCTGCCCTGTGTAGATGAAGGTTGAAGGTCGAATTCAAGATCCTCATCCTCACCTACAAGGCCATTCACGGCCTCGCTCCCTCCTACCTCTCCGACCTACTATCCCCCTACCTACCTGCCCGTACCCTCCGTTCCTCTGGCTCCGGTCTGCTCCACGTCCCCCGCCCCAACCGCCCTACCATCGGTGGCCGGGCCTTCAGCCTCTCAGCCCCGAGGCTCTGGAACTCTATCCCCAGTGCCTTCGCCGCTTCCTCCCTTTCCTCCTTCAAGGCCGGTCTCAAGACCTTTCTCTTTGACCTTCAGCCTTCAGCTCCACTCTCGACTCTCTGCCCCCTCCTCGCTCCCTCCCTTCCCTCCCCTCACCCTGACCATCTCCCCCCCAATGCTCGGGTCCCGACCCAACTGTACAGCGCCTTGGGACATCCTCCCGACGTGAAAGGCGCTCTATAAATGCAATCTTGTTGTTGTTGTCCTGCAGAGCTGTTGGAAAAGAGAAGGGCATTTCTCTCTCCCAGTCCTGGTCAAAACTCCCTCAGAATAGTAACACATTTACCTCATTGTTATCTAATATCTTGCTGTATATAAAATGCCTGCCACATTTGCCTACAAATTACACAGTCATGTCAGGACAGCGACTATAATAGTTTCTTTATAGTGTGAAACATCCCTTTGAGTGGCTGCAGGAAGTAGGTCGCCAAACCACAGTGAGTGCAGACCAGAGGCTTTGATCTCTGTTTGGTGCAAGGAAGGTTTCACTGAACTTTCGTTTGAGTCCCTGGCGGACAGCAAGGCTGGTATTATGGTAAATCCTCAGCTCAGTGTACCAGCGAGCGGAGACCAGAGCTTTCCTTCCACCAGTCTCAGCTCGGATTAGAGACACAGCAATGCCCTTCCTACACTGTGTCCCCACTCCCAGGTCAGAGTTAGAGACACAGTAAAGCTCCCTCTACACTGCGTCTGTCCACACTCCCAGGTCAGGGTTAGAGACACAGTAAAGCTCCCATTACACTGTCTGTCCACACTCCCAGATCAAGCCTGGATGGAACAAATGTTAATGTACCTCTCTCTCTCTCTCTCTCTCTGTGCAGTTACTGAAGCGTGTGTATGGCACTTATCTCACATCTCCTGAAGCAGGTAATATTGGTTACTAAGCTGCTGTGTGTAAGACTCTCAGTGCTCTGGCCCTCACTCCTGTTCCCAGCCCAGTGTCTGTGTCTCCCTCAGGCTATAATGTGTCGTTGCTGATTGACCTGGAGAACATCCCGGCTAACAGGGAGGAGCTGGTGCACCAGGCCGGCATGCTGAAGAGGAACTGCTTCGCCTCGGTCTTTGAGAAGTATTTCAACTTCCAGGCCGACGGCAAGGAGGTGGAGAGCAGAGCCGTCATCCACTACAGGGAGGACGAGACATTGTGAGTGACACGGCTCAATACCCTACACTGTCCATCCCGATCAGCCACACACTCTCTCTCGCTCTCTCTCACTGTGCGTCCACACTCCCAGGTCAGGGTTAGAGACACAGTAAAGCTCCTCTACACTGTGTGTCCACACTCCCAGGTCAGGGTTAGAGACGCAGTAAAGCTCCTCTACACTGCGCGCCCACACTCCCAGGTCATCCACAGCATTGCTTAACAATAATAATCCTTGTATTGCATCTGTCACACACACTCTCTCTCCCTCTCTCTCTCTCTCTCTCACACCCTCTATCCCATTCTCTTACTGTCACTCTCTCACTGTCCCTCTCTCTCTCTCTCGCAGTGAGCAGCCTCAGTAACATCTCCCCTTGTTGTAGGTATGTGGAGGCCAAGAAGGACCGAGTGACTGTGGTTTTCAGCACAGTCTTCAAGGACGATGACGATGTGGTGATTGGGAAAGTCTTCATGCAGGTACAGCCCGCGGGGGTGGGGGGGGCTACAGCCCGCGGTGGGTGGTGGGGGCTACAGCCCACGGTGGGGGGGTCTACAGCCTGCGGGGTGGGTGGGGGGGAGCTATAGCCAGCGGTGGGGGGGGGAGCTATAGCCCGCGGGGGAGGGAGTGGGGGGAGCTACAGCCCGTGGTGGGGCGGGGCTACAGCCTGCGGTGGGGTGGGGTGGTGGGGGAAGCCTGCACATGGGGGTTGAGGAAGTACAACCCGTGGGGAAGGGGGCAGGACTTGTCTGTTCTCAGTGTGTCTCTCCCTTGCTCATGTTCTTCCCTCCCACTCCCCGAGTGTAGGAGTTTAAGGAGGGCCGCCGAGCCAGCCACACGGCCCCCCAGGTTCTGTTTAACCACCGGGAGCCCCCACTGGAGCTGAAGGACACAGACGCTGCTGTGGGCGACAACATCGGATACATCACCTTCGGTGGGTGAGGGGGAGGGGCAACCCAAGACTGTGTGTGTGTGTGTGTGTGTGTGTGTGTGTGAGACTGCGTGTGGGAGAGAGACTATGTGTGTGTGAGACAGAGAGTGCGCACGCGGGAGACTGTGTGTGTGTGCGTTTGATCCCAGGTCGGTGTGTGACCTGTGCTGTGTTTGACAGTGTTGTTCCCGCGACACACCAGCCCCAACACCCGAGACAACACCATCAACCTGATCCACACCTTCAGGGACTATCTGCACTACCATATCAAGTGCTCCAAGGTACCGGGGGGGGCGGGGTGGGTGCTGCTCACTTGCTCTCTATCTCTCTTCCTTTCTCTCTCTCACACACTCTCTGCCTCTCACACACTCTCTGCCTCTCACACTCTCTCTGTCTCTCACCCTCTCTCTGTCTCACACACTCTGCCTCTCACCCTCTCTCTGTCTCTCACCCTCTCTCTGTCTCTCACCCTCTCTCTGTCTCTCACCCTCTCTCTGTCTCTCACCCTTTTTCTGCCTCTCACACTTTGTCTGCCTCTCACCCTCTCTCTGTCTCTCACCCTCTCTCTGCCTCTCACCCTCTCTCTGTCTCTCACCCTCTCTCTGTCTCTCACCCTCTCTCTGTCTCTCACCCTCTCTCTGCCTCTCACCCTCTCTCTGCCTCTCACCCTCTCTCTGCCTCTCACCCTCTCTCTGCCTCTCACCCTCTCTCTGCCCCTCACACACTCTCTGCCTCTCACACACTCTCTGCCTCTCACACACTCTCTGTCTCCCACACTTTGTCTGTCTCTCTCAGATAATCTCTCACACACTCACATTCTCTCTCACACTCTCTCTCTCTCAGGCGTACATCCACACGAGGATGAGGGCTAAAACCTCAGATTTCCTGAAGGTGCTGAACCGAGCTCGCCCAGACGCCGAGAAAAAAGAAATGAAAACCATGTCGTAAGTATCAGCCCTCACACCGCCCGTGGGTAAACTGTGGGTAAACCTCAGGCAGTGAGGGAAGCTGTTGGCACCTGTTAATTGTGAATGAAACCTGGATTGAGGATCTTCCCCAGATCTCAGCAGTTGGATCTCACTGGGTCTGGTTGTGATTCCACTAACCCCACCCGGGGCTTGTCTCAGGGTCAGGGACAGGAGCTGCTCCAGCTATTACTCAGAGCTCAGGCCTGGAGCCTGGAGGCCTCACACACCAGCTGTTCTTGGGGCTCACATTCCTCTGTGTCAGTGGTTCAGCCTCACTGGGAATCGCAGCTCAACCAAAAGCTTTGTTGCTTCATGTCTGGGCACCCGGTCTGGCAGGGGGGTCACTAACATGGTCTGTACGGGGGTCACTGTCACAGATTTCTGTTTCTGTTTGTCTGTCTCTGAGTATCTCTGTCTGTCTCTGTGATTCTGCCTGCCTGTGCCTGTCTCTGCCTGTAGCTGCCTCTCTCTGCCTGTACCTGCCTGTCTCTGTCTGCCTTTGCCTGTCACATTTCCTTGCCTGCGCCCTGCCTGTTTGTTGGCTGCCATGTTGCTGTTTGTTCCCTGCAGGTTGCTGCGCTCCAGGCTGTTCCCTAACTATGTCCAGCAGAGTGCGTTTGGAGATAGTCCAATCGTTTCACTGCCAACACACTGGACAGACAGTGCAGTACAGCCGAGGGCGAGGGCCACTGATAGACACTCGCGTGAGTGACAGCCAGAGAGAGAGAGAGAGAGAGGCTAGTGCTGGTGCAGTAACAACAACAACTTGTATTGATATAGTGGCCCTCACACAGGGCAGCGTATCAGAGCTTGAAATCAGCAAAGATACAAAGCAGGTATCTAGGAGCCAGCGAGCTCCTGAGCAGGTCTGCGGGGGCTTCAGGTACCAGGGGCCCCTACACAGCGGCCATCTTCAAGTGTGCGGGGCTGTGGGGGGTGGGGGAGGGAGGGTGTGAGACGAGGGATGATGACACAAAGGCCGAATTGCAGAGCCGGGGCCCCAGGTGGTTCTCAGGTCTGGGCTCAGTGACAAAACTCCTGAAGCGACTCATTAGTCTGACCTCATCTGTCTCCACCTGTCGTCCAGCTGGTAACCACACACGCACACACACTGCCCCCCCCCTCCCAACCACACACACATGCTGCCCCACCCCCACCATGCGCACACACTGCCCCCCACCCCACACATGCACGCGCACACACTGCCCCCCACACACACACTGTATCCCCCACACACACAAACACATGTACTGTTCCCGTGTCACTGTTGTACAGTAAATGCTGTTAGCTTGTGGTTGGCAGAGCCTCACTGACAGTGGCTTTAAATGTGGTGTCACAGTCGCTCTCACTGGTGACTGTGGCTACTCTCTGCCGCTCGTGTCTGAATCTCACTCCATCCTCTCCCTCCACAGGGGCAAGACTTTTTCAGTCCGATAATCGGATGTCAGGCCGTTACTAGCAGGAGCTGTGACCGCACTCGCTGGGCTCGGAGCCTGTGTGGGGGGCAGTTCCCTGGCCCCCCACCGCACCCCAGAGAATCTCCGAGGCCTTGTGAGAATTTGAGCTGTGGCTCCAGCCAGACCCCAACGTGATTAAAAGCTTTGTCTCCTGATCAAACCCCTCTCTTCCCCCATCTCCCTGCTCCTCTGCTGTCGCTGGCTTCACCCAGAGCCGTGAGCCTGAGTGCAACAAATCTGCCAATAAATCGTTCTCAGACAATATAACCATGTGTTCTCCAGGCCTGCTCCATTCTCCAGCGTTAAACAATGAGGACCGGTCTCATACACATGGTCTGTATTCCCCTGAGTTTAGAAGGTTGAGGGGTTTAAAATCTAATTGAGGTGTTTAAAATGATAAAGGGGTTGGACAGTGTAGCCTACAAACTATTTCCTCTGGTGATGCGGGGGGGGGGGGGTGTTGGGAGTCTAGAACAAGGGGGGCATCATCTGAAAATCAGAGCCAGGACATTTAGGAGTGAAATCGGGGGCAGTTTTTCACACACACAAAGAGGATGGGAATCTGTAACTCTCCCTCCCCCAAAGGGCTGTAGATTATGGCTGGATCCACTCACATTGTCCAGACTGAGGTGATAGATCAGTGGATCAAGAGATAAATCCAGGGTTACGGGGCAAAGGCGGGTAAATGAAGTTGAGGCTGAATGGCCTGTTACTGTGTTCCAGACTTGCTGCTTGTCAGAAGCTCTGAGTAGGGAGAACTCTTGACAAGTATAAGCTGGCGACTGGGAGGATCTGAAAGAGAATTTAGGAGGAACAACTTCCCGCAGAGGGTAGTGAGAGTGTGGAACTCGCTGCCTGAAGCAACGGTTGAAAGATAATGTAGATATATTCAAGAGGAGACTGGACCTTCACATGAAGGAGAGGGGAATAGAGGGTGTGGGAGGGGGAGTATAAACACGGCACAGACTGGCTGGGCTGAGTGGTTTGTTTCCGTGCTGTATAGTCTGTGTAGATCTATGTAACCCAGGAAGGCTCTTTCTCAAGCCTGTCACCAAACCACCTGATGATGGGAATGGGCTTCTGCCTCACAGTCAGGTCAGCCTTCAGGCTGTCAGTATGTGGGTGACTTTGTGCACAATTCAATCAGACTGGGGTATGGCCAGTCACTGGCTGAGGAGGAGAGTGACTGAGCCGAGACTGACAAACAGGCAATTTTACCAGGAACTTTTATTCAAAAGTTTTTACACTGTTAGTGAGCAGTGAGTGTGAGGTGGTTACAGTGTTAGTGAGCAATGAGTGAGCGGTTACAGTGTTAGTGAGCAGCAAATGTGAGCAGTTACTCTTAGTGAGTGGTTAGTGTTAGTGAGTGGTTAGTGTTAGTGAATGTGAGCGGTTAGTGTTAGTGAGTGTGAGCAGTTAGTATTCGCACAAGTGTCACACACTTAACAGCTCACACTCACTCTGCTCCTCCTGTAGTGCACAGGCTAATCACAAGAATTGCACACTCACTGCTCACACTCACTCCGCCTATGTTACACACTCACTCTGTTTGACACGCAGGCAGGATATTTGAGGGCAGCTGTCCGCTCATGCTGACTTCATTGGACATTGTGAATGCTCTCGGAGATGAGACCCTCCTATGGCCAGGTAATCAAAGCTGCCCCCCCCACCCTCCCAGAGCCTCCTCCCCACCCTTCCTGATCCGTAGCCCCGCTGCCTCGCCCCCCTCCCTTGCCTCCTTCAAGACCTATCTCAAGACCTTCTTTTTCGACCGTGCCTTCGGTCACCCTCCCACCCCCCCTTGCCTTCCACCCCTGATATCTGTGAGTTGGTTTTGGATGGGGAGATGGTGTTGATGACTATTTGTGTGCTTGTCTCCAGGTCACGAGTACGCACAGGACAATCTGCTATTTGCTGCTTCAGTTGAGCCAAAGAACGTAGCTGTGTTTAACAAGTTGGATTGGGTAATAGCTCGCAGGCAAGAGAAGCTTGGCACAGTGAGTAGTTGCCAGGTCCTCGGCCTCCTCTGCCACCTCCTCCCCATCATGGAGTCCTGTAGCGTAGTCATTAGAGTGCTCACCTCACAAGCCAGAGGACCCGGGTTCGATTCCCGGGCAGGTCAGGGCGAAATCTTAGGCAAGTTTCCTTACTCCACACTGTTTACCAGCAGTAAGTAGGAACCTGGTTGTTAGTCGATTGGCGGATCGCTTTACAGTGTTAATATCTTAAAAATAACTCAATCCACGACTGTTTGTGGGAAGCTGCTGTGTGCAATTGGCTGCCGAGTTTCGCCCACAAAACACTCAGTCAATTAATGTTACAGTATATTTGGTGAAGGGCTTTGAGATGTCTCAATGTGATAAGGCGCTATATCATATGCAAGGATTATTATTATATTATAAGATGCCCCCCCGTGTCCTCACCTCCCCAGCATCATCTCACACACAGCCATGTGGTGAACGACCACTTCACATGGAGGATTGTCGGCCAAGATGCCGAGAGAGAAATTCCTTTCTCTTTCCCATGGTGTCCTGGGATCTTTAACGTCTGCCTGAACAGATAGACGGGGACTTCGTTACCATTTCATCCCAAGGACGGTACTTTCCACAGTGCGGTGCAGTGCAGGAGCGTCAGCCCTGACAATGAACTCAGAGACCACCTACTCGGGTCCTCAAACCCACCATCTTCTCACCTAGGTTTTAAGAATTGTTTTGTCCCAGTAGGCACAGTCGAAGAGGAAGATCTTCAGGCATGACCTGAAGATGGGGAAGGAAATGGTAAGGCGGTGGGATAGAGGGAGAGTGTTCCAGAATTTCAGGGCGTAGTGGCTGAAAGTATGGCCACCATTGTTAATGTAATGTATCTTCATGGTGGAACGTCACAATGAATGGTGTGCCCGGTGAGCAGGCTGGTGTGGAGGGTTCTAACTCTGTGCTGTGCCTTTGCTTTCCCCCAGTGCCCGTCCACCATCCGGGAGGAGAAGGAGTACAACCCTTTCCTGCGGACACACTGCCCCGACCTGCAGCAGGCGCTGGGGGTGCAGCGGGGGACCGGTGAGGACCCCCACGCTTTCAGGGCCCGCGTGCTGGAGGAGGTGCGCAAGCGTAAGGACTATTTCAACTGCAGATAGCAGTCTAAGCAAGCCCCCATCCCACCTCTCTGCCCAACCCTCCTCTCTGCCCCTCTCTCTGTGCCTCACTCTCTCTATCCCTCTCTCTCTGCTCCCCTCTCCCTGCCTCTCGCTTTTTCTCTCTCTCCTCCCCTTCTCTCTCAGCCCCCTCTCTCTGCCTCTGCCCCTCCCAGCCATCTCCGTGTACAGGAGAAAGTGAGCAACGGTGACACGGAGAGTTATAGGAACTGTGAACGAGACTGTGAACTCGCCATCGCCGGAGAATAGTGAGCGATACTGCCGTGAGATGTGCTTCTGCTCTGCCTCGCCACTGTCACTGTGAACATCCAGCTTGATGTGAAGACAGGAAATACCAGGTGCCAGTGTGTGAGCGGCATCTCTCAGACCTGGTTACCTGTGACGTACAACAGAGAAAGCTAAAAGCCGCATTGGTGTATCTGCCTCACTTTATTCATGGGCAAGCCAAGCCTCCAGGGCGGTGTGCTTGTGAATGTGTGGGCAGCTCTGGCAAAGATCAGTACTGGCAGTGCCCGCCTCAGTGTGCTGGGGGGGCAGTGAGGGGTTTAACTTACTGTATAATAGTAAAAATAATCCTGGTATTTAATACAGCTCCTGTAATGTCAAAATTAATCCCTCCGTCTCGCCCCATCCTCCTCATCTTCCCATCGCACCTGAAGACTTTCAATTTCACCTGTGTCTATGGTCCTCCTCAATGCCTGGCAAGCTGTTTGCTGTTACAGAGGGAGTGGAGAGAGAGTGTGCCACAGTCTGATCTGGTTACATTTACCCACTTGTCTTCAAACGACGACAGACACTAACATCTATTTGTACTGTGACACCAAGTCCAGCAATGAGGCACTCTGGAGCGAGATGCCTAATGTTCACTTCCCCCTGATGGCATTTTCTGGGCAATCCCATTCCCTCACCTGTTTCCTCACCAGCTGTTCATGTCAACAGCTGTGCAATAGCATTTAAATAGGTCCCTTAAAATATTACCCATGCAAGCACGGAGTGTGTTTATACACTGTACAGTGTGATCTCTGACTGTGAAAGGTATAAACACACACAGTGACAATCATATTGACGCAGGTACTGTGTAGTGTGATGTGAGAGTATAATGTATTATTACTGAGCTAGGAAATCAAGTTCCAGTGCGATTAATCTGCTGCTTATAAGGACATAAGAAATTCTAGACGAGAAAAAAAACAAGGTCCGTCTAATTAGTTTCCCACCTTCCTGGCGGTCGCAGAATGAGTGATTTCCTGTGTGTGGTCGCCTCTGTGGCTTTGACACCATGTTTACTATCTGCCGAGGGTGACATAAGCCTGACAATATGGTGGTGATTTCTGGGAGAGCTGTTAAGAGGAAGGACAGTTTTCCACGCAGTTTTTGAGCGGTTTATATTGGACGGTTAGTAGCAATGACCATGCACTTTTGGGATTCCTGTGTAATCTCATAACATTAAACCACTGTCATATCCTCCCCTGATGTATTTTCTTGCTGTGACGTGCTGGTGTATTGAGACATACGCCACAAGACAGAACCGCTTGCCTATTGTCACTGTTGTTTGCTTCTCACGGTCCTACAGTCCAATTCCACAACAGCAGGCCATTCACCCCAGAGAGACATTTGCACCAGTTTGTTGAATAGCAGCCCTCTGACTCCATTTTCCTGCCTTATCCCATACCCTTCAGCACCGTCCCCCCAGTGTCTCAGCTCTTTAATCAATATAATACAGCGTTACATTTGTACAGCGTTTTTCACGTCGGGAGGATGTGCCAAGGTGCAGGGATGTCCTCAAGAGTAAACAACCCAGAGTTTAGGTTGAATCAATAACAATAATATTAATCCTTGCATTTGATACAGTACCTTATCATGTCTCAAAGCTCTTCACAGAAAATACTGTAAAGTGAATTGACTGTATATTTGTGGGCGAACGCGGCAGCCAATTGCGCACAGCAATGTCCCACAAACAGTCGTGGAATGAGTGACCAAATTTTTAAAAAGGGGATTATTACCCTCAGAAAAGCGATCCACCAATCGACTAACAACCGGGTTCTTGTTTACTGCTGGGTAACCAGCGTGGAGAGAAAGGAAACTTAGCCAACGCTTGCAACGTGAGTGCTCTAACCACTGAGTTACGGTGACTGCACATTTAGACACAGAGTTAGGGTTTTTCCACTCACAATTCGGTTCAGGGACTTTGGAAGATAAGTTAATGGGCTTTTGGCGCCAAGAGAACAAAAGCTTCCCGAGGAGAGAATCGGTTTTGCTGAAAGCAGAGAAAGCATCTAAATTAGGGACGGTTTTAATCGAGTTAAAGAAGATTTTCGATTGATGGATAAGTCAGTACCAAGTGAACCTCTGTTATAAGTGCTTTCAGGACGAGGTGTCAGAAAGCTACAGCGCCTCGAGACGTCCTTCCGACGTGAAAGGCGCTATATCAAATGCAAGGATTATTATTATTATTATTACAGCGCCTCGGGACGTCCTCCCGACGTGAAAGGCGCCTCACAAATGTAATCTTGTTGTTTTATAACCGCGCGGTTCGGTTACACGGCACCGCCCTGGACGTGGGAAGGATGTCCCCGGGCGCCGGACAGTCGGGGGCTCGGGGGGGGGGGGGGGGGTCACACTGACACGTCGCCGCGTGGAATGTTTCCCTGCGATTTGCAGGTCAAGCCTTCGCCGAGTGAATCGTTGAGAGGTAAAAATAGTATAGGGGTGTGTGAAAAAAATTAGGGGAATGAACGGGATCAGAGTAAAGAGCCCCGGGGTGGGGGTGGGGGGGGGTCTGGTGTTGTGCTTGTTGCTATGGTAACGCAGGCGGTGTGAGGTCGCCAATGGAGCTGTTTGGCGTTGCCATGGCGCCCGGGGGGGGGGGGGTCCTGTGGCTCGAGCGGCGGCGGTTGGAGCGGCGGGAGCGCGAGGCGGCGGCGGACGGGCGGGCGGTGAGCAGCCAACCCGTCACACACACACCCACACACAGACACACACACACACCCACACACACCCCCACACACAGACACACACACGGCCTCCTCCTCACCTTCCCCTGAGGGCGCCGCGGGGAACCGCCTTCCCCTCGCCAGGGCCCGGCCGCCATGCTGCCCCGCGGGGTAGCCATGGTGACGGCCATGGCGGCCCATCGCCAGCCAGGCCCCGCCCCCCGCTCTCCGCCCATTGGTCGAGCGGATTGCCAATCGCCCGTCGTGCCCGCCCTCGCTCTCGCTGATTGGTTTAAACGTTGTCAATCTTAGATCCATACAATGTTCCGGCACAGGAGGCCATTCGGCCCATCGAGTCTGTGCGGCTCTTTGACAGAGCGTCACTCTCACTGACCCCAATCACCAGCTTTCCCCCCATAACCCCACAAACCGTCTTCCCCGATACCTGTCCAGTTCTCTCTTAAAAGCTGTTATGGAATCGGACTTCACTGCCCTTTCGGGCGGATCATTCCAAATTCCAACAACTCGCTGAGTGAAAACATTTCTTCTAACCTCCCCTCTGCTTCTTTTGGTGATATCTTCAGACTGTGACCACGAGTCACAGACACACCTACCAGCGGAAACAGCTTTTCCCTATCGCCTGTCGAAACCTTTCATGATCTTGAAGACCTCTATCAGGTCCCCACGTAACCTTCTCTGCTCTAATGGGAAAAGTCCTAACTTCTCCACTGTCCTCATAGCTAAGGTTCCCCATTCCTGGTATCATTCTCGTGAATCTCCTCTGTACCCTTTCCAGTGCCTTAATGTCCTTCCTGAGGTAAGGTGCCCAGAACTGGACGCAGTACTCCAGCTGAGGCCTAACCAGTGTTTGTACAGATTAACCATAACCCCTACTCTTATACTCTATACCCTACTAATAAAGCTCAGTACACCAAATGCCCTTTTTACTGCCCTTTGTACCTGCCCCACTACCTTTAATGATTCACTTACTTGAACGCCCAGATCTCTCTGTACGTTCACCCCCCCCTTAAGATTGAGCTCCAAGTCTATATTGCCTCCTATCATTTTTCCTCCCTAAGTGTATCACCTCACACTTATCCACATTGAAATCCATCTGCCACATGTCAGCCCATTCCACCATTCTGTGTATGTCTGCCTGCAGTCCGTCACAATTTTCTTCACTATTTACTACCCGACCTAACTTTGTATCACCTGCAAACTTGGAAATAGTGCTCCCTGTGCCCAAGTCCAGATCATTAATATATATTAGAAAGAGCAGTGGTCCCAATACCGATCCCTGGGGGACACCGCTGTACACCTCCTTCCATTGCGAGAAACACCCATTAACCACCACCCTCTGCTTTCTGTCACTCAGCCAGTTCCTAATCCAAACTGACATTGTCCCCTTAATACCGGGGACCTCTAATTTTTTTATTAATCTCTTATGCAGTACTGTGTCAAAATCTTATTCCGTGTGTAAAAAAAAGCAGCTTTATCCCAATTTATAACAACAACAACTTACCTTTATATCGCGCCCTTGACGCCGAGCCGGGGGGGGGGGGGGGAAGGGATGGGGAAGGTGACCATCAGTAACAATCATAATGATAATCTCTACGTTTGATACGGCGCCTTATCATCAGGTCCTTCCGAGACGTCTCGAAGCGCTTCACAGAACACACGCTGTGAAGTGCAGTGACTGTATTTCATCAGCAAAACGTCCGCAATGTCATGACGCAGCGAGATATCCATGCGTAGGCGGCACCCGCGCAAAATGTACAGCCAATTCACTTTACAGTATCATCTGTCAAGCGCTTTGAGACGTCTGGAAAGCGTGGTAAGATGCCGTATCAAATGCAAGGGATTGTTATTATGTGGAACTCACAGCCTGGTCTAGATACTCTTCAGCATAGACCTTCCTCTTTGACCGTGCCTACGGTCACCTTCCCCCAGCCCCGCCACGATCAAGCACTCTGGGATGCTACCCTGCGTGAGGGGCGCTATGTATAAATTGTTGTAATATTGCGTTCGATGCTCCACATGGCACCATGATCAAGATACTCGTTACTGGCATTGTGAAGCACTCTTGAGATGTTTTCTCAGGTGAAGGACATTGTATAAATGCAATTTCTTGTTGTTGATCAGACACAATTCTTTGGTCCTGTGTTGTAGGAAAGATAGCAGCTTGCAATGGCATCGACAGAGAATGATCAAGAAATGGATGAACAGGCAGAGCAGCCAGAACAGGAAGTACAGGCAGAGGAGGAACAAGCGGAGGTGATACAACCGGAGGAACAGACGGAGCAGTCAGAACCAGAGGAACAGATGGAACAATCAGACCAGGAGGAGGAGCCAGAAGTATCAGACAAGTTGGAGATAGCAAAGCTCCTGGCGATGGTGGAAAACGCAGCAGTGGCCGAGCAGTCAGACTTGGTGAAGGTCTCAGAGGAGGAAAAGTTCTCAGAGCAGGAGAAGTTCTCAGAGCAGGAGAAGTTCTCAGAGCAGGAGAAGTTCTCAGAGCAGGAGAAGTTCATAGAGACCTGGGTCCCTCCAGAAGAGCCAGCCAAGCCTTTGCCAAAGGCCAGTCCAGGAGCCATCAACTTCCTGGCCTCCATCAGTGAGTGGCTTCAACCCACAACCATCTGACTGAGTGAGGCCTGTACACAGTGATCAGACCCCAAGAGGGGAGGGGGCTGTTATTCTATAAATACTCCCCTGAAACATGGATTAGATTCCAGCCTGTAACTCCCTCCTACCCCAGGATTCTATATGTACCCCCCACCCCATGGAAAGGGTAAATTATCCCCTACACTTAGCTTGGTTCTGTGCAGCGAGGTAGAGCTGTCAGGACAGTGCTCTGCCTGGCCTGCCCTACTGTACTGTTGCTGTGTGTTGATAGTGCCGGAGACGGAGAGGCCCTTTATGATGTGTTAACCTGTTTTGGTTGCAGAGATCGATAATTTCAACTTACTGCTGTTCCCGGATTCCCTGGTGACTGTCACGGACGCGGGGAAGGAGGTGGGTGAGTTTAAAGTCACCCTGAAGCAAGCCCTGTTCAGAGGAGAACGTGGTTTCTACATCCAGGCTAGCAGCCATGGAACCATTGATGGGGTTCCTTGTGGCACCTCCATCACAGGTGAGACTGCGGTATAACAATAATAATAATCCTTGCATTTGATATGGCATATTAATACACCTTTGGGAAGTCTCAAAGCGCTTCACAGAATATACTGTAAAGTGAATTGATTGTATATTTTGTGGGCGAAACGCAGCAGCCAATTGTGCACAGCAGTGTCCCACAAACAGTCGTGGATTGAGTGACCAAATTTTTTTTAAAAAAGGGATTACTACTCCCGGATAACAACCAGGTTCCTACTTACTGCTGGTAAACAGAGGCGTGTGTGTGGAGTAAGGAAACTTGCCTAAAGTTTCATCCTGCCCTAGAATTGAACCCAGGTCCTCTCGTTTGCGAGCAAGTGCGCTAACCACTATGCTACAGGCACGCACCTAGCGCACTCTGTGCCGTCCTGTGGTGCAGTGGTTAGTGGTGTGGCAGGCAGGCTGGGGGACATGGAACAGGCCACATTTAAAGCCCTTCACAATCTTTCTCGTCCCTTCCTCTGTGACCTTCTAAAACTTTACCAAAACACAAAATACTGCAGACACTGGAAATCTAAAAATAAAAACAGAAGTCACTGGGAACACTCAGCAGGTCAGGCAGCATCTATGGAGAAAGAAAAGTGAGTCAATGTTTCGGGTCTACGACCCTTCATCAGAACGACCCTTTTCATGCCCCTGTTCTGACTAAGGGTCGTGGACCTGAAACGTTGACTCACTTTCCTCTCTCCGTAGATGCTGCCTGACCTGCTGAGTGTTCCCAGCGACTTCTGTTTTTGTTTTTAACCAACCTGCCTGCTCCCTGCCTGCTCGCTCTCTGTGGTTGCCCATCACCGGCCCCCTCACTATACAGCACCGAGTGACAAGTCACACACTTTGTTTTACAGGTTATGTCACCAGGCAACTTGAAACCCTGAGGCAGCAGAACCACGAGTATATTAAGGTAGTTACACCTTACCGGACACCTTTATTGTACACTAATATTGTCTGACTTGCCAACCTCTGCCGGCAGCTTTTCTCTGCTCCCTGGACAACTCACATTTACCCAGCGCCTTCACACAGGATCGCAGGGCGTTGACACGTGGAGGACATCTGCCCTTGCCCTGTGCCGTCTCCTCATCCATACACAGGCCAACATTCCCCAGTCTCCTCTCACACACTGCACCTTACACTTAGGGTTGGGGGGCTCTGGGAGTGGCCTTGGCTGGGACCTCTGGCTAATGATCAGGAGCAGAAACCCAGGCTTGTGTCTCCCCTCCCTTCTCCAGGTAAAGGATTTCCCTCTGGATAAGAAGATCATCTTCGAAAAGCAAGGCAGCATGTTTGTGGTGCAGAGAACTGTAACTGAAGGGGAGGTAAGCACTGAGGATATACACAGCACTTCGGTCATATACTACTACTACTAATCCTTGTATTTGATGCAGCGCCTTATCACCTCATCGAGATGTCTCAAGCGCTTCACAGATTATACTGTAAAGTGAGTTGACTGTATTTTGTGGGCGCCTCGCTATCAGCAGTGAATCAAAGCCAGCGATGTTATATTGTGTTATGCTGTGTGCTGACAGGAGGTGAAGAACACACAGCGGGTGTATAAGTGGGAGGACATGGAGGGGCTAATCTCGGAGGCTGCTAACCTGCTGCTGCTCCGGCTGCTAAACAAGTACGGCATCATCCCCGACAACATGCGCTTCCTGGCCCTCGACACTGAGCTCCAGCTCAGTACCTGCACCTATGTGAGTGCCACTGGACTGCACCACACAGGCGGGAGATGGTGGGATTCTGTCTCACTCGCTGACCTCTCTGTTCTCACTGACCTCTCTCGTCTCACTAACCTCACTCGCTGACCTCACTCGCTGACCTCTCTGTTCTCACTGACCTCTCTCGCTTACCTCTCTCGCTGACCTCTCCCGTCTCCCTGACCTCTCTCCCTGACCTCTCTCGCTGACAGACTAACCTAGGCACCAAAATGATGAGGATTGGGAGTGACAGGGTGGAGGTCTTTGGGATTCAGCGGACAATTCACTCGGAAGATGATCTTCCCTTGTGCTGGCAATCCTACTTCCTGGTAGACGGGTGAGTGAGTGCTGGTTCATAGGATTGCTTCAGCGCTATCCTCGGGGTGGGAGGAGGGGTAAGTGGGGTCATGTTTGGTAATGGAATGTCGGAATCAAGCCCCCCCTCTGTGACGGTCTCTCTCTCACCCCCCACTCTGTGACGGTCTCTAGTCCAGTTCCTGAGCCAGGAGGGGCCGCAGTATCCCAGGTCACTCACTGCTGATGACAGCACAGCCTGGCCCGGCTCATCAGCAGGACCAGGAAGGGCCAACCAGTCACCAGGAATCCTCCTCCTCAGCTCCTGTTAACCCTGCAAACCTTATTGGGTTAACAGGGTGGGAAAGCTTGCCAGACACTGCAAGTTTTTCAAAGGAAGTGGGGGGTGCGGGGAGGGGCTGATGCCAGGACACTAAACGCATTTAAGAACCAGGCCATGTAGATAGTCCGGCAGAGAGGACTTATGGAGGGATGAGATGGGGATAGGCTGAAGGGTTGTATTGGGGACCGAGTGTCAATGGGAATGTGATGTGTGGCTCAGTGTAAGGTCTCAGGCTACCTGCTGACAGACTTGCCCTGTGTGTTACAGGCACCTGGCGAGCCGTATTCAGGTGGGCTCCCCTGTGGTCATGCTGCTGCTGCAGAACATCACTACAGTCAGGAAAGGTACAGCTTTTGCTGTCTGTGTCCCTCTGTGACCCAGCCCCCACGCACTCCCGCATCTCTGTCACTCTCTCTCTCTCTCTCGCGCATGCTCTCATCATCACTCTCGCTTACTCTCACACTCTTATCTCTCTCAGTCTCACTGCCTGACCCTCGTCACTTCCACCTCACCACGTTACAGCCATCATTCTCTGATCCCTCCCAAATACCCCTCCCTGCCGTTCAGTGGCTCTGGATTGCACCTGGGTTGGTGATCATACCGTCCCCATGAGGGGGCTGAGAGTATCACTGAGCACATGTGTATGCTCACTGGGCGTGCGTGTGTATGTTTGTGCCCTGAGCAGACGTGTTCGAGCTGAGTAGGTGTGAATGTGTATGAACACAGAGTGAGTGTATGGTATTAGTGAGCAGTGGCTGCTGATGGTGTTTCCCTCACTGTACAGAGGAGCAGGAGCTGAAACCCACCTTTAAAAAGAAGCCACTCAATCTGGAGGAGGACATGCAGCTGTATTCCCGGTTCCTCGACAAAACGGTAACCAGGGGGCAGCGGGGCTAGGAGTGAGGGTGAGGGATGGGGAGTGGGGGGCCTTGGGGAGTGAGGGCAGGGGTGAGTGGGAGCTGGGGGTGGTGAGTGGGGAGGCTGGGGGAGTGAGGGCTGAGGGGTTGTCAAGTCCTGGGCTGGGGATGTACTGGGAAGCCTTCTGTGTGCTGTACATTACAGGAGGAGTTGAAGGCTGACCACAGCTCCTATATCAGGCACCACCCAGAGCTGAGGGCCCTGATTGCTGACTTCCTGCAGTTCCTGCTCCTCAGGAAGCCCGAGGACGTGGTGACCTTTGCGGCCGAGTACTTCACGTCTTTCTCCTCCAAGGGCGTCGAGGAGAACGTCTACCTCAGCTCCCAGAAGTCCAGTCCCTTCAGGAAAAAGATATCCTTTTAAAGTTAGTTCGGGTAAATAATAAAACATTCAATCCTGAGAACCTTTCTGGCTCAATGATGGTCAGCTCCCTGCACAAAGACAAACAACAACAAACTGCATGTATGCAGCGCTGTTAATGTCTGGAGGACAGTCCCCACCTCCCATCACACCAACACCTTGCCCATGCCCCCCCCCCCAGCACTGCCCTGCCCAGTTCCCCTCCACCCAGCAGTGCCCCGCCCTGCCCAGGTCCCCCAGCACTCCCCCGTCCTGCCCAGGGACGACAGGGCCTGGCTGGCACAGGCTGAGGCCTGGGGGAGATCAGGGGGATCAGGAGAGCAGTTTTCACACTAACTGCAGTGTCTAATTGCAGACACAGAGCACTCACTGAATAGCTCCACAACATCTTCCCCTATCGCCACCCCAGCTCTGCCTCTCACCCCTTCCTCTGAACCTAGAAATGGATGACACACACGGTCAGAGGCATTCGGCAGATTTTTTTCCATGTGAGTGTTTCCTCCAACAAAACACAATCTAGGCTGAACTCCACTACTCTCTAACCTCACTGCCTCTCCATGTGCGTATCCAATTCTCTCTGAAATACATCAGTAATCTCTCCCAGGCACTCTCACCCCCTGACCAGGTCACCATATTAGTTTGATGAAGAATGCCCTTCAACCCATTTGACGTAATCCGACCACAATATCCAGGTTGGTGAGAGCCAAAGCTTGGGGATCCCAGAGGGTATGTTGGGGTAACTGCTTAAGTCTAACCAACTAAAGCCACATAGCTTGCCATTGAGAACATTCTCTGGCAAGCTTTCCTGCTGCTTGTCCAGCTAGAACCAGGTCAAGATCCTCATCCTCACCTACAAGGCCATTCACGGCCTTGCTCCCTCCTACCTCACCGACCTACTATCTCCCAACTTACCTGCCCGTACCCTCTGTTCCTCTGGCACCGGTCTGCTCCCCTTCCCCCGCCCCAACCGCCCTACCATCGGTGGCCTTCAGCCTCAGCCCCGAGGCTCTGGAACTCCATCCCCAGTGCCTTCGCCGCTTCCTCCCTTTCCTCCTTCGAGGCCAGTCTCAAGACCTTTCTCTTTGACCGTGCCTTCAGCTCCCCTCTCGACTCTCTACCCCCTCGCTCTCTCCCTTCCCTCCCCTCCCCCTGACCATTTCCCCCCTCCTCGCTCCCTCCCTTCCCTCCTCTCACCCTGACCATTTCCCCCCAATGCTCGGGTCCTGACCCAACTGTCCAGCGCCTTGGGACGTCCTCCCGATGTGAAATGCGCTCAATAAATGCAACCTTGTTGTTGTAGAACCACCCTATCTGTTAGAGCTTTGGCTGCAAGGCTAACAGGAGCTGAGTAGGAGGATTGCCTGCCCCCAGTGACTGGTCAGCCCGTCCAAATCCTGCTGATGAGTCAGGCTGGGCTGTGCTGTCATCAGCAGTGAGTGCCCTGGAATACTTTGGCTCAGGAACCGGACTAGAGACCGTCAGAGACTTGGTTTGATTCCAACATTCTGTTGCTAAGCTCATCTTGTAGCCAGTTTAGCCCTGAGGAGACACTACTTACCCACCCACCTCGAGAAGGACCAATCCTCTCGAGTTAGTCTTGATCTCAAGCTTCTCCCCCCCCACCCTTCGAATTGCCGACCAGTGGATGGAGTTTCTCACCATTATTCCCTCTCAATATGGATAGCACCTCACTCATATCACCATCAATCTTCTCTTCTCCAACATGTGGAGCCCTCTTAACTACTGCTCGTAGCTTTGTCCTCTCATCTCCTGCCTCAGCCTGTGACACTCCGCTGCCCCCCACTCCTCCTTGTCTGAGAGCCTGTCTCTGTCTCTCTGACCAGCCACCACTAGGAATCCCGACCCTCACATGCACACAATAATTTAGGGAAGCCCGCTGTATCATGCAAGTTGCTTTTGTTTCTACCTTGTGTTGCTGATAATATTACCATCAGTTACTTCCTCAGCGATGGGCTGGAGCAGGTCCTGGCTTAGCCAGTTTGGGTGGAGATGTCACTGTGTGTAAGGTCAGCCCAGTGACAATCCAGAGCTTCCCGTCTGTCAGACGATGGGAGGTCACATACATCATGATCTCCACAGCCTTTATATAAGATATGGCAATTGGTGTCACTCAATCCCAAAAAACTAGTGTCACTTGGTCCACTCCAAACAATGAGCTCAAGATTTAGCTGGGAATGTAAGATAGAGAATGTGGGAAGAGTCCGACCAGAGGGTGTGGGATGATACTAGACCAGGAGATGGTTAATTCAGGTAATGAAGAAATTAGAAAGAGCCACCTCACACTTCAGGAAGAGGTTAATGGTGGAGGGCAGAATCAGATCCCAAAGGAGAGGCCATCAGAGCACAAATAACCTGCACCTTGTGTTGGTGTCAGCCTGGCTCAGTCATTCACTCACTCTCACTTCCGAGTCAGGAGGTTGTGGGTTCAAGCCCTACTTCTCCAAGGGCCTTTGAGCTCTGTGTCAGCTGACACGAATGCAGTTCTGAGAGAATGCTGCAGTTAAAGATGCCATCCTTCAGATGGACATGAAACTGAGATCCTGTCTGTACCTAAAAGATCCCATTGATTTTCAAGAGAAGGGAGATTCTCCCTGTGTCCTAGTCACCCACCCCACAGATAAACTGGGGGCTTGCTGGCTCTGTAGGGCGTTGCTATGTACAGATTGGCAGCTATGAGGCTCTTTGAGACATTGAACAATGATATGAGACATTACAAATTGTATGATTATTAATTAACTAACAATAAATAGTGATCTCGAATGAACTCTTGCTGCCCCAGTCCTGAGGTTCAGCACACGACATCAGGTACAGAGATCTCAAGAAATGGCTGAAGATGGTCCAAAGGTATTGACTGCCGCTCCCTCTCCATTAACATCCAGACACCAATAACTCTGTCTTACTGGCTCTGAGTCCCCAAGATCAATGAATCTCCTTTGCTTTTCCACCTGAAGCCCCTTGTCCCTTACTAATCTCCTTCTTCCCATCACTCTGCTCCCAGCACCTTACTAATCTCTTACCCCACCCAGTTACTCACTCCTTGTCTCTGCTCGGGAGCCTGTGTTCAAATGTTAAATGTACAAAATTTACAATAGCCCAAAGGGGTTTTCATTTACTATCATTAAAGTTGAAATAAAATGAACGTGATCATTTTACTCAGTGCAGTACACCCCACACAGTGTGACAAACAGAGTAAAGCTCCCTCTACACTGTGTGTCCACACTCCCAGGTCAGGGTTAGAGACACAGTAACACCCTCTACACTGTGCGCCCACACTCCCAGGTCAGGGTTAGAGACACAGTAAAGCTCCCTCTACACTGTGTGTCCACACTCCCAGGTCAGGGTTAGAGACACAGTAACGCTCCTCTACACTGTGTGTCCACACTCCCAGGTCAGGGTTAGAGACACAGTAAAGCTCCTCTACACTGTGCGTCCACACTCCCAGGTCAGGGTTAGAGACACAGTAACGCTCCCTCTACACTGTGTGTCCACACTCCCAGGTCAGGGTTAGAGACACAGTAACGCTCCTCTACACTGTGTGTCCACACTCCCAGGTCAGGGTTAGAGACACAGTAAAGCTCCTCTACACTGTGTGTCCACACTCCCAGGTCAGGGTTAGAGACACAGTAAAGCTCCTCTACACTGTGTGTCCACACTCCCAGGTCAGGGTTAGAGACACAGTAAAGCTCCTCTACACTGTGTGTCCACACTCCCAGGTCAGGGTTAGAGACACAGTAACGCTCCTCTACACTGTGTGTCCACACTCCCAGGTCAGGGTTAGAGACACAGTAAAGCTCCTCTACACTGTGCGTCCACACTCCCAGGTCAGGGTTAGAGACACAGTAAAGCTCCTCTACACTGTGTGTCCACACTCCCAGGTCAGGGTTAGAGACACAGTAAAGCTCCTCTACACTGTGTGTCCACACTCCCAGGTCAGGGTTAGAGACACAGTAAAGCTCCTCTACACTGTGTGTCCACACTCCCAGGTCAGGGTTAGAGACACAGTAAAGCTCCTCTACACTGTGTGTCCACACTCCCAGGTCAGGGTTAGAGACACAGTAAAGCTCCTCTACACTGTGTGTCCACACTCCCAGGTCAGGGTTAGAGACACAGTAAAGCTCCTCTACACTGTGTGTCCACACTCCCAGGTCAGGGTTAGAGACACAGTAACGCTCCTCTACACTGTGTGTCCACACTCCCAGGTCAGGGTTAGAGACACAGTAAAGCTCCTCTACACTGTGTGTCCACACTCCCAGGTCAGGGTTAGAGACACAGTAAAGCTCCTCTACACTGTGTGTCCACACTCCCAGGTCAGGGTTAGAGACACAGTAAAGCTCCTCTACACTGTGTGTCCACACTCCCAGGTCAGGGTTAGAGACACAGTAAAGCTCCTCTACACTGTGTGTCCACACTCCCAGGTCAGGGTTAGAGACACAGTAACGCTCCTCTACACTGTGTGTCCACACTCCCAGGTCAGGGTTAGAGACACAGTAAAGCTCCTCTACACTGTGTGTCCACACTCCCAGGTCAGGGTTAGAGACACAGTAACGCCCTCTACACTGTGTGTCCACACTCCCAGGTCAGGGTTAGAGACACAGTAAAGCTCCTCTACACTGTGTGTCCACACTCCCAGGTCAGGGTTAGAGACACAGTAACGCCCTCTACACTGTGTGTCCACACTCCCAGGTCAGGGTTAGAGACACAGTAAAGCTCCTCTACACTGTGTGTCCACACTCCCAGGTCAGGGTTAGAGACACAGTAAAGCTCCTCTACACTGTGTGTCCACACTCCCAGGTCAGGGTTAGAGACACAGTAACGCCCTCTACACTGTGTGTCCACACTCCCAGGTCAGGGTTAGAGACACAGTAAAGCTCCTCTACACTGTGTGTCCACACTCCCAGGTCAGGGTTAGAGACACAGTAAAGCTCCTCTACACTGTGTGTCCACACTCCCAGGTCAGGGTTAGAGACACAGTAAAGCTCCTCTACACTGTGTGTCCACACTCCCAGGTCAGCGACAGACCAGGTTTGCTTTCCTCTGCTTTTCCTTCCATATTCCTCTGACCTTGGGAGAGAGGGGTAGCCATTGTGCATGTATTTCCCCCATTCCTTGCTCCACCCCACTTCCCTCATCAATGAGACACGGAGACATGATGGTAACACAGATTTATTACTCAGCTCCTGGCGCTGGTGACCTCGGTGTTTGGCAAAGGAACATGTCTTGTCGGTAAAAGCCAGAAAATGGCACTTGTGGCACTGAGGCGTGTAAGTGCCGACACTCGCTTCCAAACGGACGGAAAGAACCATAAAATTTGCACGAGAAAAGCCTCACAATTATTTACAGCAAATCAGACCATCTCCACCAACCATCTCACTCTTAATTACATTAACAGAACCATTTCACCAAGTCGGAGATATTCACAAAACTAATAGCCATCCTCTGATTAATCATAAATATAAAACTCTTCCTATCTTACACTCACACACACACACACAGCGACAGCGACAGCTGCCTCTGAGCAAAGTACAAACAGCCAACCATTGGCTTCAAGTGGAGTTTTTCGGAACTTTCTGTCCCACGTCAAAACATTAAATAACGAGGTTTCTCCATAAATTCTTTGTTTTTATAAAATGTTTCGATGATGTCAAGAAAATCTCACCAGAGAAACAGCAACGAGCAAAACTGGTGCTGCCCCCCCCCCAGCACATTGTAACACTGCCCCTTGTGAAGGCGATACCTATATAAAATTGTTAAGTTGTTGTGCAGGGAACAGCTGGCAGGGAATTTAAGGCAATTGTTCAAATCCTGGGGGTTGTGGGGAAGTGGGCAATGGTCAGGTGATTCAACTGTGAGGTGATTGAAGTTTATTTGGGGTTGGGGGGACAGGGGCAGGGAGTCAGGTCCATGACCAGCTTGTGTTCCATATCCCAGCCTTTGACATACTCAGGTCAATGGTTACTCCCTCTCCCATTGAGGGAAACCTAGAGATTAAATAAGCACCTCTCTGTCCTCAACCTGGCAGGGGCCGAGACTTCCCCCCCCCCCACCTCCACCGCACACACACAGCACCATCATCACACAACAATATACATTGCAGTCGGCAACACGACAATACAGATGGCAGCCGCACACTATCACCTGTGTCAGGGCCATTGAGACCCTGTGAGAGGAAACCTCACCCCACACTGGCAGGTACCAATCCAGGTAGGAATCCGCTTGTTAGGCAATTAGCAGATCATTTTCCGGGGATAATAATCCCTCCCAAATAAAGAATAATTGGGTCACTCAATCTACGACTGTTTGTGACACCGCTGTGCGTAATTGGCTGTCGTGTTTCGCCCACAAAATTCAGTCAATTCACTTTACGGTATATTATGTGAAGTGCTTTGAGACGTCTCAACGACGTGATAAGGCGCTGTATCAAATGTACGTATTATTATAATCCAAGCCAACATGTGGCCTTTGTAAACATGGAACAGACTGGACGTCAGATAAACTCTCCCACCCCCATCAAATCCCTGCACAGACCAAACCAATCCCAATCACCTGACAGATTGTACCAGCAAATTATTTTCTGACATTTTCTGAACCCAGACGCTAAATCCCTTGTTTCCCCCCCAACCCCCGCGCACTTCCCCATTCACCCTTTAGAATCGATTTCCTCCCACCCACCATTCGTTTCTCCTCAATACTCTCACCTTCTCCAAGTTCAACATTTAATGAGTCTCTGTTCCTCTCACAAGCTTCTGTTATGCTCTTCACATGGCCCCGCACTCTCTGTTAGGAGCTCGTTCATTTACAGGGTGAAAAGCTGGGGTCCACTCCCTGGGGGACGTCACTTGTCGTTCTGCCAATCAGGGACGTTCCTTTTGTAGATCAAACTTTGCCTCCCTCCTGCCAGCCAACACCATCCTGTGTGTGTGTGTGTGTCACTGGATTGAGTCTGTGTGCCAGTGAGCTCCCTTATGGTACTTTATCGCTGGGTGTGACTTCTGTAATTCACATCCATCCTCCATCAGATCAATGGCTTGGGGTGGCTCCAACGTGATATTCACTACACTCGGTGTCCAGATGGGTGGGAGGAAGGGGGGGAGGGAGGGAGGAGTGAGGGAGTGAAGTTTATTGATCCCCAACCCCAGTGAAGGCAAACACTCAGACACTGCCAGCATGAAGATGCTCCATAAATACAAGTTGTTGTTGTCGGAGCCTACCCCAGTCACACCCTGGTTTAGCCCCAAGGCCAGAGTGAACACTAACATCCTCACTGACAGACTGACACAGCCCCACCTATCCTGCAACACTGAAACACCAGCATCGTCAGCTCCTCAGTCAGCCCCCCACAATCTCACTGACCCCTCCCCAGCGAGTGGCAGTGACTCTGATTCTGTGTGTGGGGGATCTCACTCCTCTCTCCCCCTCCCCCCCGCTGTGAGGCAGTCTCACTCCCCAGAGCTGTCTTGTTGAGGGCAGGTCAGTCGCAAACGTGTGCGGTGGGGGGGATCTCAGTTACAGGCTAACATGCAGCGGAGAGAGGGAGAGGAGATGTGTGGGGGAGGAGATGTGCGGGGGAGGGGGTTTAGCCACGCAATCAGACAGTTCACAGTTGTGGGGTAGACATAGCCAGATGTGGGGGTTCTCTGTCACAGATGTGGGGGGGAGGGTCTCAGTGTGGGTGGGATGGGGGGAAGGGATTGCTCCTGCGACCCCTGCCCTGGGTTAGACTGGCATGTGCATCTCATTGTACTCATCATGTCCATCTTCATCAAAGTTGGGCCCCAAATCGTCCGAGTCCAGCTGAGGAGAGGAAGAGGGGAACTTTAACCGGATGGAACGGAACCACATATCTGTGCACAGCTTAAAATGTTCCCCCTCCCCCACCCACACTCTGGGAATGTTGGGATGGGGGGGGGAGGGTAAATGCTGGAATCTAACCAGCTAAAACCACACAGCTTTCCATTGATATCGCTGTCTGGCAAGCTTTCCCACTGCTTGTCCAGCGAGGACCACCCTCCCCATTAGGGCTTTGGCTGTAGGGTTACCAGGGGCTGAGGGGGAGGATTCCCGGCCCCCAGTGACCAGTCAGCCCTTCCAGGTCCTGCTGATGAGCCGGGCCGGGCTGTGCTGCCATCAGCAGTGAGTGCCCTGAGATACTGCAGCCCCTCCTGGCTCAGGAACCGGGACTAGAGAACGTCACAGAAGGTGGGGGCTCGATTCCCACGTTCCGTTGCCAAACATGTCACAGACCTCATGTCCACCCCCACCCCCAACTCACCGCCTTCAGCTCCCGGTCCTGGAATATGCGTGTCAGCAGGAAGTGGCGGAGCGGAACAGTGAGGATGAGGATGAAGGGGAAGGCGAGTGAGGCCACAGTGGACTTCACTACCCACAGCACCACGATACACGCCAACTGGATCCCAGTGAACAGATTCATCCTCCAGGTCTTCACCTGAGCCAGAAACAGGACAGGTTGAGAGGGGGGAGGGGCAACGAGGGCCAGGCAAGGGGGGGCAGCAAGGGGACAGAGCGGAGAGCCGAGGTGGCAGAGCGCCTGGGGGGAGGGGCATCGAGGAGAAAGGGGTGATAAGGGGGCCGAGGGGGAGAGGTGACAAGCGAGCGAAGTCACCCAGGAGGGGGGCACCGAGGGGAAGGTACCTGTGTTATCGTGGCCACTGGCACTGACCTTGGTGACGAAGGTGTGGTCAGGGTGGTGTTTGGTCGGGGTGAACATCAGTAACGTGCGCTCGTACAGCTGGATGCCGGTTAGAGATGTGACACCCATATACAGGAATATACCAAACAGCACGGACAGGGGGATCAGCCGCAGTATCTCCCCCATCACAATGGACAGACCTGTAAACACAGCCCAGTGTCAGGTACACAGCAACACTCCCTGTATACTGTCCTCCACATTCCCGGCTCCCTCTACACTGTCCTCCACACTCCCGGCTCCCTCTACACTGTCCTCCACACTCCCGGCTCCCTCTACACTGTCCTCCACACTCCCGGCTCCCTCTACACTGTCCTCCACACTCCCGGCTCCCTCTACACTGTCCTCCACACTCCCGGCTCCCTCTACACTGTCCTCCACACTCCCGGCTCCCTCTACACTGTCCTCCACACTCCCGGCTCCCTCTACACTGTCCTCCACACTCCCGGCTCCCTCTACACTGTCCTCCACACTCCCGGCTCCCTCTACACTGTCCTCCACATGCCCAGGTCAGGGTTAGAAACACAGTAAATTTGAGGGAATGGAGTGAGAGAGGGGGAGGTTGATGGGGGTAGGGAAGGGGTGATGGTGGCAGTGGGGTAGAGATAATGGGGGTGATGAGGAAGAGGGGGGAGTGAGAGCGAGGGAGAGTAAGGGGGTGACGGAGTTGGAGTGAGAGGGATGGGGAGGTGGGTGGAAGGAGGGGTTGATAGAGGGGGATGAGGAGTGACAGGGGAAGGGAAGAGAGGGAGGAGGGAATTCCGGGGGGGGGGGGGCAGTGGTTACGGTGGGGGAATGACCCACCCACGAGGCCAGCGACCAGGATGCCAGTGATGCGCTGCTCCTTGACGTCCTCGATCCTGGGTTTCTCCCCCGGAGCCACGGCTTTGCTCATTACGGTCAGTGCGTTGACATGTGTGACTGAGCGCACGGTGGCTGCTGTCAGCCAGGGCAGCCCGAACAGGGCACACAGACCCCCCATCACCCCGATCAGCAACAGGTCCAGGTGGAACCCAGACCCTCTCTCCAGCTTCCTCTCCTTCTTACTGACGATCAGCCTGAAGACAGAGAGTGAGCGAATGACCACAGTCAGTGTGGGGTGTGAGACTGCCCCCATCAACATTGCCCTTTCAATCATCTTCCCCCACCCTCAGCTCTTCCCCCCCACTCACCCCCCCCCCCCCCACCCTAGTGGGCAGCCCTTGACCCTGGCGGTGCTGTGGGCAAGGGGGGATCAGGGGGTAAGGCCAGGCTGTGGTGACTCACGTGGTGATGTTGGTCTCCATGAAGATGAGGATGAAGACGAGGAGGGCAGGAATGGCGGAGGCAAACATCATCCACATGGGGAAGCTGTGGTCTGTCCCCAGGGGGTGGATAAACCAATCCCGCTTGTCAGGAGATGTGACCGAGAAACCGTTAGGAACATTTAGTTTCTGAGGGGTGAAAAGGCAGAGGTTAAAAGTTACCGAACGAGTAGGGTGGTCCTAGCTAGACAAGCAGCAGGAAAGTTTGCCACACATAGCTCTCAATGGCAAGCTATGTAGTTTTAGCTGATTAGACTCCAGCAGTTACCCCAACTCATACTCGAGGGTTCTCAAATGATTTCGCCCACAAAATATACAGTCAATTCACTTTACAGTATATTCTGTGAAGGATTATCCTGTGAAGCGCTTTGAGATGTGTCGACGACGTGATAAGGCTCTGCATCAAATGCAAGGATTATTATTATATTATTGCCAGCCTGTATCTGATACTCCCCAGAATCAGATAAGTAGGAAGCAGCCCTCTGGGGAGAGTATATTGTATTCCAGACACAGGGGACTTGTGTCAGTGGGACACAAGGAACTCTCAAGTCTGTTTCAGATTGTGTTAAGCATGGTGATGGGTTACCGCGCTCAATAATTAAGCGTGTAGGAAGATGGAGGTGAGTGAGTGAGAGACGGACAGAGGGAGGAAGGATTTCTGCAGAGCGTAAGGGTTGAGAGCTTGGGAAGAGGAGTAACTACAGAGGAACATTGTGACTGACAGTGGGAGGGTGTGTTGGTGGGAGGCAGTACCTGTGTGTAGGTGTCGGTGATGGCGTAGTCCAACAGCACCATGACGAGGATGGCGATGGGAATTCCAAAGTCTCCGATTATCCTCCGGGCCTGGAGAGACACAGCAATCTCAGTCACTACACCCTCCCTGACCGCAGTGGGGAGTGGGAACTCTGTGTGTGCGTTATTGGGGGGGGGGGAGAGGGGAGAGAGGAGCCATGTGCGGGGGAATGAGCAGCGCTCCCTCCATTCCCCAGTATTGATCGTTTCTGATCATTAATGGTTATTGACAGCTCAGTTCCGGCCTCCTGGGGGGGTGTCCATCACATTACATCACTATCAGCCACACCCTGCTAGGCCCCGCCTCCCACCAACTGACTACACCCCCTAGTGCCGCCCTGTCAGGCCGCGCCTCCTTGACCCACCCTGCTAATTGTCCCCGCCCACCCTGCCAACTGGTGTTGACTCCCCACCTTGACCCCACCTCCCCAATCCTGGCCCCACCTTTGCCCCTGGCGCCCTCCCACAACTTCTTCTACCTTGAAACCTGTCTCAGTGAGGAGAGTTTGGGGGGGGGGGGCGGTGTGAGGCTGAAGACACGGGCTTGTGGACACTCACCTTGCCCCCCAGGAAGCGACTGTTACGCAGTTTCCTCATGAAAAAAGCCACAAAGAAAGTCCCGCACATCATGAGGAGGGAGAGCAGGGCCGTGTTGGGCTGCATGCCCACCCCGGGGGTCTCCGGGCTGCTCACCGGCTCAGAGTGGTTCATGCTGTGACCCGGGGTGACGGCGGGATAGGTCTTCAGCAGAGGGTGTTCAGCAAACACCTGGGGGGGAGAGAGAGAGAGAGCAGCCAAGTCAGCCCCCACTCACCGTCTTAGGAGAGCCCTCCCCAACCCAGGTCAACGCCCAGTGCCCCGAACCCCAGTCAGTCCACCCCACCTCCGCCGCTGCAAGAGGTTAGGGAGGGGGAGGGGAGATGGAGGGAGGGGGAGGGGAGATGGAGGGGCGAGGAGGTGGAGGGAGGGGAGGGGGAGGGGAGATGGAGGGAGGGGAGGAGAAAGGGAGGGAGAGAGGGAGGCTCTCACCTTGTAGAGCTTATAGAAGGTCTCGTAGATGAAGATGATGGAGATGAGGAAGGCGAAGATCTCCTGGGTGAAGGGGGTGATGTAACGCACAAGGAAACTGCCCTCAAAGGCCACGGTGATTACCACAATCACCATCAGCCACAGCCCGATCCACACCCGGCCTGTCAGGTACTCCATCCGCTGCGCCTGGCAGAACTGTGGGCAAGAGGGACTAAGCTGTACTCACACCATCGAGACTCTGTCCTACTGTCCCCGACTCCCCAACATCACCTGCGCCCCCCACTCCCCACCCCCAACCTCACCCCATCCCCGCCTGGCCCCCGTATCTGGCCCCTGCCCAGCCCCATCTTCACCCCAATCTTAGTTACTGTCCTAATCACACCAGGAGCTCGCTCACTGTGTCTCTCTCACTGTGTGGCAGGACTTGTACCTTGTAAAACGCCTCCTCGAACACGAGCAGGGGACCTGAGAAACCGATCACCAGGAGCGGCTGAGCTCCCAACAGGCAGAAGATGATCCCAAGCACCGAGGTAGAGATGATTAACTCGGACACGCCAATCAGCCCCTCCGTCTTCTCCCCTGTAAACAAAGCATGGACATGGGTCAGCAGGGAGATCAGAGGTCAGTCAGTAACCCACCCTCACAACAACACTACACTTACACAGCGCCTTGTACATCAGGAGGACATCCCAAGCCGCTGGATAATCAAGGATTTGGACCTGAGCTGAGGGTTGGGATCAGGAGGGATGGAGGGCAGGGAGGGTGGGGGTAGGAAGGTGACCGAAGGTGCGGTCAAAGAGGAGAATCTTGAGACAGACCTTGAAGGAGGCAAAGGTTTGAGTCAGCAGAGAGGCTCTGGGTTGGAGTTCCAGAAGGTGGGGGCAGAGAGGCTGAAGACCCGACTGCTGTCAGTGGAGCAGGCCAGTGCCCGCTGAGCGGAGGGATTGGACAGGTAGGTGTGGTGTTAGCAGGTCACAGAGGTGCGAGGGCTTTAAAAGTGAGGACAACGATTTTAAACCCGATTCTCTGGGGGATGGGGAGCCAGTGGAGCCGGGCGAGAATGGGGTTGATTGGCTCACGGAGCCTGGTGCAAGAGAAGACATTAGCTGCAGAGTTCTGAAGTTGTGAAGGGAAGAGATGGGAAGTCTATAGACAGTCCGGGATCACTCTGCTCCCGGTCTCTGCTCTTTCCTTTGTGTTTATTATTTCTGCTCAGTGAATGATGGAGCCCTGAGAGAGACTAACCTGCTCTCCTCCATCATCCACAGGTCACAATGACACAGACAGAAGGTTCAGTACAACAGGAGCCGTACCTAACAACCCTCCGAAGGTGATGGCAGGCGACAGAGCAGCAAAGTAGATAAAAATGACAGCAGCCAGACACTGGGTGTGGAGAGCATCTCGAATGTCATTCAGGTACTTGGGATATCGTCGCTTGATATCCCTGTAAACTCCCCCAAACGGCATTCCTGTCCTCTCCAGGGGATCATCCTCCATCTCCTCCTTCTCCTCACCGGGATCTGGGGAAGAGGTGAGAAATGGAATGTCTAAGGTTTTCCACAGAGTAGTGATTAGAGCAGTCGTCTTGCAAGCAAGAGGACCCGGGTTTGATTCCCGGGCAGGTCGAAACCTTAGGCAAGTTTCCTTACTCTGTTTATCTAGCAGTAAACCCTGGTCAAAGTGACAAATGGCATTTTGTCCATCTGTGACCAGAGCTCCCTCAGCCTCTTCGTCCTCTTTGATCTCTCTGCTGCCTTCGACACTGTTGATCATTATCCCCCGCCTCTCCTCTCCTCTCACCTCAACATTCACGGCTCTGCCCTTGACGGTTCAGATCATACCTCTCACACTGCCTCCACTTCATCTCCACAAACGGTTTCTCCTCCAGCCCCCGCACTGTCTCGTGCGGTGTTCCTCAGGGCTCTGTCCTTGGTCCCATCCTCTTCAATAATACCTGCTTGTTAGTCGATTGGTGGATCACTTTTCAGGTGTAATAATCCCTCAAAAAAAATCTGGTCATTCAATTCACGACTGTTCGTGGGACACTGCTGTGTGCAATTGGCTACTGCGATTCGCCCACAAAATATACAGTCACTACACTTTGGGCTCAACAAATTGTAGTTACCTAATGCCTTTCACGTCAGAAGGGTGTCCTGAGGTGCTACACAGTTGAGGGTTTGCACCTGAGCAGAAGGTTGGATTTGAGAGGTGTGGGGGCGAAAAGGGTGGGAATACTGAGGTGGAGTGTCATCCTGACTGTGAGCTCTTGTGCCCAACATGGGCTCGGTCACACATCCTATTAACACAAAGCTCAGGGCAAACCTCTGTGTCAAGTTGTAAAGGGGGAATATAGTGTGTAACATGGAAAAATAATGCCCAGTGTTGAGATGTCTGAGCATCATTCAGTACCTTTGAGCAGGGACAAGCTGCCCTCCTTCACTGACTTCCTCTGGTCCCGCTCCTTCCTCTTCCTCAGCATCTCCTTCTGGAACGAGGCCACGGACTTGAGCAGGTCCTTGCCTTCCACTTCGGATGGTGGGATCACAATGCTGCAGTCCAGGAACTCATTGATGGCATTGAGGAGATCCTGACGGGCATCAGCCATGTAGGCAGCTTCATGGAAATGCTGTAACCCAGGAAGCCATGTTATTAGTGCCTCACCGTAGCCTGCTCGACCCTCACCATAGCCTGCTCGACCCTCACCGTAGCCTGCTCGACCCTCACCGTAGCCCTGATGTAACTCTGAGCTCAAGTACTCCCAGCCTAAACGGGTCTCTGTGTGAATCACTATGAGTCAACAAGACCCAGCTCAAGTCAACACAAATCTTTGTGGGTCAATGTGAGTTAATCAAGTGAACGGGCGTCAAAGGACCCTCACAAGGGTTAATAATTGTCACCGCAGGTCAACAGAGGTCAACAAAGGTCAATGAGCGAAAGTCAATACTGCATTGCAATAAGGTGTGACGCAGATAGGGGTGACGGGAGGGCATCTCCAGGCAGGGACAGACTTACTTTATCTGACATCAGGGTTGAGATAGAGCGCCCGATCTCGTGGTAGTCCAGGTTGGATTGGATGGGTCCCAGCAAAACAAAGATGAACCGGACTGGCACAGGAACCTCCAGCACAGACTCCAGGAAGACGCCCTCACTGAGTCGAACGAAGGCCATGGCAGGCTGCTCCAGGAACTCCACACTGCCTGGAAGGGAGAAAGTCAGTGAAGAGACACATGGAGCAGGACTGGGCTAAGGCCACAGAGGGTGAAAGCCTCAGTGGGTGGGATCACAAGCGGCCGGTTGTCACTCACACTCAATATCAGTTCCACCAAAACGTACCCACTAAAACCACGGTGGCCTCTGCGTTTTCCGGAATCTTCTCCAGTAGCTTGAGGTCTGCCCGGTGGCTCTTTTTATGCCCCTCAGCCGTGTGGCTAGTTATACTTTTCTGAAATAAAGTTTGTGAATCAGTGATGCTGGGGGAGTCCACCCCCCACCCCAATTCATACCCACACAGCTCCTCCCACACACACTCAGCCCCCACTCCACCCACACACCACACTGGGGTAATACTCACCCCCATTAGATCGAGATGTCCCACTTTGGGAACGAGGATTGTCTCCTCAGACAAGCTCCTCTCCTGAAACTCTCTGGACCCCAAATTGTCAAAGGTAATGTGAACCTGAATGCTGTATTCACGAACCCCCCCCCCCTTCCCCGAGCAGGTGCAGGTGACGGGAGGGCCTCTCTGGCAGGGCAAGCCCGGTCTGAGACTATTGACCAGAGGCTCAAGTGATTCCAGTGTCTCCCCTTCCTCTGTGTGAGGGCAGATCTCAGTGTGTGTTTGAGGGCAGATCTCACTCCTTAGGTGGGAAGTGTTGCAATCCCAACCTCAACCAGCAGAGGGCAGACAGCACAGCTGAAGCCAAGAGCTCAACACGCCCCATGGGTAAGATTTGGGTTATGGTAACAACACAAGTCAAACTCAACAGGAGATAAACTCCAGCTTTGCTTTAGCTCCAGGAGTAACTGATGTGAACAGAAACTACACTTGATCTTAGCCAGAAGGCCGAGTGTGACTGCTCGCTGAGAGCGACTGCTCGCTGAGAGCCTGTCTGGAGCTATCCCTGAGGAAGGTTCTTCTCCTACAGCCTGACTCACCTCTTTGTCTAACTCAGATGCCTTGTCCTGTAGCTCGATGGGCTCCTCCCCCATGAGCGGCACGGTGACACAGGCCTCGTGCCGGTGCCGCTGTGGGTGGTGGTGATTGGCTGACAGGGAGGTCATGCTGGAGGTGGAGTGGTTCCGCGGAAAGAAGGTTCCCTCCTTCTCATCATTGGGGTGACTGCAGGGCGGACACAAACCTCAGCTCACACACCGCAGCTCTTCCCACTGTCCCCACAGCTCCTCCCCGCCAGGCATCTCCTCCCGCTCCCCCTTCCTGCAAGCCCCCATTCACAGCCAGCTCCTCCCCCTGCCCGGGTACCAGTGTTTGAGCTCCTCCCCCTGCCCGGGTACCAGTGTTTGAGCTCCTCCCCCTGCCCGGGTACCAGTGTTTGAGCTCCTCCCCCTGCCTGGGTACCTCTGTTTGACCCCTCCCCCTGCCTGGGTACCTGTGTTTGAGCCCCTCCCACTGCCCGGGTACCTGTGTTTGAGCCCCTCCCCCTGCCTGGGTACCTGTGTTTGAGCCCCTCCCCCTGCCTGGGTACCTGTGTTTAAGCAGTAAGGCTCTCAGCACATTGGCTCTGTCTTCGGCTTTGATCTGATCCGAGGTGATCATGGTCTCCACCACGAGGTGAGCGATACCCGGCAACGTCTTCTGCTCCAGGTCCAGCAACACAGCACCTGCCACGGCGGGAGAGGGTGACAGTGAGAGAGGCTCCACCATAGTATAGCACCAACAAGGAGATTGGTACAGACACAGACAGAGCTCCACCAGCCCCAGGCCCAGCTCACCATGAGCAATGGTCTTCCTGAGCTCCAGAAGGCTGCGGAATGAGAGCGAGGCCACGTGTGGTTTTCCCCATTTGTCCGTTTCCGTCTCCACATCCTCCTCGAATTTGATCCAGCGAGCAGTCTCCCGCCATTGCATTTCCTTCTTCCCATCGGAGGTCAGTTCGTTCAACTCCACAAACACCTGGGGACCAAAGCTGAGCTTAGCAACACAGAGACAGATACCACAGGGAGTTCTACACCCTGATCACCCGGTCAGTGTCCTCTCCATAGCCCAGGGACACGGAGGCCATCTGCTGCCCCGACTGAGATCAGCCACTCGGCACAGAGCGAAGTCGGTGTGAGGTCACAGCACTGGGAGAAGTGGGTGAGTTTAATTAATTGGAGTTTGAGGTACAGACCAGCCATGATCTAATAGAATGGTGGAACAGGCTCGAGGGGCTGCATGGCAAACTCCTATTCCTATCAACAACAACAATTTGCATTTATATAGTGCCCCTCACACGGTGTAGCGTCCCAGAGCCCTTTCTATGTCATGTTCCTCTATCAGGAGCTGCGAGCTTGGTACCTCGTGTGGTTTACGATCCAGTTTCTTCTTGACGTTGGGGGGGGCGGGGGCCTTGGTGCTGGTCCTGGCTGCCTGGCACCTTGATGTCTTCTTCACCAGGTGTCTCCGCACCCCAGGGTTGTCCTCAAATCGGTGACCTGCAGGGCAAGAGAGCCAATCACACAGCTCCCTGAGAGAGAGCCAATCCCACAGCTGCCCGACAGCCCTAGGACTGAGACCTGTCCCGGCTCAGGTTAGTGGTTCTCAGCCTCTGGAGTCAATCCAGACCAACCATACAAGGTGTCCAGTGGCTGAACCCCAGCCTTGCCCACGTCCACCTCATCCAGTAACTGGGAAACATTCCCGCTGCCTCTTTTCCACTACCTGCATCACTTCCCACTCACTCTCCTTGCCCTGAGCGCCAACCCACCACAGCTCAACACAACATCAGCAACAAGGAGCTCACACCCAGACTCGGCCTCCAGTACACACTGTGGGGGGAGGGGGGAACACTGCATTGCTGGCGGGGCTGTCTGAACATTGCTCCCTCCCCTGCCACCACTGCCCCCCCCCATTGGCACCGCCACCGACCCCCAAAGCTGTGGCCTCTCTGGCACCTGTTCTAGGGAGGGCAGGGGTTGGGGAGGGAAGCTGGGCTGGGCAGGGGGAGGGCTGGAGAGGGTTGGGCTGGGCAGGGCTGGGGAGGGCTTGGCTGGGGGAGGGCTGGGTTGAGTTGGGGGAAGACTGGGTTGGGGCGTGGTGGGCTGGGTTGGAAGGGGGCTGGGTTGGAAGGGGGCTGGGTTGGAAGGGGCTGGGTTGGAAGGGGGCTGGGTTGGAAGGGGGCTGGGTTGGAAGGGGGCTGGGTTGGAAGGGGGCTGGGTTGGAAGGGGGCTGGGTTGGGTTGGGAAAGGGCAGAGCTGGATTGAGAGAGGGCAGGGTTGGGGAGATCAGGGCAGGACGAGGAGAGGCCTGGGGAGGACAAGGCTGGGGAGGGGAGCGGGGAGCGAGCTGCTGGGCTGGTTGAGGTTTCAGTGAATTTGGGTTACGATCGATCACTTGTGTCACCAAAAGAACAATTACTGTTCCCGTAGCAACGCGAACAAATCAATGTCAGCTGCTCTCAGCATCCACAGCAACCGAGCCCGGTCAGTCACTGACCAGCAGCGAGGGCAGCCTCCCCCGCACAGCCCCACCCCAGGCCATATGTCCATGTACACACTGTAATCACAACAGGGCAATGTGAGAGACACACAGAGGGAGGGGGGCCTCAGTGATCAGGGGGCTGGTTATCGGAGTTCAGAGGTCAGTACTGAATGGGGTAAACTGAGTGAAGATAATCATATAATAATAATCCTTGCATTTGATACAGCGCCTTATCACGTCTTCAAGACGTCTCAAAGTGCTTTAGAGAATATACTGTAAAGTGAATTGACAGTATATTTTGTGGGCGAAACGCAGCAGCCAATTGCACACAGCAGTGCCCCACAAACAGCCGTGGATTGAGGGACCAAATTTTTTTTTGGGAAGGGATTATTACCCCCGAAAAAGCGATCCACCAATCGACTGATAACAGGGTTCTTATTTATTGCTATGTAAACAGAACATGTGGAATATGGAAACTTGCCCAACATTTCGCTCTGCCAGGATCAAGCCCAGGACCTCTCGCTTGTGAAGCACATGCTCTAACCACTGAGCTACAGGACTCCACGAGTGTGTAGAGGGAGCTAGGAGTGTGGAGTAGAGTGTGGCGGATAGTGTGGAGGGAGATGAGAGTGTTGAGGACAGTGTTACTCACGGCCGGGCTCCCCGTTGTGCAGTAAGTGGCTGTTGATGGATTCCCACAGATCGTATTCTTCAAAATCCAAGACAAACTCCTCAAAGTCCTCGCAATCAAGAGAGGGGCAGCCCACGCCCCCCTCCCCCAGGTTCTCATCACTCTCCTTGATCACCATCATGGTGTGGCTGGCCCGGCTCCCCCCACCACCCGCCTGACTCCCGTTCACACCAGCCCTGACTACCTGCTCACACCAGCCCTGACTACCTGCTCACACCACCCCTGACTACCTGCTCACACCCATTCTCAAGCCAGACCCGGCTCACACCCAGCCTGCGAGATGGCAGTCCAGAGGTGGCAAGGGAACGAGTGAGAACCACAGCCTGATCAGGGCGGGTGGGGGCGGTGGGTGGTGGGGGGAGGGGGGGCGCTGTGACAGGGCGCACACGGCCCTGGGCTCCCCCCAGCACTTTCCATGACGCGGGCGGCTCCAATCCATATCCTGCCTCCATCCAGTCAGGGGCTGTGACAGCCGAAGCTGGGACACTTAACCCTTTCATCGCCCCCCCCCTCCCACCGCACCCCCACCTCGTATGGTTTCTGGCCTCTATGCCCCCCCCTCCCACACCCACTGAAATCCCCACATCCCCCACACACAACACACACTTTGACATTCCTCCCCAGCCCCCCCCCCTCCCCACACACACACACACACTGACATCCCCACGCACCCACAAACTCAGCTGACGTCCTTCAGGACAACATTTTGCCCACAAAGCACACAGTTACTACACTTTACAGTGTATTCTGCGAAACGCTTTGAAACGTCTCGATGACGTGATCAGGCGCTGTATAAAACGCCAGGTTTATTATTATAACAACCTCTGATTGCATGGGGGCCTCTGACAACCAATCGTATGTGTGTGACACACCAAGCTTTGAGCATGCAACACAATCAGTTAGTGTGAGCGTGAGAGTGTGACACACCTGGTGAGTGTGTGACACACTTACTTTTCATGTAGTCCAAGTCGGCTCCGGCCAGCAGCTGTGCCTCGGCCTCGTCGGTGGGGACGTGCTGATAGGCCGTGGCCTCCAGGGCTGTCATGCTGCCGATACACGTGCGATCCCGCAGGTTATAGCTGGTCCCTCGGCCCCCCGGCCCCCTGGCACCCGGCCCCCGGCACTGAGCTCCCCGCACACCCCAGCCCAGCATACACTGGCTCTCCACATCCTCTAAACACACAGCACTGCCCCTGTGGCCAGAGAGAGAGAGAGAGAGAGTGAGAGATACCGACACCTCCTCCCCGTCACCCCCTCCCATGTACTCCCCTTTCCCCATCACCCAAGCACCCAACTGGCTCTCCACCTCCTCCACACACACAGTCCTGTAACTGCAGCCACAGAGAGTCACCAACAGCCGCTCACGCACCCCAATCTCTCCCCCACCACGATCAACATTCCTCCCGGATCCCCACCTCGTCACTTCCCAACTCTCCGCGCCTCCAACCGCGTGCCCACCCCACCCCAGCCCAGTGGCAGACACGCACTGACTGGCTGATATATCGGGGCCCTCCCTCTCCAAGGAACGTGATGTTGGCAGCAGAGTGAAGCTCCCGTCCAGCCCGCACTCCGGAAACAGCTCTCCATAGCCAGCCAGGAACTGGGAACACACAGAAACCAGGGATCAGTTCATCATCGTATTTGTGCTGGGGCTCGCTCCCCCACTGGAGCTCTCTACTCTAACCCCATTCCCTCCTCTCTCTCTCTCTCTCCCCACCGTGTCTGTGCTGGGGCTCGCTCCCCCACTGGAGCTCTCTACTCTAACCCCATTCCCTCCTCTCGCTCTCTCTCTCTCTCTCTCCCCATCGTGTCTGTGCTGGGGCTCGTTTCCCCATTGGAGCTCTCTACTCTAACCCTATTCCCTGCTCTCTCTCTCTCTCTCCCCCCATCGTGTCTGTGCTGGGGCTCACTCACCCACTGGAGCTCTCTACTCTAACCCCATCCCCTGCTCTCTTCTCTCTCTCATGTATCTCAGCCTCATGACCTTCTGCTGCCCACCCACCATCCCCCCACTTACTCTGCCATGCTGCAACTTCTCACCTGGGGGGGGCTGGTGAATTCTTGGTCAGTTGATGTCTCCTTGTTTTGGGTCTCGATCTCTGAGCCTTCCTCTTCCTCCCCTTCATCCTCCTCATCCTCCTCCTGAATGGTGGGGGTCACCTCGGAGGGAGGCACCGAGGTCTTCTTTTTCTTCCTCTTCCTTCTCTTGTTCTTCTCGGGCCGCGGGAGCTTCCTCTTAACGCGGACGGAGGGGGGGAGGCGTGTGGAGAGCGGGTGGTGGATGTGGTGGGAGGAGTGACGGTGAACTGCAAACACAACAGCCAAACAGTGAGTGAGACAGCATCATAACCCTACAAGCTCCTGGTAACCCTGCCACCCAAAGTCCTAACGGGGAGGGTGGTCCTAGCTGGACAAGTAAAAGGATGTGGACCTCCAGGGAGAGAGAGTGCGCAAATTACATTCCAACACTCGATCTCTGGGTTTTCCAGGTGCAGGTGGGATGCATGGAATTCTCCCCTTGATTTGGATACTCTTAATCATGGTGTTGGGTTTTAATGTGTGTTAGACATCTGGCTGATCACGGTATGTGTTGGTGATGGGTCTCTGTGTGTCAGATTGCGGTGATGGCATTGCTGGGACACTTACACTCAAAGTCCTTCTCGTTGTAGGTCCTGTGAGGTTCTCTCGCTGGCTGCTCAGTGACCAGGTCTCCAAGCCGCTCAATCGCCAGCGCTTTGTCCAGCTCCTCCCCCTCCGTGCCCTCCGCCCCCTGCCAACAGCCAACATGTTAATGGGCAACAGTGTGTGTGTGTGAACAGCCAGCGAGCATGGGTGTGAGCAAGCGTGTGTGTGAGCAAGCGTGTGTGCGAGCGGGGCGGGGGTGCGAGCGGGTGGGAGGGCGTGTAAATGCGGGGGGGGGATGGTGAGCGGGGTGGGCTGGCCAGGGTGAGCAGAGTAAGAAAGGTGACAATATGATGGCTGTGGGTGAGTGTGACAGAGAGCTCTGGTGAGGGTAAAGAAAATTAACCTGAGCCGAACAACACAGCCTGTGGTTCCTGAGTCACACACATACACACACAGCAGATTAATGTCAGCTCCAACCTTGCTGTGTGCTGAGTCACTGATCTCAGCCACCGTCCCCGCTCTGTGCGGAGGAGTGTGGGGTGGGCGGGGGGGGGTCGGGGGCGCAATGGGTACTCACCAGATGTAAACACACAGAAACATCTTGAGGTTCCGTGTTTGCACAGGTCGCCATCATTCCCTCTGCCAGGACCCAACGCTGAGCACGTTCAGCCCTTCTCCCTCACCGTGGTGTTCACACAGAACCTTAGTCGTGACATCACCTTCAGAGAGAGAGTGTCAGAGAAAGAAAGAGAGAGAGACAGTGAGAGAGAGAGGGGGAGCTTTATTTATATCTCCATCCCTGGGAGTGTGGACGCACAGGTATAGAGGAGCTTTGCTGTGTCTCTAACCCTGACCTGGGAGTGTGGACGGACGCACAGTGTAGAGGATGGAGGCTGATCCCAGTGTTAGAGACAGAGGAGACAGTGAGGCTGATCCCAGTGTTAGAGACAGAGGGGACAGTGAGGCTGATCCCAGTGTTACTATGATGAGCAACAAACTCATCATCACAGTATGTGACAGACATAGCCTGAGGGACTAATTGGGGGAGGAGTGTGGGGGAGGGGGGGGTTCTCTCTCTTTGAGGTGGGGGATTACGGGATGTGGGGCGAGTGATGTGGATGGCGGGGGGGGGGGGGGGGAGTGGGGTGGCACTGGGGGTCATTTTGATCGCTGACATCAAATTGGCAGAGATGTGGACCTCGAGGAAAACAACCCCAGCGAGAACCTCACACCCCAACCTCCCCCTCCCCCCCAACCTCCCCCCTCCCCCCCCAAACACCCCCCTCACCCCCCAACCTCCCCCCCCAACCACCCCCCTCATCCCCCAACCTCCCCCCCCGCCCCACCTCATCCCCCAACCTCCCCACCTCACACCCCAACCTCCCCCCTCCCCCCCAACCTCCCCCCCCCTCACCCCCAACCTCCCCACCTCACACCCCAACCTCCCCCCAACCTCCCCCCCTCATCCCCCAACCTCCCCCCCTCATCCCCCAACTTCCCCCCCTCATCCCCCAACCTCCCCCCCTCATTCCCCAACCTCCCCCGTCCCCCTTTCATCCCCCCTCACCCCCAACCTCCCCCCTCCCCACCCCACCTCACCCCCCAACTTCCCCCTTCCCCACCTCACCCCCCAACCTCCGCCCAGAAACTCCCCCCCCCCAACCTCCGCCCAGAAACTCCCCCCCCCCCCTCCCATATCCTCCGGAACAACCCCAACATCACCCCCCGCGAGCACAGCGGCTCAGGTGATGTGGTGGCGGTCGCTTCTCTGTGTTGGGTTTGGGCCGTGTTTCTGGGAGGATCGCCTCCCCCTCTGTGTCCCCCTCCATCCCCCCCCCCTCCCTCTCTGTCTCCCCCTCCATCCTCCCCCTCTCTGTCTCCCCCTCCACCTCCCCCTCTGTGTCCCCCTCCACCCCCCCTCTCTGTCTCCCCCCCCACCTCCCCTCTCTGTCTCCCCCTCCATCCCTCCCCTCTGTTGTCTCCCCCTCCATCCCCCCCTCTCTGTCTGTCTCCCCCTCCATCCCCCCCCTCTCTGTCTCCCCCTCCATCCCCCCCACCCCTCCCCCCCCCCCCCCCTCCCCGCCCAGGATGGGCCGCCGCCAGCGCCTTACCTGTGCTGAGCCGCGGGGCCGGCGCTGGGGTCTGGGGTCGATGCTCGGGGGCGGGCGGGATGCGGGCGCGGGGCTGGGAGTCAGGAGCGGGTATTCAGCGCCATGATGCGGGAATGCCACATCCCATCACGTGGCTGACAGTCGGCGCTCGGGAATTCATTCCGAGGAAACCGGCGCAGAGGCGCTGGAAAGCGGTCCCCGCACTCCCCGTCACTCAGACAGTCAGTCACACCGGGGCTGAGAGCTCAGAGCATCACACAGTCCGGGGACTACCCCCACAGCCTGGGAGCCCCCACACAGGGGGTGGGGGGGGGGGGAGGTTAGACCACGCTGGCAGGGCTGGGGGTGGGGGTCTGCACTGTGTATGTGTCACTGCTCTGATTGTGAAGCCATCATCTGCTGTCAAACTGACCCATATACACAGCCCAATCGCGATGCGCTCCACAACACCTCTGTCATCTAAGCCCAGGGCTCAGAACCCTCCCCCCCCCCACCCCCCAGACACTGTCCAGACACCCTCACTGAAAAGTCAGGGGAAGCAGCCAAAGATTCGATCATAGGGGGCAGACAAACTCCTGGCCCCACCCCCCCCCCCCCCCCCAGTGAGGAGCTCTGGGCACTGTGAGGAGTGGGGAACAATGACTGACCTCCCCCTTCTCTCAGGGGGCTCTGTCAGGTTACACACGCATGACGGCCACACGCGGAGTGAGGCACCAGTCCCCGACACACAACCCCCAGTGATGGTGCCGGTCTGCGGCTCACCGGCTCACACTCTCATCTCAGGATCAGAACCTTGTGGGTTCCAACCCCAGCACCGGTGGTCAGACCCGACACTCCGTCGCGGGGCCGGGGAGAGCTGCACTTTGGGGTCGGAGGTGCAGTCCTTTGGTTGAGATGTTAAACTGAGTCTGTGTCTGTGTGTTGGGGTGGACGGTCCCCGCGGATAACATCGGTCCATGGCTTCACCGCTGGTTGTGGCTCTTTGCTGTGTGCAAACTGGACGCCACAATCGCCACTTTACCAGTGTATCCGGTGAAGCGCTGTGAGATATGGGGTAAAAGGCGGGAAATTGGGGTTCAGGTCCCGATCATCCGCGATCTTATAGAACGGCGGAACAGGCTCGAGGGGCTGCGTAACCTCCTCCTGTTCCTTTTCTCCTACGCTGTACTCTGTCCAGCGCCTTGGGACGCCCCTCCCGACGGGCAAGGGCTGTGATGTGGTGGTTGTTGTTGATGTTATGGTAACTCAGTGAGAGTCAGTGCATGAATTAGGTAAGTCAGTGAGTTAGTCTGGTGACTGTCGGTCAATCTGGTAACTCGGTTAGAGATGGGTTAGTACCAGTGGTCCAGGCAGTGTGGTCCAGGCTGGGGTGACAGTCTTGGCCGCTGGAGGCGCTGTGACTGGAGGCCGCTGGAGGCGCTGTGACTGGAGGCCGCTGGAGGCGCTGTGACTGGAGGCCGCTGTGTGCGGCTCCGGGTGGATCATGTGAGGTATATACCTTTGGAGCCGGGAAGAGGCCGTGACTCGGGGACAGCGATCCCAACCCTGAGTGGGTGAGTGGGAGTGAGGGGGGGGAGAGGGAGTGAGGGAGTGAGCGAAGGGGGAGGGAGTGAGGGAGGGGAGGAGTGAGGGGGGGCTGTGGAGTTGGGGCTCCGGTGCCGCTGGGGGCGCTTTCCCGTGCGGTGCAGTGTGGGGGAGCGGCGGCGCCATTGTTGTGTGGGGGCAACAACGACCAGAGCCCCCCCCCCCCCCCCCCCGACCCTCCCCTCCCCCCCCTCCCCTCCCCTGACAGCCCCCCCCCCCCCCGCCCTGCTCCTGCTCCAGCTCTGCCCTCGGGGCAGGATTTGTGGGTTCAAGCCCCCCTCCCCCCCCCACACACCCTCACCGTGGGGTCTCTGAGCTGACAGTCCAGCGCAGCGCTCGGGGGGAGAGAGCGCTGAGAGGAGGGAGAGAGAGAGCGCTGTGGGGGGAGAGAGCGCACTGGGAGAGAGAGAGCGCTGGGGGGAGAGAGGGAGCGCTGGGGGAGAGAGGGAGCGCTGGGGGAGAGAGGGAGCGCTGGGGGAGAGAGAGGGAGCGCTGGGGGAGAGAGAGGGAGCGCTGGAGGAGAGAGAGGGAGCGCTGGGGGAGAGAGAGAGGGAGAGGGAGCGCTGGGGAAGAGAGAGAGCGCTGGGGGAGAGGGAGAGAGCGCTGGGGGAGAGAGGGAGAGAGAGCACTGGGGAGAGAGAGAGAGCGCTGGGGGAGAGAGCGCTGGGGAAGAGAGAGAGCGCTGGGGAGAGAGAGAGCGCTGGGGAGAGAGAGAGCGCTGGGGGAGAGAGAGGGAGCGCACTGGGGAGAGAGAGAGAGAGCGCTGGGGGAGAGAGAGAGCGCTGGGGGAGAGAGAGAGCGCTGGGGGAGAGAGAGAGAGAGCGCTGGGGGAGAGAGAGAGAGAGCGCTGGGGGAGAGAGAGAGAGAGCGCTGGGGGAGAGAGAGAGCGCTGGGGGAGAGAGAGCGCTGGGGGGAGAGGGAGAGAGCGCTGGGGGAGAGAGGGAGAGAGCGCTGGGGGAGAGAGGGAGAGAGCGCTGGGGGAGAGAGAGAGCGCTGGGGGAGAGAGGGAGAGAGCGCTGGGGGAGAGAGGGAGAGAGCGCTGGGGGAGAGAGGGAGAGAGCGCTGGGGGAGAGAGGGAGAGAGCGCTGGGGGAGAGAGGGAGAGAGCGCTGGGGGAGAGAGGGAGAGAGCGCTGGGGAGAGAGGGAGAGAGCGCTGGGGGAGAGAGGGAGAGAGCGCTGGGGGGAGAGGGAGAGAGCGCTGGGGGGAGAGGGAGAGAGCGCTGGGGGGAGAGGGAGAGAGCGCTGGGGGAGAGAGGGAGAGAGCGCTGGGGGAGAGAGGGAGAGAGCGCTGGGGGAGAGGAGAGAGCGCTGGGGGAGAGAGGGAGCGCTGGGGGAGAGAGAGAGCGCTGGGGGAGAGAGGGAGAGAGCGCTGGTTTGACACAAGGTGTGTAAAAGTGGAAGTTTCTGCCTGAAGGAAGGCACTGAAGCCCTGAGGAGTGGAGGCCAATTACAGGCGTATTTTCTGCCCTGACTGAGAGCGGTTTAACTCAACATAGACCTGTGATTGAGCCCCGAGTCTCGGTGTTGCACCGAGAGCCACGGTTCAGGTGTGTGGTCCGGCTGAGAGGTTCGCCTGTTCCCCACCGGACTCCCTGTGCAGCGGCTTATTACAGTGTCACTAACGGCTCATACTGCAGGTTTGCTGGTTCTTGTGTGCAACCTGACCTCGCGGGCACCGGAGGTTTGCTCTGTGTGCTGGGGCGCTCGGTACAGTTCAGAAACATTAGGTAAGATGGGGGGGGGGGTGGGGGGGGGGGGGAGATACAGCTGTTGTCTCTGTCTGTCTGCCTCCCTGTCACTCTCACAAAGCAAACCACTGTATCTGACAAATGTCCCACTCCCAGAGAGCAGCTCAGAACTGAACGCTCTTTTGCTGTTTTATACAGTCTCCTGTTTCTGCGACGTCGCAGCTTGTGTTGGGGGTTAATGGGGGGGGGGGGAAGGTGGAAGAATAGGCTGACATGAGAGGAAGCTGAGTGTTTCTCTCTCATTTCCAACCTGCGCCATTGCTGCCGGGGAAAGGGGAAGTGCGAGACCTTTACACAAGCAGCATGTGGGGGGGGGGGGCTCTGATTCTTTAGTGGAAGGCGGTCCAGTGCTGAGGCAGGTCTGCACAGTAATGGCTGTGTCTCTGACCCTCGGTGATTGGATGTGTACCTGTAGTGTACATTGTATTCTTCTGGGGAGGGGTGGGGGAAAGGTAAGCACGGTCTCCTTGGGGCAGAACTGGCTCCGAGGTGATGTGCTTGGCAGCGGAAGGTCAGAATCGAGCCTTCTGTGATGGCCTCGGTAATCCAGGACCTGACTGGATTCAAGGATTATTGTTATGGTCAGGGCTGTGGCTGGGGTGTGAGTGGGTGATGGTCAGGGCTGTGGCTGGGGTGTGAGTGGGTGATGGTCAGGGCTGTGGCTGGGGTGTGAGTGGGTGATGGTCAGGGCTGTGGCTGGGGTGTGAGTGGGTGATGGTCAGGGCTGTGGCTGGGGTGTGAGTGGGTGATGGTCAGGGCTGTGGCTGGGGTGTGAGTGGGTGATGGTCAGGGCTGTGGAGGACATTAGGTGTGTGTTTCTCCCCCCTCCCCCCGCTCAATGAGAAGGGGTGAAGGTCGTGCCTGTGTGTCACTATTATAGATAGAGCTGATTATATTACAATCATACGATGCCCACCACACACAATGCTGCTGTTAACAGCTGATAAGGTGTGACTGAGAACAGGAGCTGCGCTCTGAGTGTCAGCGCAGCACCTGGTCCCCACACAGCACAGAGACACCAGAGCAGAGCACAGATGCACCACGCGCTTCCTCTGGGCTGATGGAACGCCTGAGGAAGTACTGCGGACTGTTATGTGAGCAGCCCCTGACCGTGGCGTGGTTGGAGGAGACCCGGAGTGGGGAAAGGTACCCCTCCCAGGGCCTGCTCCTCGGGGCAGTGCCCGCCGGCAGCCGGCAGCTTGGGGCAGTAAGTGTGGCTCTGCGAAGGGGGGTGGTGTGAGGTTGTGCTGAGTGGGTGGGGGGCAATGTGTGGCTGTGCTGATGGAGGGGGCAGTGTGTGGCTGCTGAGGGGGTGGGAGAGCAGTGTGTGGCTGTGGTGAGGGTGGGGTCGGTCGGTGGCTGTTTGTCAGACTGTTGTTGCTGAATCGATTGCGGCCATATAATAATAATCTTTGCCTTTGATAACCCCCTTGTCACGTCTTCCAGATGCCTCAAAGCACTTCACAGGATTCACTGTAAAGTGTTGTGACTGTGTACTTTGTGGCCGTTTAAAGGGAACAAGAGGAGCGTTGTGTGTAGGAAACGGTGAGAGGGGACGGGGCAAGAGCAGGCGATGGGGATCGACGACTTCATTATAGGAGCAAAGAGCAACACTGGTCGCGGTGGCCTCCTGCACTGAAGGACTGCTGTTCTCCTGCAGGCTGGGCTGGCATCTCGGCTGCTCCCCACCATGCCGAAACTGGCAGTGCAGCGATGGGGTTGACTATGTGGGTGGTGGGAGCTATGGCTGGCAGTGCGGGGGTGGTATGGCTGGCAGTGCAGTGATGGGGGGTGACTGACCGTCAGGGGAGGACTGTGAGGGGGTATGGCTGGCAGTGCGGGGTCATGGTGGGTGACTGTTGATGGGGGGGAGGGGTTACGTGTTGGTGACGTTGTCTGTCTCTTGTATTACAGAAGATGGCGTCCCGCGGTGGGGAGGAAGCATTTGTGAGGAGTTTGGCCAGATTACTGCGGGATCAAGGTGAGAGACTGAGTGCTCGCCATGTCACCAGCAGTGGACATTAATCCCCACCACCTCCCCCAAGTGGTCTCTGGGGCCTCTGCGCTCACACACAGTCCAGGTGTCAGCCCTCTTCATTATAGTAACGCTGTGCGTTACAGACATACACATTTCTCCTTCCCTCTCAACCACAATCACCCAGATGAAGTTCACCACCTGCTTCCTCAACCCCCTCCCCACCCAGCTGCTGGTCACTTAACTCCCCCTCCTCTCCTCCCTGCTGGCCGACTCGGTCTCTCAGGCTCTGTTCCACTCCCCCTGAAAACCATTGGTATCATCCCACTCCTCAAAGACCCCGCCCTCGACCCCTCTAATCTCTCACACTACCGTCCCATCTCCAACCTGCCCTTACTGGTCAAAGTCCTGGAACGCATTATTGAGGGTCCACTTCAATTACACCTCTGCCTCCGTGTGTGTGTACAGGTGACGGGGGGCTGTGTGTGTGTGTACAGGTGACGGGGGGCTGTGTGTGTAACACTGTGTGTACAGGTGCTGGGGGTGTGTGTAACGCTGTGTGTGTACAGGTGATGGGGGGGTGTGTAACGCTGTGTGTGTGTGTACAGGTGACGGGGTGCTGGGGGGGCTGTGTGACGCTGTGTGTCGGGGTGCTGGGGGGCTGTGTAACGCTGTGTGTGTACAGGTGACGGGGGGCTGTGTAACGCTGTGTGTGTACAGGTGACGGGGTGCTGGGGGGTGTGTAACGCTGTGTGTTTGTGTACAGGTGATGGGGTGCTGGGGGGGCTGTGTAACGCTGTGTGTGTACAGGTGACGGGGTGCTGTGTAATGCTGTGTGTGTACAGGTGACGGGGGGGTGTGTAACGCTGTGTGTGCAGGTGACGGGGTGCTGGGGGGGCTGTGTAACGCTGTGTGTCGGGGTGCTGGGGGGTGTGTAACGCTGTGTGTGTACAGGTGACGGGGGGGTGTGTAACGCTGTGTGTGTACAGGTGACGGGGTGCTGGGGGGGGTGTAACGCTGTGTGTGTGCAGGTGACGGGGGGTGTGTAACGCTGTGTGTGTGCAGGTGACGGGGTGCTGGGGGGTGTGTAACGCTGTGTGTGTGCAGGTGACGGGGTGCTGGGGGGTGTGTAACGCTGTGTGTGTGTGTACAGGTGACGGGGGGGGGGGGTGTAACGCTGTGTGTGTACAGGTGACGGGGGCTGTGTAACGCTGTGTGTGTACAGGTGACGGGGTGCTGGGGGGTGTGTAACGCTGTGTGTGTGTGTACAGGTGACGGGGTGCTGGGGGGTGTGTAACGCTGTGTGTGTGCAGGTGACGGGGTGCTGGGGGGGCTGTGTAACGCTGTGTGTGTGCAGGTGACGGGGTGCTGGGGGGTGTGTGTAACGCTGTGTGTCGGGGTGCTGGGGGGGCTGTGTAACGCTGTGTGGGTACAGGTGACGGGGGGGTGTGTAACGCTGTGTGTGTGCAGGTGACGGGGTGCTGGGGGGTGTGTAACGCTGTGTGTGTGTACAGGTGACGGGGGGCTGTGTAACGCTGTGTGTGTGCAGGTGACGGGGGGCTGTGTAACGCTGTGTGTGTGCAGGTGACGGGGTGCTGGGGGTGTGTAACGCTGTGTGTGTGTGCAGGTGACGGGGGGCTGTGTAACGCTGTGTGTGTACAGGTGACGGGGGGTGTGTAACGCTGTGTGTGTGCAGGTGACGGGGGGCTGTGTAACGCTGTGTGTGTGCAGGTGACGGGGTGCTGGGGGGTGTGTAACGCTGTGTGTGTACAGGTGACGGGGGGGTGTGTAACGCTGTGTGTGTGTGTGCAGGTGACGGGGGGCTGTGTAACGCTGTGTGTGTACAGGTGACGGGGGGTGTGTAACGCTGTGTGTGTACAGGTGCTGGGGGGTGTGTAACGCTGTGTGTGTGCAGGTGACGGGGGGCTGTGTAACGCTGTGTGTGTACAGGTGACGGGGGGTGTGTAACGCTGTGTGTGTGCAGGTGACGGGGTGACGGGGGCTGTGTAACGCTGTGTGTGTGTGTGCAGGTGACGGGGTGCTGGGGGGGTGTGTAACGCTGTGTGTGTACAGGTGACGGGGTGCTGGGGGCTGTGTAACGCTGTGTGTGTACAGGTGACGGGGTGCTGGGGGGTGTGTAACGCTGTGTGTGTGTGTGCAGGTGACGGGGTGCTGGGGGGGCTGTGTAACGCTGTGTGTGTACAGGTGACGGGGTGCTGGGGGCTGTGTAACGCTGTGTGTGTACAGGTGACGGGGTGCTGGGGGGTGTGTAACGCTGTGTGTGTACAGGTGACGGGGTGCTGGGGGGGTGTGTAACGCTGTGTGTGTGTGTACAGGTGACGGGGGGCTGTGTAACGCTGTGTGTGTGTGTACAGGTGACGGGGTCCTGGGGGGTGTCAGCACACTCTCGCTGCTGACGCTGGGGCTGCAGTTGCTCCAGCAGTTGTTTGAGCGCCACCTGTTGGCCCGTCAGGACCAGCGCGGCTTCGTGGCTCTGGCTTCACACCCCGCGGACACCGCCGCTGTGCTCCAGCTCCAGTTCCTGTTCGACATCCTCCAGAAAACCGTCTCCCTCAAGGTCTGTCTCTGCTCTTCCCTCCCCCCCACCCCGACAACGTCTCGCTGGCCGGGGAAGGGGGGCCGGGCAGTAAAAGGAGGGGCTGGGGTGGGGAGGGGGGCTGTGGGGGAAGGGGCGCATGTCGCGGGGTGGAGGAACGTGGTCAGTGAGGGCCGGGGAGGCGGTGTGTGCAGAATACTGTGTGTTATTCTCACCGGGGAGTGTAACACACAGTGTACAGTGAGTGGAGGAAGCAAGTGAGGCTGGGGTCTCACCCCCTTGTGTCCTGTCTCTCTCAGTTGGTCCATCCACCCGGCCCCACACTGCAGACACCTGTCCACATCTTCGCCTTCAAATCCCTAAAGTACTTACAGGTCAGTGTGTGTGTGTGTGTGTGCAGGGGTGGGTGGGTGGGAGGGCATGAGGGTGTTGCTAGGAGGAGGGTGGATGCAGGAGGGTGTGAGTGCTACAGTATAAGGTGGTACCTTACCCTCCACACCCCCTCTATCTTTGTGTCTAGCTGAAGAGGATCCCCCCGCACTGTCTGGAGGGGCTGCGAGGGGTTTACACACAGCTCGAGATCCTCGTCTGCACCAACTGCATCAACACCATCGAGGTGAGCCCGGCGTGTGTGTGCGTGCATGTGTCTGTGTGTGTGTGTGCCTCCCTGAATGTTTGCGTCTGTGTGCGTGTTTGTGTGTGCGTGTGTGTTTCGCTGTGTGTGGGTGTTTACATCTGTGTGTATGTGTTTCCCTGTGTATGTGTGCCTCTGCTAGTGTCTGTGTGTATGTCTCTGTGTGTGTGCACAAGTAAACTGGTGCATGGGCTCACACTGGGGGTGGGAGGTTGTGTGTGTACAGTCACACTGTGCTTGTGTATGTGTGGGAGTGCAGTCTCTGCCAGTTGGTGGGGGGGGAGGGTGTTACTCTGCTCCGAGCTGAGGCTGTGGCCTCTCCCTGAAGCAGGAGATTATCTCAGTGTGCGGGGGGGACCTGAGCTCCGCGCTGCCCTGGCTCGACCTCCACACCCTCAACTTCAGCCACAACCACATCGCTGGCCTCGACAGCTCTCTGGTGAGTGGGGAAACAGGGTTGCCTGAGGGGTGGTGGGTGGGGGGCTAGGGGTACAAGAGGTATCCTGCTTGTCATCTCAGTTTGATTATCTCGGTACGGGTTTGGGAGCCGGGGGTGGGTTTCTGTGCGGGGGCTGGTGAGGGGAGGCAGGGGCCGTTGTGGCTGGTGCTCACTGTGCTGTCACTCTGCCCCTCTCTGATCTCCAGGCATTGCTCAGTGTATTGAGGACCCTGGACCTAAGCCACAATCACTTGCAGGACTGTGAGGAGCATCTGAAGGTGAGGCTGGAGTTTGAGGGGGAGCCGGGAAGGTGGGGAGTGAGGAGGTCTGTCACACGTGTCATGTCCCGGGGGGGGGGCCAACACTCTTGTGCCCTGTGAATCTTGGGGGGGGTCATTGAGACGTGAAGACCACGAAAAGAGACTTGAGATTGTGGGACTGAGAGCTCATCCTCACTGACTGCTTTGTCTCTCTCTCTCCCTCCCCAGCCACTGTCTGAGCTAGAGTACGTGAATCTGAGCTATAATTTGCTTCAGAAAGTTCCGGGCTTCAGTTCCTCGGCCCGGGTTCAGCTCGTCACCCTGCTGCTGCGCAACAACCAGTTGGACAACATCAACGGTGAGTGACCTGCTTGCCTGGGCACGGCCGGCCAAGCTTCCTCTGCTCCACAGTTAGCTATTCCCTTCCCCTGAGCTGCAGTACTTCAGCCCTAAACTGCATCTACCACCTATCTGCCCACCCTCTGGCCAGTCTGTGGCCTTATAGTCTTTCACAATCCTCACCAAACTGCCCTTATGGTGCCCAGCTTGACACTATGTGTGTCATCTAGTGGAGTCCTGTAGGGTAGTGGTTAGAGCACTCGCCTTGTAAGCGAGAGAACTCAGGTTCGATTCCCAGGTGGGATGAAACCTTAGGCAAGTTTTCTTACTCCACACACCTCAGTTTACCAAGCAGTAAGTAGGAACTAGGTTGTTAGTTGATTGGTTGATCACTTTCCAGGGGGTAATTATCCTTTCAAAAATAAACTTCGCCACTCAGCCCACGGCTGTGTGTGGGACGCTGCTGTGCGCAATTGGCTGCTGCCTTTCGCCCACAAAATATACAGTCACCACACTTTACAGTATATTCTGAGAAGCGCTTTGAGATGTCTTGACGATGTGGTAAGGCGCTATATCAACTAAGGATTCTTACATTCTAGGTGTGGAGCACTTGGGTCACCTGCAGCACCTGGACCTGGCCTATAACCTGATCTCAGAGCACGCTCAGCTGGCCCCACTCTCCCAGCTACACAGGCTGAAGGAGGTGAGTGTGCCAGGTCACGGTTAGTGTGTGTGCGGGCTNGGGGGAGGTGACTGTGGTGGGCTGTGAGCTGCGGTACTCGCTGCTGGCAGCCTCAGCAGCCTCCAGTGGGCAGGCCTGGCACTCAGTGTCTCACTGCAGAGTGTTAGCGAGGAAACTTCCAGCAAATCTGACACCGAGGGCAGCGACCAGGCATTCACATGCACAGAGCTCTCCTCCCCCTCGCGCTCCCCCCCACCCCGCTCCTCCCAGCCTCGCTCCTCGCCCTGTCACTGCAGTGTCCAGGCTGACAATACTATACACACCTTCTGCCTCTGTCGCTCATTGCTGACCTCTGATCTCTTGCAGCTGTATCTTGCTGGGAACCCGGTGTTTTACCAGCGAGACCACAGGCCCAGCACCGTCCACCACCTCTCCCCCAAAGCTGCCTTCATGCGGGTGAGTATCCAGGGCGGGGGCAGGGGGCGGGGAGGGAACATGGTGTGAGACTTTCATCTTTAAATTTAAGATTTTGCATAATTGAGGAAAATAATCTTTACGCTTAATACAGAGCCTTTTACTCAAGCGCTTCGCAGGATTTACTGTGACTGTTTTGTGGGTGATCGCAGCAGCCAACTTGAGCACAAACAGCTGTCAAATGAGCAACTGATTTTATCTGGGGGATTGGCGGCCAGGATATCAGAAAGAGAAACGCCCTTCTCTTTTCGAATAACACCACAAGATCTTTAATGTCCACCTAAACAGGCAGACTGGACCTTTGGCCTTATGTCTGAACTGCAGGTCAGCACCTCCAACAGTGTTGCACTGTGTGTGGGTGTCTTACTGTCTCTCCCTGTGTGTGGGTGTCTCTCACTGTGTGTGGGTGTCTCTCCCTTTGTGTGGGTGCTTCACTGTCTCCCTGTCTCTTGACAGCTGGTGTTGGACACTGAGCCCCTGACCCTAGTGGAGCTAACGGTGAGTGGGGGTGTGTGGGGGAGGGAGGGTTGAGGGGGGGAGGGGGTGTGTGTGGGCGTGGGGGGGAGGGGGTGTGGGGCGTAGGGGGGGAGGGGGCGTAGGGGGGGGAGGGGGCGTTGGGAGGGGGAGGGGGCGTGGGGAGGGGGAGGGGGCGTGGGGGGAGGGAGTGGGGGGGAGCGTGCGTGGGTGGGGGGAGGCTGTGTGTGGGGGTGACGGGCCGCCTGCTGACCTGTGTTTGATTGGCGTATGTCAGTATCTGCCCAGGTCGGGCCAGCTGATTGGACAGACCCTCCATCACTCCTCCTGTGGCTCCTCACTCAAGAATGTTCTGGAAGCTCCACCTTCGGATGGACGTTGGTCTCCGGACATCAGCAGCGGGAAGCTCAGCCGCAAAAAGGTACCTGATTGTGTCGGGGGTTGGGGGCCGGGGCTGGTGGGGCTCGGGTGAGGGGGGCCGGGGGCTGGGGTGGATGGTAGGATGGACCCTCTGGTACTGGCCTCGATGCTCGTCTCTGTTCCTCTCTGTGCTGATGCTCTGTGTTCTAGTCCATGTCTGTACAGTGTGAAGCTTCAGCTGTGAGGAGACATTGGGATCCATTGTTTGTCTCCCGTCCAGCTGAATTGTCTTTGTTTCTCTCTGCTCACACTTCCTCGCACTCTCACACTTACACACACTTCCTCGCACGCTCACACGTACACACACTTCCTTGCACTCTCACACTTACACACACTTCCTCGCATGCTCACGCATACGCACCTTTGTACACATGAACACCCTTATTTGCATGCTTGCACATATACACACATGGACACACTTGCACATATCACAATTACTTACATACGTGGACTCACACGCGCGCACACACACACACACACACACACACACGCACACAGAGTAAGATCAAAGTGCGGAGTGCAAGCATCTCTGACCCGAGTGACAGTGAGGTGGAACTGAGACATCAGCCTATCTCCTCAAGTGAGTGTTTACTGCGTCCATGTGAGTGCATGTGCGCGCGTGTGAGTGCTTGTGTGTGTATGTCAGTGTGTGTATGTGAGCATGTGCGCTAGCCGTGTGTTTGCGTACGTGAGCATGAGTGTGCGTGTGTGTAAGTGTGTGAATGTGTGTGTGTGAGTGCGCGTGTGAGTGCGCGTGGGTGTGTGTGAATGCAGGTGCGTTTGAGCGCACGCGTGTGTTGAATGTGCACGTGCGTGTGTGTATGAACGTATGCGCGTATGTGAGTGCGGGTGAGCGTGCGTGAGTGGGCGTGTGAGTGCGTTTTTGTGTGTGTGGGTGAGCGTGTGAGTGCGAGTGTGTGCGCATGTGTGTGTGTTGGGTATTGCAGCAAGGGTTGTCTGGGGGGGTGTTGGGGTACGAGGGGTACTGACTGTGCTGTGGGGGGGTGTTGGGGTACGAGACGTACTGACTGTGCTGTCCACAGGCCTCGTGCTCCCACACCAGGAGGAGATTGAGCGTCTGGATGCGCTGCGTGGGCAGGTGGGGGACGACTGGCTGAGGTACCAGCACCACCTGAAGGCCCCCGAGGAGGGATCAGAGTTGACAGGCGGGTCCGCCCGCGAGGAAGGGGGTGAGAGCTCCACCAGCATCTTTCTGGGCAGCGCCAGCTTGGAAGTGGGCTGCGAGAGCGAAGGGGGGCTTGGGGAGGACACACTCACCTCCCCCACAGACACAGTGATGGAGCCAAGGGAGGAGGCAGACACCAGCACCAGTTACCTGCCCACCTCAGCCTCGCCCTCGACCAGCCACGACCACTTGCCCAGCGACAACCAGCAGGCACAGGAGGAGGAGACCATCAGAGGTACCAGCCACAGAGTGAGGGGCAAGGGGTGAGGCTGGTGTGTATGTGGGGGGTACCAGAGGGCTGTGTGTGTGTGTGGCAGGGATGGTGCTGAATGAGGCTGGCAAGCAAGGAAGGGTATTGCGGACGAGAGTGGTGTGGGAGGGGGGAGAGTGGGGGTGTGTGGAGTGAGGCTAGTGGTGGGCGTGGGGTTGCTCAGTGAAGCTGACCTCTGCTCTCTCTCACGACATGTGCCAGCCCTTTATTGGAGGAGGGTATGTGTATCGGGGGAGAGCTTGGCTGGTGAGGGGGTGTGTGGAGTGATGCTAACCCTTGCACTCTCTCTCTCTCTCTCTCTCTCTCGCAGATGTGTGCCAGCCCTTTATCGTGAGCCGGGCGCTGGAGGAGGGGGAGAGTGAGGGGCCGTGGCTGTTTCTCAGGGTGACTGAAGAGGAGCTGCTGGAGGTGGAGCTGATGACAGCGGACGTGCTGGAGAGGCTGGAGCTCAGCAGCCTGACCGCGGTCAGAGCTTCACACCAGCTCTGCCAGGTATCCCAGCCCCGCCCCAGCCCTGCCAGGTATCCCAGCCCCGCCCCAGCCCTGCCAGGTATCCCAGCCCCGCCCCAGCCCTGCCAGGTATCCCAGCCCCGCCCCAGCCCTGCCAGGTATCCCAGCCCCGCCCCAGCCCTGCCAGGTACCTGGCAACATGCACTAACCAGAGACAATGGCAAGTTCAGCAGTTGGACCTTCAGCCTCTCTAACCCTATCCCACAGTCTCTTTGCCTCGCCCCTCCCTCGGCTCCTTCGAGTCCCGTCTCAAGACCCTCCCCCTTGACCGTACCTTTAGTCAACCTCCTACCTCTACCCTCCTTGCCCTCCACCCCTCCTGATCCCAATCCCCATCCCAGGTCCAAATCCCTGACTGATTTACATTAATAGTAACACATTACATTTACACAGCGTCTTGGGACATCCTCCCGACGTGAAAGGCACTGTGTAAATGTAATGTGTTGGTGGTAGTGGTTAGACTCCAGCGGTTACCCCAATTCACACTCTGGGCTCACCCCAAGCCTTGGCTCTTGCCAACCTGCACCTAATACTCTCCAGAATTAGGTAAGCAGGCTGTATCCCTCCAGCAGGGGAGAGAGAGCGCTTTCCATTTCCAATAATCTACCTCTGGGATTTCCATGGGTGGAATGCATAGAGTTCTCAGTTGGATTTGAAGACTCTTAAGCAGGTAATAGGTTTCTGTGTGTGTCAGACACAGAGAGGTGGGATGGGGTCTGGTGGTGGTGCTGGGCTGCTTAGTGTCCTGTGGGTTGTGTAACCTTGACTCTCCCTCTCTCTCTCTGTGTCTCAGAGTGGTGATGGGCAGCTCCCCGCTGTGGATTGTCACTTCAGCTACATCCGCAAAGACAAACGCAGGAGGAAATATGTCATCATGGACAAGAGTCCCGAGGAGGCTGCACAGGTATCCCTCTCCCCCCGGCGTGACTCCCCCTGGCGTGGCACCCCCCCACCATCCCTCCGTTGACATGTCTCTCGCGCTGTCTCTTACAGCAGTTGCTGGAGCTGCTGAGCGCGGCACTGGCCAGGAATCTGCGTGTGGAGCAGGTGGAGCCGCCCCAGCAGCAATGCCTCAAGTGTCGGCACGAGTTCCAGCCCCTGGCAGAGCCCCAGCCCTCCACCCAGCCCGGCAGTGGCGACCACATTAGCTTCCTGGCCGGTAAGTTACTGTGTTTTAATAATAATAATCATAAGCCTTGCATTTCATCCAGCACCGTATCATGTTGTTGAGTCATCTCAAAAGTGCTTCACAGAATATACTCCACAGAATGTAGAGTCCTGTAGCTCAGTGGTTAGAGCACTCGCCTCGCGAGCGAGACACCTGGGTTACATACATTCCCGGGCAGGGCGAAATGTTGGGCAAGTTTCCTTAATCCATACGCCTCTGTTTACCAGCAGTAAGTAGGAACCCGGCTGTTAGTTGATTGGTGGATCACTTTTCTGGGGATAATAATTTTTTTAAAAAAAAAGCAAATTAGTCACTCAATCCCCGACTGTTTGTGAGGACACTGCTGTGCGCAGTTGGTTGCCGCATTTCGCCCCAAACGTATACAGTTAATTCATTTGTATATTCTGTGATGGGCTTTCATCTCGACAATGTGATAAGGTGCTATAATAATAATAATAATAATAATAATAATCCTTGCATTTGATATAGCGCTTTTCACGTCGGGAGGACGTCCCAAAGCGCTTCACAGAACACACTGTAAAGTGAATTGACTGTATATTTGTGGGCGAACGCGGCAGCCAATTGCGCACAGCAATGTCCCACAAACAGTCGTAGATTGAAAATGACCACTTTTATTATTGTTTTTGGTTTTGGAGGGAATATTATTAGGCTCTGTGTGGAGTAAGGAAACTTGCCCAAGGTTTCGCCCTCTGCCTGGAAATGAACTCAGGTCTCTCACTTGCAAAGCGAGTGCTCTAACCACTGAGCCACAGGACTCCACGAAATACATCAAATGCTATATCAAATGCAAGGATCATTATCATTATACTGTAAAGTGTAGTGACTGTATTTTGTGGGAGAAACACAGCAGCCAATTGCACGCAGCAAGTCCCACAAATAATCAAAAAAACATGGGGGTGGGAGGGGGGGTGGGTGTCGCCTAATGTTTTTTTTTGACAGGAGAGACAGGGAATGGAGGGGGATTCTGAATTGAGTTAAATTTCTTCCAATCCTAAATCCATGAGGTTTGAGGACAGAGAGTTTGCGTCTGTCCCGGGTGGGGTTTGGGCTGAGTGCCTGCAGCCCCCCCACGTCGCCACTAGAGGGTGATGTTTCATTCTCAAGCCGAGACCTTCAGCTTTCTGCCAATTTTCCGGTGACGTTATCTTCGCGTGAACACAGCTCCCGTCTCATCAGGAGGGGCTCAAAGCGCTTCACCTGATTCACTGGGGGCTAATGTAGTGACTATTTGTAGGGAAGCACAGCAGGAATGCCCCACAAGCAGCCATGAGGTGAAGAGCTCTTTTTGAAGTGCATTTCGAGACCCCTAATGCCCTCCTCGCCAGGCATTCGGGACCTCGGCTCCACAAGGATGGCACCTCCGACAACGCCGGGCACCCCCAGCACTACGCTGGAGCATCAGCTTAGACTGAGTTCCAATGTCCAGATGTGGCGCTCGGAGGTGAGAGTGTTGCCACCTGAGCCAGGCTGGCACATTTCTCCCCAACCCGCCCCTCCCAACTTGTGGTTATTGTTGGTCATGATTGCCATCCTTAAACCCAAGCCCTGTCGGCTTTGTGGTGGGCAACAATCCCCCACATACATTTGCTTATTCCCCGTGTGGCTGTTTGGGGATCGCCGTGTGGCCTCTGGTGCAGTCGCTAAACGTTGCCAGGATTGAATGGGTTTGTTTGTCACTCTGACTGTTGCCAAGTGGCGGTTCCCGGTGACTTGACTCTATGAAGATCTCTCTCACAGCGGTGCCGCAGGGCGGGGCCGCCTGCCCCAGGTGTGGGAGTGACCACGTGGTTGTGCTGCCGGCCCGGAGCCCAGTGGGGGAGAGACGCACCAGCACCCCCCTACCCCCCGACCAGCAACCCCCCTTCCTGGACAGTGACACCCCCAGGAGCAGCAAGGTGAGAGCGGGGGTGGGGTCGCGTGAATGGGGCCCTGTGGGGAGAGGGTGGGTCCAGTGGAGAAAGGGCAGGGTCCTGGCAGGGATATGCTGGGGTCCTGGGGGGAGAGGGCGGGCGGGTCATTGTTGTGAGCTGGGACTGTCTGGGGAGAGTGGGTTGTTGTGGGCACGGCCTGTTTGGGGTGGGCGGTGTGTTGTGGGCGGGGCTGTGGGGAAGGTGTGTTGTGGGCGGGGCCGTGGGGAAGGTGTGTTGTGGGCGGGCCGTGGGGAAGGTGTGCTGTGGGCGGGGCCATGGGGAAGGTGTGTTGTGGGCGGGGCTGTGGGGGAGGTGTGTTGTGGGCGGGGCTGTGGGGGAGGCGTGTTGTGGGCGGGGCTGTGGGGGAGGTGTGTTGTGGGCGGGGCTGTGGGGGAGGTGTGTTGTGGGCGGGGCTGTGGGGGAGGTGTGTTGTGGGCGGGGCTGTGGGGGAGGTGTGTTGTGGGCGGGGCTGTGGGGAGGTGTGTTGTGGGCGGGGCTGTGGGGGAGGTGTGTTGTGGGCGGGGCTGTGGGGGAGGTGTGTTGTGGGCGGGGCTGTGGTGCCTGTGGGTGTAACGTGTGGTGTTTACAGAGTGACGTGGACCCGGGGGCCTCGGTGGCCGGAGTGGCAGCAGCAACACTGGAGGAGGGGGGGTCGCATTCCCTGACCCCCGACCCCGACAACTCCTCGTCCTTTGTGACGGCCAAAAGTGGCAGCTTCTATCTGGAGGGGGAGCCGAGCGGGGGCGAGGGCAGCGACCGGGAGATGGACATGTCCTCAGCGGAGGGGGAGACACCGGAGCGCTCTCCCTCCGTCTCCCACTCTTGCCCCGGCCTCTCTCACAAGGGCAGCCTCAACTCCACCAGCGGCAGCCTGACCTGGAGCTATCGCTACAGCAACTCCCTCACCCCCACCCCCGGCTCCCCCCTGTCCGAGTACGGGGAGAACCCAACTGGCCACGCCCGAGGTAAGCTCGCCTCATGCACCCCTCTTGCCTTCCCCACCTCCTCTCGCCTGGACCCCTGACCCCCCCCCCCCAACCATTGCCTTCCTCCCCTTGTGGTAACCTTGCACCCCCCCCACACCAGCTCGGATTGCAGTGTGAAGCACTTTGAGATGTGCCAGGTGTTTGTTTATATCTGTTCTGTCCTCTCTCACACCCCCCACCCCCCTCAACCCCAACCTTCCCACCCCCCAAACCCTCCCACCCCCCCCCATCCCCCCCACCAGGAGGTGAATTCAATCTGAATGTTGAGGATTTTCAGACCATTGACCACAGACTGAAGCTGTTCTTCGATGTGGAGGTTTTCAATGAAGATAAAGAAGACTATCAGTGCTTCATTAAGGTGAGAACCATTACAGGTCAGCGCTGTGTGTGTAACGGGGGGGGGGGTGTGTGTGTAAAGCACTGTCTGTAGCTCAGTGGTTAGAGCACTCGCTTTGCAAGTGAGATACCTGAGATCAATCCCCGGCAGGTCAGGGCCAAACCTTGGGCAAGTTTCCTTACTCCACACAGAGCCTAATAATAATCCCTCCAAAACCAAAAACAATAATAAATTGGTCATTTTCAATCTACGACTGTTTGTGGGACATTGCTGTGCGCAATTGGCTGCCGCGTTCGCCCACAAATATACAGTCAATTCACTTTACAGTGTGTTCTGTGAAGCGCTTTGGGACGTCCTCCCGACGTGAAAAGCGCTATATTAAATGCAAGGATTATTATTATTATAGTGTGTGTGTGTGTAACAGTGTGTGTAAAACTGTATATGTAACGGTGTGTGTGTGTAAAACTGTGTGTGATGGTGTAACAGTGTGTGTGTGATGGTGATGGTGGTTATTACAGGCCGGGGCTGTGAAGGCAGGCTGCCCGGGGGAGTTCTCCTCCCTCCTCGTCGTCTCCAACATCAACATCTACATCCTGGAGGTCACTGGGCCCATCAGGTCTGTGCATGTGTGCGAGAGTGACTCCCCCACCCCCCCCTGTGAGTGTGAGAGATTCTCTCTTTCCCCTCTGTGTGTGACTGTGTGTATGTGTGTGACTATGTGTGTGTGCGTGACTATGTGTGTGTGACTCTCCATGTGATCACGGGGCAGCCGAGTGCCTGAGGAGACTTTGGGTTGCTGGTGTGTACGTATGTGTATGTATGACTCTCTCTGTACGTGTGTGTGAGTGACTCTGTATGTGTGTGTGTGTGTGACTCTCTCTCTGTGTGATCAGGGGGCAGCCGAATGCCTGGCTGCGGAGACGGGAATCCCATGCGTTGCTGGAGCTGGTGTGTGTGCAGGTTGGGTTACGCACACAGAGTATTGGGCTGCAGTTTGAGGGTGTTGGGGGGGTGGCGGCCGCCTACACGCTCCTGATCCGCAACCCGGCCAAGTGTCGGAGCTTCATCCAGTTCTTCACAGGTCAGCGGCCAGGGGGGCATGGACGGGAGGGAGAGGGAGGGGAGCGGTTGTTGTGGGGGAAGCGGTCGGTTGGTCTGGGGGTGCATTCTGTCCAGGGGGAGGAGGAGCGTGGTCAGTTGTTCTGGGGGAGTGGGGGGGTGGGGGTGGTTGGTCTGGGAGTACAGTCGGAGGTGGGTGGGGGGGGAGTTTAATGGCCTCTGCGTAATGTCACCGGGTCAGGTTATTGAGGGTTCGAGCCCTACGTTGGGGTACTTTGAGCTCACAGTCCAGACTCTGTGTTGTCACTAATCTCAGGCTCCAGCGCATCGCTGGGGTGTGGGGGTGGGGTGGGGGGGGTCTGTATTGTTGGTGACTCTATCCTTCAGGTGAGATGTTAGTTTGTGCTCCTGCAGATGTGGTGAGGGAACTGACTCCGGGGACCGTCAGCAAACTCAGGTCCATCTCTTTCACACGCATGGACCCTCGACACCAGCTCTGGTAAGGCCCACAAGCCAAAAATTCCCCTCCCAGAGGAGCTGAGGCTTGAGATCGGTGACTCCCACCCCCCACTACCCACCTCCCCCCGGCAACACCTGCCCCCTTTCATCTATTTTGACATTGCATGTGAAGCCTTTCCGGTTGTAATGTAGCTGTGGTCACCTCCCCTCTCCCCAGCTCAGGGTTAAACTGCCATCATTATTAAGCCCTGATACTCTGCCCATTGTGAAGGGCGCTGCATACAAGCAAGTTATTGTTGTTCCCCGCTCTGTGCTGTCACTGATCTCAGCCTCCGTCCCCGCTCTGTGTTGAGTGGCTGATCACTGACATATACCCACTCGCTCCAGCTGATCGTATTGCTGAGCTGAGCGAACACTGACTGGCTCTGCTTTCTCTCTCTCTCTCTCTGTCCCAGGCCGCTGGTGTGCGAACGCTCCACCACAGAGGCGTTGGAGGGGAAGCGACCAAACTACCTGTACGTGCTGGCCTTCCTGCAGCAAGGTAACAGCCCGCAGCCCCGTCATTGCCCCCCAGCACCCTCTCGGTGATCGGTGCTCCCCCCCCCCCCACCCAGTGGTCGCTCTCCCCTCCCCCACCTCTGAGCCTCCCCTCCGCCAGGCTGTGCTGTGTTTGATGACTCTACGCTGTGTGAATTGCTGGTAGCTTCCTACTCTATTATACCAAATACCACCAAGTGACTCACTATCCCCTCCCCCATCTTCCTGACCCTCCCCCATCCCCCATCCCCCAACCTCCTGACCCTCCCCCCTCCCGCTCCCCCATCCTCCTGACCGCTGCCTCCAACCTGGTGTTGTCCCCCTCCCCGCCCCCCCGCCCCCCGCCCCCCCGCCCCCCGCCCCCCCCCAGTGCACTGTCTGTTGTCTCTTCCTGTACTTTGATCTGACCATCTGGCTATAAGTGGCCTTTTGTCCCTCAGCTTCCAGCCTGGTGGGAGCTCTCTTACAGTCAGCCCCTGGGGCGGAACACCCCTCCATCTCACACATGCATACACTCACATACACATTTGCACACGCTCACACACACACACGCTCACTCACTCTCATACACACATAGGAACATAGGACCCACCAACAACCTCACTCTCAAAGGTGTGGATGGATCCAGCATCCACTGCCTTTTGGAGAGAAAATTTCCAGATTTCTACCCCCCTTTGAGTGAAAAATTGCTTCCTGATTTCATTCTTAAATGGCCTGATTCGATTTTCAGACTGTGCCCCCTTGTTTTGGATTCCCCACCAGAGGAAATAGCTTCTCTGTATCCACTCTATCGAATCCCTTTATCATCTTAAGTACATCAATCAAATCCCCCCTCAACCGTCTAAACTCAAGGGAACACAATCCAAATTTACGCAGCCTTTCCTCGTAACTTAACCCTTTTTGGCCTGGTAACATTCTGGTGAACCTGCGCTGCACCCCCTCCAGGGCCAATATATCTTTCCTGAGGTTTGGTGCCCAAAACTGAACACAGTCTCCAGATGGGGTCTGACTAACCTCTATGCAGCTGAAGCAGCATTTCTTCCACTTTGTATTCCAGGCCCTTTGAGATAAAAGCCAATATTCCATTCACCTTTTTGATTACTGTTTGCATCTGAGCTGTCTCTCTGTCCCCTCCCCCCCGCCCTCACCCCCACCGGACACAACAGTGTCTCTGGTCCTCACAGTCCCTGCTCTCAGCCTCACTCACTCACTCAACAACAACCACAACTTGCACTTATATAGCACCCTCCACGCAGGGTAGTGTCTCAGTGGCGGAGCCTGACTCCAAGCCGGGGAGGCGGGAGGTGGCCATAAGCACGGTCGAAGATGAAGGCTTTTTCACTTGAGGGAGAGCATTCCAGAGTTTGGGGGCGTAGTGGCTGAAAGTGAGTCTCCAATGGTGGAGCGGAGGGTGTGAGGGACGGGCAGGGTTCTGTGCCAGTTGAATGGAGGCACTGGGTAGTGGATCGGGGAGTGAGGAGATCGGAGAGGGAGGGAGATACCAGGGAGTGAATAGATTTGAATATGGAAGTGAGAGGATCTTGAAGTCGATGCGTTAGGTGATGGGGAGCCAGTGGAGCCTGGGCCAGAACTAGTGAAATCTCAATGAGTTGGATTTTTTGAATGGTGGAGCTGGGGAGACCGGCGAGGAGTGTGTTTGACTATTCCAGGCGGGAGGTGACAAACGCATGCACGAGGGTTTCGGCTGCAATTGGGGTAAGGTACGGTCGGAGGCGGGCAATGTGGCGGAGGTGGAGGAAGGCTGTTCTGAATAGGGACCAGATGTGGGGGAAGAATGACAACTGGGGGTCGAACTGAACACTAACAATGCGCACTGGTTCGGTGAGTCTGAGGGAGAACCCAGGGAGATTCAGGAGTTCAGATCCGCAGGAGTGAAGACATTGACGGGAGCCAAGGAGTACGGCTTCCATCTTCTCCACATTCAGCTGCAGGAAGTTTACACTCATCCAGACCCTGATGTCTGCCAGACAAACTGATAGAACATTGGGGACCTGGAGTTGGTGCTGATGGAGGCAAAGTAGATTTGTGTGTCATCCACAATCACACTCGCCCTGTTACTCACTCTGCCCCCCCCAACCCTCTCCCTGATCCCTCTCTCTGACCCTCCCTATCTGTATTACAGATGGCCAGTCAGTCCCGGTCAGTGTTGTGGCCACACCGACCACGCTGCACCTGCTGGAGGAGAACCACGAGTGGCGGCCGTCAGAGACGGGGGAGGGGGGCAGTCCGGGATCCCCACAGCTCCCCCTGATAGACACCCAGCCCATCTGTAACATCAGCTCCATCTGCCTGTACCAGTCATCACCCCAACACCTACTGCTCCGGGTCTATCACGAGGTTTGTACCCACAGGCAGGGTGAGAACGGAGTAGTGGGGGTGGGGGGTATGTATGAACTGGGAGGTGAATGGTCGCCCACTGGGATTCTTCGCAGCTCAGCTATGTTTATCTGCTCAACCTTCTCGTTCTCAACCCTCCCCCACCCCAACCCCTGCCCTCCCATGTGCAGGTGACCCGGACGGAGAGTGTGTGGGGGTTACACACGGAGTGTGTGGAGCTGGTGAGGGAGCTGGTGGAGTGGCTTCGCGCTCCCTGGGAGGAGATGTTTGGAGTGCCACTGAGAGTCACTGTGCAGTCCGATCTGGACTGGCCGGAGGCCTGAGCGAGTGACGGCCACCACAGAGCAACATAAGGCAGTTTGTCCCGGGAACAGCCCACGGCCGATGGTGTGAGCCGCTGACCGCCAGGACGTGACCGTCTCGGCCCTGTCCTGCCCGGCAAGGCTCGGGGGGGAGGAGCGGCTACTGATGGTGAATGTTTTTGGCCGTTTACTGTAACAGAACAATTGTGGGTTTCCTGTTCAGAGGGTGGGAAGTGTGCTTGGCATGTGCTGGGGCGTGTGCTTGGCATGTGCTGGGGTGTGTGCTTGGCATGTGCTGGGGTGTGTGCTTGGCATGTGCTGGGGTGCGTACTTGTTGAATGTCATGTGTCATGGCACAGGGCGTGTGCTTTGCGTGTGCCGGGACATGGGGCGAGTTATAAAGTTCATGTCTTTAAAGTTTGAGCATTGAAGAGAGCGCTGTGACCCCCGGATTCCCCTCCCCCTGGGCTCAGTCAGGCCTAGGGAGGGGCTCAGACTGCACTGGTATCACCGACACTGAATGTGGAGGGGGGGGATGGTGGGCAGCCTCGTAAAGTCTGTCCAACTGTACATAGATTTAACCAATTTCTATTATTGTCCCACATCCCCCACCCACTCACACTCACTCACACCCTCACATTCCCCCCCCCCCCCTCACTCACACCCTCACTCACTCCTTCACACATTACCCTTCCCATACGGCACACGTTTCTATGTCCAGTCCATGTCGCTGATGTCCATTTGTGTTTGTCCAGAGTGTGTGAGGCTCTGATACTCGGCCACGTGCTTGACAGAGAGTGATTGTCACTAGTCAGTCAGCCCAGCGCAAGTCAGCCGGCCAATTGTGTCGGGCTCAGTCAGTGGTCAGTGCGGTGACTGTGTCGGGGCTGAATGGTCTGTATTTATTTTAATGTCTCGATTTGTGGAGTGAATATTCTGTATTTTTGATAAATGGCAAAATAAATCTTTGTTTAAAATGCTGAGAGCATCGAGTGCAATATTACAGCCCCGGTCGGTATCCTACCCTCACACTGTGTAGTTCCCACAGATGCTGCCCTGCATGGAGGGTGCTGTGTTGTTGCCCCTCACACAGGGTTGGCATAGTGAGGGGCTGGTGTCAGTACAGTGAAAGAAGCTGGGTGTTGTGGTGGATGTGGTTCTGCCTGGCTGGCACCGAGGCCAGGGCGTCCCCAGCTGGCTCTCAGGAACACAGTCTGGCTGCCAGGCGGGAGCGGGCAGTGCCCTCAGTGGGCAGGTTCCCATAGGCCGGCGAGACGGGAGCTGTAGCTTGTCGTGACACGTGCGGCAGGAGGATCCGCCCTGACTAACAGCTGCAGATTCAGCACCCATCACGCTCGGCTCGGCACGGCAACACCCATCTCATCCACTCGGCACTGCAACACCCAGCACAGGCGGGGTGTGGGGGGAGGGGAGGCATGACACTACCTGGTTAGCAGTGTCACTAGGCTCACACTACTCGCACAGCCGGGTGTCCAACACACATAGTAACCCATCACCATGATCAGCCGGGTGCCTGAAACACACGGAAACCCAACACCAGGAGGCTAAACCAGACTGAAGTTCCATTTCTGCTACCTATACAATAATAATAATAATAATCCTTGCATTTGATATAGCACTTTTCATGTCTACGAGACACCTATAAACTGAATTGACTGTATATTTGTGGGTGAAACACGGCAGCCAATTGCGCACAGTCGTGGATTGTGTGACCAAACTTATTTAGTTTTTGAGAGATTCTTATCCCCGGAAAAGCAATCCACCAATCGACTAACAACCGGGTTCCTAGTTAGTGCTAGGTAAACAGAGGCGTATGCAGTAAGGAAACGTGCCCAACATTTCTCCCTGCCGGGAATAGAACCCACGTCTGTCGCTTGCGAGGTGAGTGCTCTTACCACTGAGCTGCAAGACTCCACTACATACAGGTTGGCAAGAGCCAAGGCAGGACTTGGAAGGGCAGACCAGTCACTGGGGGCAGGGAATCCTCCCACTCAGCTCCTGTTAACCCTGCAGCCAAATCCCTAACAGGTAGGGTGGTCCTAACTGTACAAGCAGTGGGTAAGCTTGCCAGACAGTTCCCTCAATGGTAAGCTATGCGACCACTCCATCCTCATACACCACCTCTCCTCTTAATCTTTGCGGAACTGCCCTTGCCTATCTCTCTCACCGTCTCTACTTTGTTGTCTCCAATGGTTTCTCCTCCAGCCCCCGCACTGTCATGTCTGGCGCCCCCCAGGACTCTGTCCTTGGCCCTCTCTTCAATATCTACATTCTCATTGGAGACATCATCCGCAGACGTGGGGTCAACTTCCACATGTATGTGGATGATACCCAACTCTATCTGCCTCCACCCTCAACTCCAGGACCACTGCTGTCCTGACAGACTGTCTGTCGGACATCAAGTCCTGGATGAGGGCAAACTTCTGACAGTTGAATGTGAACAAGACTGAGGCCCTCCTGATTGGCTCGCGCCAGCGCCTCTGCACCTCAGGCTCTGGGAGCATCAACCTCCATGGTTGCTCACTACAGCTCCCCAAGCCAGTCAGGAACCTGGGTGTCTTGTTCAACCCTCAACTGTCTTCTCCCCCACATTCAAGCCATGACCCGCTCTGCTTTCCCTCACCTCCGTAACATCGCCCGACTCCGCCACTGCCTCACCCCTCAGGCCGCTGAAACTCTTGTTCATGCCTTCATCCCCTTCAGGCTCGACTGTGCAAACTCCCTGCTTGTCGGCCTTCACAAATCCTCCCTCCACAGCTGAAGATAATCCAGAACTAACTCTGCAGCCCGTGTTCTCTCCCGCACCAAACTCTGTGACCCCATCTCCCCCATTCTCGCCCGACTCCATTGGCTCCCTATCCTTCTGAGGATCCAGTTCAAGATACTGGTCCTTACCTACAAAGCCCTCCATGGCCTCGCCCCACCCTATCTCTGTGATCTCGTAACCCACTACTAACCCGCCTGTTCCATCCACTCAGCCGGCTCCGGCCTGCTCCACGTCCCCCACCCCACTCGGCCCACCATTGGTGGGTTGTTGCTGCTGTTTTAGCAGGTTAGACTCCAGCATTTACCCCAATGCACACTGGTGTCCCCAAGCCTTGACTCTTGCCTGTGTCTAATACTCCCCAGAATTAGTTCCTCCAGGGAGAGAGAGTGCACATTCCATTCCAACAAATATCTCTGGAATTTCCATGTGTAGGTGGGATGCATAGAAATCTCAGTTTGGTTGGATGGTGATGGGTTTCCGGTCGGGGCAGACACCCAGCAAAAAAAAGTGTTGCAAGATGGTGGCATGGCTAGAGAGCAGAGATTGGCACCTGTTTCCAATGGGCAGTATATCCACTGTCCGGCGTGGAGGGCGCTATATAAATCCAAGTTGTTGTTGTAGCAAATGCCTGTTGTTATCTGGAAGTTTGTGTTTTATTACCCGGAATGATTGCTCTTCACTGATCACATCAACATCACAGATTGTATCAGAGTTCATAGAAAGAGAGAGATAGTTGTTCTCACACTCTCAGCCTGGCTTAATGGTAACACTCGCCTCCGAGTCAGAAGGCTGTGAGTTCAAGCCCCCACTTCGGGACTTGGAATAACTAAGCTGATGGTCCAATGCAGTCCTGGGGGGTGGGGGAGGAGGAGCGTTGCATTATTGGAGGTACCGTTCTTCAGATGAGACATCAAAACCAAGATCTCATTTGCCTGTTCAGGTGTTAGGTTAAAGATCCCGGGGAGCTATTCGAAAAGAGAAGGGAGTTTTTCACTCTCCTGGTGTCCTGGCCAACTATCCCCTTAATAAAATTGGTCACTCACTCCATGGCTGTTTGTGGGTTGCTGCTGTGAGCAAATTGGCTGAGGTGAGGGGTTGGGGCTGGAGCCAAGGAGCTGTGGCCGGAGCCAGGAGGTTTGGGGCCAGGGTTGGGGGCAGAGTTTCTCAGGAACAGAACCAGGGATTGAGGTGTGTATTGTGTGATCTGTGAACTAGAGCCTTGGGCTGTGTGGTGGGAGGTGTGAATGGGACCATTACCTGTTGTGAGCTGTTTATAATGATTGTCTGTGTGACTGGGACCATTGACTGTTATCTGATTTATGCTTCATTCCAACCTCACATCTCTTTCTCTCCTTGATTGATTGCAGGGAGGTAAACAGCTATTGTACATTTCAATGGAATGGCTGTGAGGGGAAGACATCAGAGATCTCTCACACATTTCACATTACAAGATCAGTTCTGATGAATAATAATAATAATCCTTCCATTTGATATAACGAGTGCCCTAACCACTGAGCTACAGGATTCCAAAGAAGGCTCTTCAACCCATCTCATCCCTCCTGAATCCGTCCCACTCCAATCACAGGATCGAACTGTTGTTCAAATAAGTGGAGTCGTGGAGCATAAGAGTCCTGGGTTTGATTTCTAGAATAGTGAAACCTTAGGCAATTTTCCTTACTCCACACACAGTTTACCAGCAGTTAGGAATCCGGTTGTTAGTTGATTGGTGGATCGCTTTTTCAGGGTTGATAAACCATTTGAAAAAAAATTAAAAATAATCTGTGGTCATTCAATCCACGACTGTTTGTGGGACGCTGGGCTGGGAGGGTGCATGAGGGAGGGGGCTGGGAGGGTGTATGAGGGAGGGGGCTGGGCTGGGAGGGTGTATGAGGGAGGGGGCTGGGAGGGTGTATGAGGGAGGGGGCTGGGCTGGGAGGGTGTATGAGGGAGGGGCTGGGCTGGGAGGGTGTATGAGGGAGGGGGCTGGGCTGGGAGGGTGTATGAGGGAGGGGCTGGGCTGGGAGGGTGTATGAGGGAGGGGGCTGGGCTGGGAGGGTGTATGAGGGAGGGGGCTGGGCTGGGAGGGTGTATGAGGGAGGGGGCTGGGCTGGGAGGGTGTATGAGGGAGGGGCTGGGCTGGGAGGGTGTATGAGGGAGGGGGCTGGGCTGGGAGGGTGTATGAGGGAGGGGGCTGGGCTGGGAGGGTGTATGAGGGAGGGGGCTGGGCTGGGAGGGTGTATGAGGGAGGGGGCTGGGCTGGGAGGGTGTATGAGGGAGGGGGCTGGGCTGGGAGGGTGTATGAGGGAGGGGGCTGGGCTGGGAGGGTGTATGAGGGAGGGGGCTGGGCTGGGAGGGTGTATGAGGGAGGGGGCTGGGCTGGGGGAGAGGTTTGGGAGGATTCCTACATCACGTGGCTCTTCAGGTTTGGAGATTTTCTTTGTTTGCGAAAAGCGGAGCGAACAGTACCGGAGTGTGTCCTCAGGTACCACACAACGTGTGTGTGAGAGAGAGAGTGTGAGAGAATGTGTGTGTGAGAGTGTGTGTGTGAGAGAGAATGTGTGTGTGTGAGTGAGAATGTGTGAGTGTGTGAGAGAGAATGTGTGTGAGAATGTGTGTGTGAGTGAGAATGTGTGTGTGTGTGAGAATGTGTGAGTGTGTGTGTGAGAGAGAATGTGTGTGAGTGTGAGAGAGAGTGTGTGTATGAGAGTGTGTACTGGTCCGTTACAGTGTGTGTGAGTGGGTCAGCTTCAACCTGTGTGTGTGAGTGAGGGGGCAGTTACTGTTCGTGTGTGTGTGTGTGTGTGTGAGTGAGGGGGCAGTTACAGTGTGTAAGTAAGTGTGTGCTGGTCAGTTACTGTGTGTGTGGGGGAGAGTGTGCGTGTGGGGGAGAGCGGGTGTGGGGGGGGGGAGGAGTGCGCGTGTGTGTGTGTGGGGAGGAGTGTGTGTGGGGGAGAGCGGGTGTGGAGGGGGGGAGGAGTGCGCGTGTGTGTGTGTGTGTGTGTGTGTGTGGAGGAGTAGTGTGTGGGGGGGGGGGGGGTGAGTGCGCCTGTGTGTATGGGGGGGGGGGGAGTGTGCGTGTGTGTGTGTGTGTGTGTGTGTGTGTGGGGAGGAGTGTGTGTGGGGGGGGTGAGTGCGCCTGTGTGTGGGGGGGGGGGGAGTGTGCGTGTGTGTGTGTGGGGGGGGGGGGAGGAGTGCATACCTGTGTGTGGGGGAGGAGTGCGCGCCTATGTGTGGGGTGGGGAGTGTGCGCGTGGGGGAGGGGGGAGTGCACGTGTGTGCGGGGGGAGTGTGTGCTTGTGCGGGGGGGGGGGGTGCGAGAGTGCGTGTGGGGAGGGTGTGTGTGCTGGTCAGTTACAGCTGGATGTATGGAGTGGGTAAGGGACAGTTACAACAACAACATTGCATATATAGAGTGCCTTTCACGTTGGGAGGATGTCCCAAGGTGCTGGACCCGAGCAGGGGGGAAATGGTCAGGGTGAGGGGAGGGAGGGAGGGAGGGAGGAGGGGGTAGAGAGTCGAGAGGGGACGTGAAGGCACGGTCGAAGAGAAATGCTGGTCAGGGCTGGAGCTTTTGGTGATGAAACTTTGCAGCTTTTGCTGACTCTGGTGTGAGAGTGGACCCTGTATGTGTCTCCTCACCTCCCGTCTTCCTGCAATGTAACTTGTTTTTCTCAGTAATTTTTCAAGACGTGTATTTACTAGAGAGAGTCTCGGGTCTCTCGTTTCCTCCCCGCACTCCAATGTCTCCTGTCTGTCTCTCTCTTGGACTGTGTGTGTATCTAGCGAAACCGTAGGCAAGTTTCCTTGCTCCACACGTCTGTTTACTTAGCAATAAGTAGGAACCCGGTTGTTAGCTGATTGGCAGGTCACATTCCAGGGATAATAATCTCTTTTTTAAAAAAAATTGTGGTCATTCAATCCACGACTGTTTGTGGGACACTGCTATACACAATTGGCTGCCGCGTTTCACCCACAAAATAGTCACTACACTTTACAGTGTATTCTGTGAAGCGCTTTGAGATGACTCGAAGACGTGATAAGGCATTGTATCAAATGCGAGGATCATTATGTGTTTCTGGCTGAAGCTCCTCACCACATTACATTCCCACTTTTGTCTCCAGCACCTGGGACCTTCATGCTCCCCCAGACTGTTTGAGCTCCTGGGAAGCCAATAAAATCATTTCCCTAATTTTCAAGGGATGGGATTATATTAGAGAGCTCCAGTGGGGGAACGAGCACCAGCACAGCCTAAACTTTCTGCCTCGGGGTTGATTCGTGATCCTCTGGAATATTAGAATTAATGGTTTGTTGAAACATCCGAGCTCGAGGCACTGGCAGAGCTAGTTCCCCTGTCAGTGACAGCACGTTAGAGACACAGTAAAGCTCCCTCTACACTGTCCGTCCACACTCCCAGGTCAGGGTTAGAGACACAGTAAAGCTCCCTCTACACTGTCCGTCCACACTCCCAGGTCAGGGTTAGAGACACAGTAAAGCTCCCTCTACACTGTCCGTCCACACTCCCAGGTCAGGGTTAGAGACACAGTAAAGCTCCCTCTACACTGTCCGTCCACACTCCCAAGTCAGGGTTAGAGACACAGTAACGCTCCCTCTACACTGTGTGTCCACACTCCCAAGTCAGGGTTAGAGACGCAGTAAAGCTCTCTCTACACTGTGTGTCCACACTCCCAGGTCAGGGTTAGAGACACAGTAACGCTCCCTCTACACTGTGTGTCCACACTCCCAAGTCAGGGTTAGAGACGCAGTAAAGCTCTCTCTACACTGTCCGTGCAACGTGTGGTAGGTTGGAGTTGTATTGGATAGGCGGTCGGGAGGAAGGGAGGGGCTCTGGGAACAATCGCTCAGTGTGTAAAGTAATCCCCGGTTTGTGACTCACAGGGACTGAGCAGCGGCCTGAGAGGCAAGTGAAACTTCCCAGCCATTCCTGCTACCTCAGAGCCGAGTCTCCCACAATCCCAGCTCGGCTCTACGTCTCCAGCACCTCACCAGCTCATTCCCGCTTCCTGATCACCGCACTGCTGCCCACCCCCAGCCCGGCACGCACAGCAATCTGTGCACAGCAATGTCCCGCAAACAGCCATGAAGTGAATGAGGAGTTTTATGTGGGGATTGTTCACCAGGACACTGGGCTGGGAGAGAGAAACCTCCTTTTTGAGTGTTGTCCCGGGATCTTCAGCCTCCACCGGAACAGGGCAAAAGCGGGACCTCAGTTTTGAAGGTGTCCCTGACAATGTGGTGCTCTCTCTGCCCCCCCCCCAGCACTGTGCTAAAACATCAGCTTGGACTGTGAGTCCCCCCCACCCACCCCCTCAGCCTGGGGCTAAGCCCACAGCCTTGTGTGTGAGCAAAGCTGGGAGGTGGGGTTGCAGTCAGTCCTGAGATGGCAGCTGGTGTGTGTGCGTGTCCGGACAGGCATGTGGATTTTGAATGTTTTTTCTTGTTGCAGTGATTTTGTTTGGGAGGGGCTAAAACATTACACAGCAGCGATCTCCCGGCCTGACCCTCAGCGCCGTGTGCCAGTCTGATGCACCCCGGGACCCCCATCACCTGATCCCCTGCAGCTGCACTGTTTTTTTTCCAGAATCTCTAATCTCTTTGTCTGATTTGTATAAGGAGTTAATTCTGAAGATTTTGCAGTGACCGAATCACATGAGCAGGTGAGGTTCAGGCCGGTCTCCTCTCTCGCTCTCTTGCACGCACACTCTGTTCTCAGGGGTTGGTCTGATGTGGGGTGTTGGGTGGGTGGGGGTTAAGCAGTGCTCCAGTAACAACTCCCTCACCCACACACTCAGGATTTGGTGGACCTGAAGGGTGAGGTGTTTTGGGGCTGAGAGTGTTTGTGTGTGTGTGTGGGGGGGGGCGCATGATTGGGTGTTAAGCAGTTCTCCAGTAACACCTGCGCTCCCCTCACCCCCCCACCCAGTGAGCACCATGAGCTGGAGCTTCCTGACCCGGCTGCTGGAGGAGATCCACAACCACTCGACCTTCGTGGGGAAGATCTGGCTGACGGTGCTGATCGTGTTCCGGATCGTGCTGACGGCGGTGGGCGGTGAGTCCATCTACCACGACGAGCAGAGCAAGTTCGTGTGCAACACGCAGCAGCCGGGCTGCGAGAACGTGTGCTATGATGCCTTCGCTCCGCTCTCCCACGTCAGGTTCTGGGTCTTTCAGATCATTATGATCTCGGTGCCGTCCATCCTGTACCTGGGCTTCGCCGTTCACAAGATCGCCCGCACAGAGGCCGTGCCCCCCCCGCGCCGGCGCCCCCCCCCCATCGTGCACCGTGGCCCCGCGCGAGATTACGAGGAGGCCGATGGGGACGACGAGGAGGACCCCATGATCTGTGAGGAGATGGAGCCGGAGCCACCGGCCGGGAAGGGGAGGCAGCCGATGCCGGAGAGGAAGCAGCACGACGGGCGGCAGAGGATCAAGCAGGACGGGCTGATGAAGGTTTACGTGGCGTCCCTCATCGCCCGCACCGGCTTCGAGGTGGGCTTCCTGTTCGGCCAGTACCTGCTGTACGGCTTCGAGGTGATCCCCGGCTTCGTGTGCAGCACCAAACCTTGTCCACACACCGTGGATTGCTTCGTGTCGCGGCCCACCGAGAAGACCATCTTCCTGCTGGTCATGTACGTGGTGAGCAGCTTGTGTTTGCTCCTCAACCTCCTGGAGCTGCTGCACCTGGGGGTGGGGGGCGTCCGGGACGGGCTGCGTGGCCGGAGACGCCGCGGCCCACCTGCCTCGGCCCCCGCGCACTCCCACGCGCCCCCCGGCTACCACTCCCTCCTCGCCAAGGAGCAGTACCGGCACCGACTGGCCAATGGGGCCCCCGCATTCGGCGGCCAACCCTCCGACGACCTCCAACATCTGCGCCACCACCTGCACCTCGTCCAGCAGCAGCTGGACATGGCCTTCCGGAACCATCCGGCCGCAGAGCCGGGCAGCCACTCCCGCAGCGGCAGCCCCGAGTCCAACAGCACAGCCGCCGAGCAGAACCGACTGAACTCGGCTCAGGAGAAAGAGGGGGCGCCGGCTGCGTGCGCAGGTACGGGCTGGGACTCGGCGGCGGGGGGGCCTGAGGCAGGACACGGCAGGGGGTGTGGGTGGACAGTGGAGGAGCAGTGATGGGTACTGGGCAAATGGGATGTGTGGGGTAGGAGGGCAGGGGGTAGGAGGGCAGGGGGTAGGGTGTGGCCGGGATGAACAGTACGGTGGGGGGGGGGGGGGGGGAGGGGTATCTGAGTGGGGCTGACTGTCCGCTTTGTCCACAGGGGTGAAGGGATGAGGGCGAAGTGGAGCCTGAACTCGGTACCACACAATGACTGGAAGATTGCAGCAGCTGATGTGACGATTCCGGGGTGGGTGGTGGGGGGCAGTTTCAAAGGGTGGGGGGTGGGTTCTAGTTTTTAATAGGTGCTGAGTGGAGGAGCCGGGTTTAGTACTGGGTCTTTGGTGCTGTTTGGTGGCTGGTGGTTGGGGGGTTCCCTCCCCACACCCCCACCCGTGCCCACCCCGCCTTCTCTCAAGGTTTGTACTTTTGTTGAATTTATAGATGCGTCTTCTTCGTTGTTGTAGCGTTTAGGTCTCATTTACGAGCGTAGAACATTCCAGATCACTTGCTGATCAGCCTATTTTTCTATATCTATTTTCGGGGAATCGGTGGTGTGGATGAGGAACTGAGGAAAAGTGAGTGACGCTGTGGGGGGGGGGGGGAGGAATGTGAGTCCTGACATTTCAGACCAGAGGCTGCTGTCCTCTGATTCTGACATCTGGGGTGTGGGGGGGGGCCTGTTTACAGTTCCCGGCCTTGTTGTTTACAGAACCATGGCCTCCCCCTCGCTCGCTCCCTGTGGGGGTGGAGGGAGAGGGGGGGGTGAACCAGCACATTTTTAACCTTTGTACTTGGTCTAACTGAATTTTGTACTTTTTTTTAGAAAAATATAAAGATTCACAAACTCACAAAAACCTCAGTCACAGTCAATTATTTGATACAGTGCCTTATCACGTCTTCGAGATGTCTCAAAACGCTTCACAGAATATGTTTTAGTGACTGTTGTATTTTATAGACGTAACGCAGCAGCCAATTGTGCACAACTGTGTCCCAAAACAGTCGTGGATTGAGAGACCAATTTTTTTTGAAGGGGTTATTACCCTTGGAAAAGCGATCCTCCAATCGACTAACAACTGGGTTCCTACTTCTAGGGAGGACAGATTTGCAAGGCTGTGAGGAGAGCGCGGGGGAGTAAGGGAACAGACCCAGTAAAGACCTGGGAATGAGAGCCACACCACCCGCCATGGCGGTTAGATCGTGGGGTGTGATGGAATGTGTTGTGGGATGGTATGGCCTCAGTGAGGGGGAAGGTGTCACCTGGAGAGATCCAGATTTCAGTGAGGGTGGGTGGTGGGGGAGAGGAGTTTGCATGACCGGGGAGAAGGATTGATTAGGTCGGGAGGTGAATGAGAGAGGACAGGTTCGTATTGTTGCGGAGTTCAAAGAGCATCAAATGCGATTCTCCTTCAGCCTCTCCGCCCTCACTTTCCATCCCGGAATCTCCCCGGTCACCCCCTCTCTTGCCTCCTTCAAGGCCCATCTTAAGACCTTCCCTTTGGCCATCCTCCAACCCCCGGCTCGGGTCCAGACCCTTCAACCTCCAGCACTTTGGGATGTCCACCCGACTTGGAAGGCGCTATAAATGCGATTGGTTGTTTTCCGATTTTCCTCCCGGGAGTTTGCGCGGACCCCCGGTGGAGCGGGTGGGGGTGGGGCGGAGCAGCAGTGACTGCTGCCAGGTTCACTACCGGCTCCAGGAAGTCCCGGTGGAGGAGACTTTGCTGAACCATCGGTGGTGAGCGCGGAGGCCGAGAGCTTCCAGTTACAGGTTTGACCATAAAAGCAGCGTCGACACCGGGAGCAGCGACCCCAGAGTTTAATGACTTGATACTGACAGCAACGGGAATAGCGACAAAACCGACAGAAACTGTCTGAAACCATTCCCGTTCGTTACTCTGTCCCTCGGCAATCCCTCCCTCCCTCCCGGTCTCTCGGGGAAGGGGGAGAGCCCCAACACCCGCACCCCCGGGTTTGGGGTCAGATACACGCGCACTCATCAGTGATGATGTTGGGGATGGTCTCGTATTTGAAGGTGAAGCCGCCGTCGGAGGTGGTGCGGACCCGGAGCGGCCGCATGGTCCCGGGCACCGCGCTGCAGCACTCCCGCAGGGCCGGACTGGCCGCCAGGTGGTTGGAGTTGGCGCAGGTGCCGTTACAGTAGTAGAAGGTGAAGACGCTCGGCTGCACGATCCAGTTACCCCAACCGAGCGCCGCGAAGCTGATGTTGACGGCCGAGCGATGGCAGTCGTCGTGGACCATCTCCGGGGAGGGCGGTCTCTGCAGGAGGCGGACAGAGGCCGGGGACCAGGGCGCGGAGGCGCGCCGGGAGCGGGCGGGACCCACCGCCCGGGTGTTGGACAGGATGAAGGGCAGGTGGCCGTGGGGGGGGCCGCACGGGCACCGCGGGCACCGGACCTGCAGCATCAGCAGCTTGTGGGAGAGGAACGGCAGCCGGTGCGCGGCGATGGTGAACACCAGCCACCGGCCGTGTGTGCGGCTGCTCTCCGCCGCGCTCACAAACCGGTCCTTCTCGGTCAGCACGAACAGCCCCGCGCCCGCCCCCGCCTCGGCCACCCCCGCCCCCCCCTCGCCCTCCGCCTCGGCCCCCCCCGCCTCGCCCCCGCCCCGACCCCCGCCCCCCCCGCCTCGCCCCCCGCCCCGACCCCCGCTGCCCCGCTGTAGAACCAGAGCTGTGCCGCGGTGACGAGGCGGCGCTGGGAGTGCGCTGAGGGTTGGAACAGGAACGTGTGGTCACCGCCAAAGCCGCCGACGCGCACATCACACGGGATCTCTGTAACGGAACACAAACCGTCAGTCACATCGCCATCTGCCGAGGAATCGGCGCCGCTTCTCTGACACTGTCCCACCGACTCGGCCACTGCCCCGTGACCGGGAGTAAAGGGCAGCTCTGAGGTCACTCACAACGGCCGGAGTGAGTCTGTCCAGGTCACACCCTCCAGCTCTGCACACCGGTGCCCCGGACTGACCGGCGCCCCACCCTCTCCCGGACTGACCGGCGCCCCACCCTCTCCCGGACTGACCGGCGCCCCACCCTCTCCCGGACTGACCGGCGCCCCACCCTCTCCCGGATTGACCGGCGCCCCACCCTCTCTCGGACTGACCGGCGCCCCACCCTCTCCCGGATTGACCGGCGCCCCACCCTCTCTCGGACTGACCGGCGCCCCACCCTCTCCCGGACTGACCGGCGCCCCACCCTCTCTCGGACTGACCGGCGCCCCACCCTCTCCCGGACTGACCGGCGCCCCACCCTCTCCCGGATTGACCGGCGCCCCATCCCCCAGAGAATCCACTTTAACATCCCAGTCCTCACTGTTAAAGTCCTCCCCATGGCATTGCTCCTCCCCAACCTCTATTGGCAGTCGGGTACTCTGGAACTTCATCCTGGAGCCCCTCCACCTCACCCCCTCCCAAAACCCATCCCAAGACCTTCCTCTTTGACCTCGGCCCCTTCCCCCCCATTCCTCTCTGACCCCAACCCCAGCCTCCCTGTGACAGGCCATGCCTACGTGTAATTTGTTGCTGTTGTCACTCTCCAGTGCCACTCACCAGAAATGGGGAATAAGATGACCTCAGACTTGTCAGCGTCTTTGCTGGTCTGGTGTGCGAGCCAGCGGGTGAGGCGGCGAGCCAGGCGCGGGTTGGTGAAGGGGTTGCTGTGGTGGAGGGTGCCCAGGGGAGGGGTCTGGGGGGTGTTGGGGGGTGCGTCCAGGCCCAGCCGCTCCAGCATCTCCTCCTGAGCCTGTGCCAGGATGGCATCCTCACTGAGACTGTGCTGCGAGCAGCCTGTCACCAACCCCGGCAGCACCCACACCCCCAGCACAGCCAACATCAGCATCCCACACCTGTGAGAGAGAGAGTACTAAACACGCATCCACACCTGTGTGTTAGAGAGTATCAAACACGCATCCACACCTGTGTGTTAGAGGGTATCAAACACGCACCCACACCTGTGTGTTAGAGGGTATCAAACACGCACCCACACCTGTGTGTTAGAAAGAGTATTAGAGGAGTCCTGTAGCTCAGTGGTTAGAGCACTCGCTTTGCAAGTGAGAGACCTAAGATCAATTCCAGGCAGAGGGCGAAACCTTGGGCAAGTTTCCTTACTCCACACAGAGCCTAATAATAATCCCTCCAAAACAATACAATAATAAATTGGTCATTTTCAATCTACGACTGTTTGTGGGACATTGCTGTGTGCAATTGGCTGCCGCGTTCGCCCACAAATATACAGTCAATTCACTTTACAGTGTGTTCTGTGAAGCACTTTGGGACGTCCTCCCGACATGAAAAGCGCTATATCAAATGCAAGGATTATTATTATTATAAACACGCACCTGCACATGTGTGTTAGAGAGAGTATTAAACACTCACCCACACCTGTGTGTTAGAGAGTATTAAACACGCATCCACACCTGTGAGAGAGAGCGAGACAGTGTCAAACACGTACCCACATCTGTGTGTTATAGGGTTAGGGGAGTATTAAACACACACCCACATCTGTGTGTTAGAGAGAGTATTAAACACGCACCCACATCTGTGTTAGAGAGAGTATTAAATACACACCCACGTCTGTGTGAGAGAATCAAACACGCACCCACATCTGTGTTTGTGTGTGTGTCAGAGCGCTTAACAGTGGGGGCTCGCGAAGGGTGGGGGGGGGAGAGGTGACCGTAAGCACAGTCGAAAAATAAGGTTTTCAGACAGGACGTGAAAAAGCAGAGAGAGAGTGTTCCACAGTTGTGGGGCGTAATGGCTGAGAGTGCGACCTCCAATGGTGGAGCGGAGGGTGTGAGGGACAAGCAGTGGATCGGGTCTATCACGAGGTTTGTACCCACAGGTAGGGCGGGAACGGAGTAGTGGGGGGGGCAGTGTATGGGGTGGGGTGGGCGGGTAGTAGGGCGGGGGGTATGTATGAACTGGGAGGTGAATGGTCGCCCACTGGGATTCTTCGCAGCTCAGGTATGTTTATCTGCTCAACCTTCTTGTTCTCGGCCCTCGACCCTCCCCCACCCCAACCCCTGCCCTCCCATGTGCAGGTGACCCGGACAGAGAGTGTGTGGGGGTTACACACGGAGTGTGTGGAGCTGGTGAGGGAGCTGGTGGAGTGGCTTCGTGCTCCCTGGGAGGAGATGTTTGGAGTGCCACTGAGTCACCGTGCAGTCCGATCTGGACTGGCTGGAGGCCTGAACGAGTGACGGCCACCACAGAGCAACACAAGGCAGTTTGTCCCGGGAACAGCCCACGGCCGATGGTGTGAGCTGCTGACCGCCAGGGCGTGACCGTCTCGGCCCTGTCCTGCCCGGCTGCATTTGGGGTAAGGTACGGTCGGAGGCGGGCAATGTGGCGGAGGTGGAGGAATGCTGTTCTGATCAGGGACCAGATGTGGGGGAAGAATGACAACTGGGGGTTGAACTGAGCACTAACATTGCGCACTGGTTCGGTGAGTCTGAGGGAGAACCCAGGGAGATTCAGGAGTTCAGATCCACAGGAGTGAAGACATTGACGGGAGCCAAGGAGTACACCTTCCATCTTCTCCATATTCAGCTGCAGGAAGTTTACACTTATCCAGACCCTGATGTCTCTGCCTGGGATTGAACTCAGGTCTCTCGCTTGCAAAGCGAGTGCTCTAACCACTGAGCTACAGGACTCCACAAATCCAGGAGAACGAGAAGGCAGAGGGTGAGCATCACACACACACACCTGTGAGAGAGCATCACACACACACCTGTGAGCATCACACACACACCTGTGAGAGAGCATCACATACACACCTGTGAGTGAGGATCACATACCTGTGAGAGACGGTGAGCATCACACACACACCTGTGAGAGTGGAAAAGAGAGAAGTGTTTGATAAAGACAGTCAGATGTGTATGAAAGACTGATAAAGAGCGTAAGAGAGAAAGATGTGAGAGAAGGACAGACAGTGATTGTGAGACACGTACCGTGTGATACAATTGTCTGTGAAATTTCCACGCTGTGCCAGGGTATACCACGCTGTACCAATCTGTGCCAGGATGCTCCACACTCTGAGCGAGCGAGCAGTATGTGAATGTGCGAGACCCTGACTGGTTATCGGGCAGTGGCTCTGCACCTCCCCCACTGGGACTGCTCTGGGTGTCTGGGAATGGCTGATATCTGAGGAATCCCGTGTTGTGTCTGTGAGAGAGAGAGAGCACGACCTTCACCCAGCACGCAGTGTGGTGCCCACCGCAACTCTCACCCTGTCTGACCCTCATTGGACCTACCCACAGCTGCCCACTCTCACCCCAGCAGCAGGAGGTGTCGGGGGATTTGAACTCACATTCCAGGCTGACGCTCCAGCGCAGTGCGGGGGAGGGGCAGGGGAGAGGGTACATTCCCTTTTCTCCCCATGTGTCTGGAGTCCTGTAGCTCAGTGGTTAGAGCACTCGCTTTGCAAGCGAGAGACTTGAGTTCAATTCCAGGCAGAGGGCGAAACCTTGGGCAAGTTTCCTTACTCCACACAGAGCCTAATAATATTCCCTCCAAAACAAAAACAATAATAAATTGGTCATTTTCAATCTACGACTGTTTGTGGGACATTGCTGTGCGCAATTGGCTGCCGCGTTTGCCCACAAATATACAGTCAATCCACTTTACAGTGTGTTCTGTGAAGCGCTTTGGGACGTCCTCCCGACGTGAAAAGCGCTATAGCAAATGCAAGGATTATTATTATTATTATCATCTTTTCCCAGACCATGGCAACGCCAGTGCCTGACACCAGGTGAGAGTGACTGAGGTCCAGTGCCAGTGACTGAGGGCCTGAGGAGGATGACTGAGGAGCTTTGGAAGGGTGGCTTCCTGTGAGGAGGGTGAGGAGCCTGCCTTGTCCCTTGGTAACTATTTATTTTTAGGCTCAAGTGCATGGCTGTCCGGCTGCTGTCCTATCAGCCCGCTGCCCCTCCCCCCGGGACCTGCTGAGGGATATTTCGGGAGTGACAGCTGGGCCTCTCAGCTCCAGGACAGTCACAGGAGGTGACGGAGTGAGGCTCAAGAGACGGTAAGAGAACCTCGGCCAGACAGTGAGCGGGAGACGTGGGGTATAGGGGCGACGAGTGGGGCTGGGAGGCTTTGTGGTGACCAGGCCAGAACACTATCACAGTGAGGAGAGAGTCTGACTGACTGACTGACAGCCTGTCCTGTGTTGTACAGCTCCAGGCCGGACGATGGATGTGTTTGGTGGGGCTCCGAGGTTCCTGGCGTACCCGCGGATGCTGAGCGTGCCGTCGGGGGCTGACGCGGTGCTGAAGTGCCAGATCGGGGGCGACCCCCGTCCCGAGGTGTACTGGGAGAGAGACAAGGAGCGGCTGCTGGCGATGGGCCGGTACCGGCTGCTGGAGGACGGCACTGTGTACAACCTGATCATCGCCCGCGTGGGCCTGGAGGACAGCGGTCAGTACATCTGCAAAGCCAAGAACACCGTTGGCGAGACGTACGCTGCAGCCACACTCCGCGTGGAGGCAACCGAGCCCAGCAACGGGGCTGACCCGCCGGCGTTCCTGGTCAAACCAGCGTCCAGCAGGGTGGTCCGGGGAGACAGTGTGCTCTTCAGCTGCCACCTGTCCGGTCGGCCCGAGCCGCTGGTGACCTGGGAGAAGGATGGCCGCGGGCTGAGTGATATTTTTGAGAGCAGCCATTTCCACGCCGGACGTGCCGATGGCGGCTGGTACTTCTTGAAGATCTTGTCAGTCCGGACACCGGACGCCGGTGTGTACGTGTGCAAGGCACAGAGTGAGTTCGGCGAGGCCATGGGCGCCGCAGTGCTCCTGGTGGACCCTGGCAACGAGGAGGGTCCCGTTGCCCAGCCTCAGTCCCATCCCCACCCGCCAGGAGGAGACGCTCCCCGCGAGCGGAAGCACAGGAGCCGTCACCGAGCGCTGCATGGCTCGGAGCTGGCCGTGCTTCCAGCGCCACAGGATGGAGACGGGACACGGCCGACCAAAGTGAAGGTCTTTTCGGTCACCGAGGGCAAACACGCCAAGTTCCGCTGCTATGTGTCGGGCAAACCGAAGCCAGAGGTTGTGTGGAGGAAGGACAACGTGGTGATCGTTCCTGGCCGCCGGCACCTCCTGTGTGAGGATCGGCGAGGCTACTGTGTCCTCAAGGTTCTTTACTGCCGCCAGCGGGACAGTGGCCTCTACGCCTGCACTGCCTCCAATGCTGCTGGGCACACCCTCAGCGCTGTGCTCCTCACTGTCAATGGTGAGCCTCCCGCTCGGCACAGCACAATAATAGACTGCGTCAAGTAAAAAGACAGGATGCTGGTGGCAACACAGCCTGGGCTCATCATCATATACAGGCACAGACCAGGGGGAGCGAGCACAACGGGGAGAGATCAGGGAATGGGGTTAGAGTAGAGAGCTCCAGTGGGGGAGCGAGCCCCAGCACAGACACCATGGGGAGAGAGAAAGAGAGAGAGCAGAGATGGGGTTAGAGTAAAGAGCTCCATTGGGGGTGCGAACCCCAGCACAGACACGATGGGTGAAGGGGTTTTAAATGGCCTTGGTGCTGATAGTGAGTATCTGCTGATAAGCAGTGACGGTCGCTGCTCTCTGCCTGACGCCTTTGAAGGTTTCTCTCCTGTTTCGGGGACACTTGGGGCTGAGCGAAGCTTATGGGAGCTGCTGGGACTCAGCATTAATAATAATAATAATCCTGTGGGACAACAGCACCCAGAGAGGGGCTCCTATACTTCTGTGCTGGGCCGGTGTGTGCCCTGTTGCTGTGCCAGGACGGTTTGATGTCTCTTGTCTCTTGTGCAGAGCCGGTGAGCAGGTTCCCACGGCAGCTGGTGGATGTGACGGTGCTGGAGAGGGCGGTTGCCGTGCTGGAGTGTGAGGTTCCGGGCATGGTCCAGGCTGGAGCCTTGGAGTGGTTCCTGGAGGACCGGCGACTGCTCCCCAGCAACAAGTACGTGATGGAGTGTGACGGCACCGTCCACCGTCTCACCATCACCAACATCACCGCCGACGATGACGGCGTCTATCTGTGCGAGACCAGAGACGGCAGCCGCAGTGTGGCCGAGGTGGCGGTGAGAGGTAAGCGGGCGAGACTGAGAGAGGAACTGAGAGACAGACAGAGCCCAAGGGTGAGAGAGAGGGAATGAGTGAGCAGTCTCTGAAGAGACCTGCTGTATTCTGAAGCCGCTGCTAACCATCGCTCAGAGGCTGTCAGTCGTTGGAATCCGATCCCTGGGGCCAGATTGGGCCACGGAACAGACTGGAAAATGCGGTGTTAAATTGTAAAGGAGGCGCTGGGTGGGATGTGGCTCAGTCTGATTCAGCCGCTCTGTAACCCCAGAAATCACACAGCAACACAGACTCAGCTACACACACACATCCCACAACAGCTACACAACCTCTCTCTTTCCCATACTCTCTCTCACACACTGTAACTCTCACACTCTCTTTCTGTTGCACTGATCTTATAGAATGGCGTAACAGGCTCGAGGGGCTGAATGGCTCACTCCTGTTTCTCTCAAGCATTGACCTCTCTCCTGCACTGTCCTGGAGTCTGAGGAATTAAAGAGGAATCTCCCAAACACTGCTACGAGCGAGAACAGTCACAGGGAATTCTCAAAGTGAATATCGAACAGGAAATCTGATTTCTCCTGTTCTCAGCTTCTCGTTTGTTGCATCCCCACCCAGAGCCTCAACACTCCCGCCAGGGTTTGCAATGTCAAGGCAACATACACTCACCCCTCTCTCTGCCATCTTACTGGCTTGTTGATGTTGGACTAACATTATCTAACCCTCGCAGTCTCACTGTACTCTAGTGACCAAAGATCACCCCGGATCACCAGCAATCACAGTGTTTTACACTTTCAAAGGAAACAGAACCATTTTTCAAAGTGGATGATTTTTGCGGAACTCTGTTGTGTTTGTTTTGCAGTATCTCAGTCCTCAACCACATCATGTCCGTGTGATGCAACTTCTCGGAATATGTGCAACCAGCGCTGGCAACCCTATCTCTCTCCTATTCTCACACACTCTCCCTGCCACACACTATCTCACACACTCTCCCTGTCACACACTATCTCACACACTCTCCCTGTCGCACACTATCTCACACACTCTCCCTGTCACACACTCTCGGTGTCACTCTGTCACACTCTGTCACATACATTTTCTCTCTGCAGGGGTGATTGTGAGGCGGTTGCCACGGCGTGTGACTGTGTTGGTGGGGGAGCATGCCGCACTGTGTGTCGAGCTGGGGGAGACGGGGCTGGACGGCCACTGGTACTGGGAAGGTGAGGCTCTCAGCGAGTCTCCTACCACAATCATCAAATCATTCGGCAAAACACACATCCTTGTCCTGGTGTCTGTCGCCCTGGAGGACTCTGGCATCATCACTTTCGTGGTGAACGATTCAAAAACATCAACAGAGCTTCGAGTGAAATGTACGTGAGTGTTTAACTTTATACAACACCCAGACTGTGACGCTGTTTGACACACACTGTCAAACTAACACACCCTGTATAATACACCCAGTCACACTGTATAATACTGTGTAATACACACAGTGTCACATGGTATGATACACGTCTATAACACACACGGGTTGGTGGGGGGGGGGGCTGCTATTCTGTATAACACACGGGGTGAGGGGGGGCTGCTATTCTGTATAACACACGGGGTTGGTGGTGGGGGGCTGCTATTCTGTATACCACACGGGGTGGGGGGGGGCTGCTATTCTGTATAACACACACGCAGGGGCTGCTATTAGCTGCTTAATGGTTTTGGCTCACGGTTTTCCTTGGTTCTTTCCAAGCGGCGAGACGGAACGTTCCGAGCTGCCCGATCGGTGCCCGGATGAGTCGTGAGCGTCTGAACGCTGCCTCGCTGATGTGGGAGCCGCCGGCTGACGGTGCTGGGAGTGCGGTGGAGGGTTACATCATCGAGCGCCAGGAGGTGGGCACGGAGGAGTGGGTGCAGTGTCTGACGACCACCAGCAGCACCGCGGTGGAGATCCTGGGCGACAGCGTCCCCGCTGAGGCCGACTACAGCTTCCGTGTCTGCACCACCAACAAGTATGGGCAGAGCAGCCAACTCCTCTTCCCTGGCTCCATCCACCTGGGTAAGACCAGGCGAGCACCACAGCTGTGTGGCTACAGACACCCGGGGTTCACTGTCACTGACACCACAACACAGCGATACACTAACACCACAACACTGTGATACACTGACACCACAACACAGCGATACACTGACACCACAACACTGTGATACACTGACACCACAACACAGCGATACACTGACACCACAACACTGTGATACACTGACACCACAACACAGCAATACACTGACACCACAACACAGCAATACACTGACACCACAACACAGCGATACACTGACACCACAACACTGTGATACACTGACACCACAACACAGCGATACACTGACACCACAACACTGTGATACACTGACACCACAACACAGCAATACACTGACACCACAACACAGCAATACACTGACACCACAACACAGCGATACACTGATACCACAACACAGCGATACACTGATACCACAACACAGCGATACACTGACACCACAACACTGTGATACACTGACACCACAACACAGCGATACACTGACACCACAACACAGCAATACACTGACACCACAACACAGCGATACAGGAACACGCGATATTGACAGGACAGGAGATGGGACAGGACGGGGAGGTGGGGAGGTGCTGAGCCTGTGGGGGCTCTGGTAGCCCCACTGACGATTACACGATGTTTGCAGTGCCAGCGGCAAGGATCCGCTCCCCGTTGAGGGACGTGACTGTGAAGGAGATGGAAGATGCCGAGTTCAGCATAGAGCTGTCGGCCTCAGTGCTTGGCACCTGGTATGTGGGGGGGGAGCCAGCGCTGCAAAGTGAGAGGTTCCGACTGGTACATGCCCGCACCAGGCACTCCATCCTGATCCCAGCCCCCAGCATCCAGGATTCTCACACCGAGGTCACCTTCCTCGCCCACGGAGTGCGGGATTCCGCCATCCTATATGTTACAGGTAAGACCCCCACCTGGATTGGGGAGACAGACGGACGGACGGATGGACAGTGGGAGGGGCAGGAGAGAGGTGCAACGGTACAAGGATGGGCAGGAACTGACTGAGAGCGATAGGGTCAGTGTCCAGAGCCTTGGCTGTGTATGCGGCCTTACTGTCTGGGACACAGCAGTCAGTACGAATGTGAGAGTCACGACCACTGCCAGAGCTTCACCGTCTGGGTGTCGGGTAACAGCGGAGACTCCAACCGGGGCTGGGTGTAACCTGCATGTATATACTCGCATGTGTTTACCTTGTGTATATATGTACGTGTGTATATGTACTGTGTGTGTATATGTACTTGTAATTGTGCGCGAGTATGCACACACACGTACTCTTGTGTATACACACATGCACTCGTGCACATATGTTGCCACGTCATGGTTGTGTGTTCTATACTGATAGAGCCTGCGGTGAGGATTGTGAACACGATGGACGACACACGTGGGGAGTTCACCGTGGGGGAGCGGGTGGCGCTGGTGTGTCAGCTGTCCAGCTCCGCGGCTGCGGTCACTTGGTACAGGGATGGCCTGGAGGTGGGAGCGACGGAGGAAATCAGCACCGAAGCGGACGGGGTGCACCGCAGGCTAGTCATCCACTGCGCCAGCACGGAACATTCTGGAGAGTACGTGTGTGATGCTGGCAACGACTCCATCTTTTACGACATCTGTGTGCGAGGTGAGAATGCTCGGAATCCCCCCGACACACTCAGACACAGCTCGAACCTTGCCAGGGCTCGTGTGGAGTTTAAACCCCGGCCTGAACAGGCTTGCAAGCATCTGTCTTGGTGCTGCCGCTGCCCGTCTGTGTTACTCTGTTATTGTCTCTCACAGAAGTGCCGCAGAGACAGTTGGTGTCCGGCTGCTGCAGGTGTGGCCGGTGAGCGGATGGTGCGAGGTACCAGGTGTCCAGTGACAGCGAGCGGGTCGCGACTGAAGGGGTGGGGGGTGTGGTGGGGGTAGCTGAGCAGACACCTGGTCAATCTCAGCTTGTATGTCAGCGACATGGGTGAGGACATCTGCCAAGTCAAGAATGGCTCTGTGTCCTTCGACATATGTGTGTCAGGTAAAAGCAGTGAGAACATGTGATGTACAGAGGATCAGTCAGTCGTGAGACTCAGGGTCCAACCCTGCAGCTTCTTCTCCCACATTTCAAGCTTCATGTAATGTTACCGTCTGCCCCGCACGCACTCTGCATCTGCGGTAAGATGCTGAGCATCTGCGCTCCTCAGTAATGATTCCTGTGTCTTTTCTCCCAGAGCCGCCAGTGAGAATCGTCAGGGTGGCGGAGTGGGCGCGGCAGTGTGTGGTGGGCACGGACGTGGTGCTGAGCTGTGAGCTGTCTCGGGCCAACGCTGAAGTGACTTGGTACAAGGGTGAGGTCGAGGTGGAGATCGGCGAGAGGATGAGAGTGGAGGCCGAGAGTGTGCACAGGAGGCTGGCCATCCACAGTGCCACCCTGGAAGACAGCGGAACATACGTGTGTCAAGTGGGCGACGATGAGACAGCATTCGAGGTGCAGGTGTCTGGTCAGTATCAGCCCCATAACTGCAGTATCTGCGGTCACTGACGTGTTTGGTATCTGCAGTTACATCGGTATCTGTGGTCACGTGTAGTCACGTGTTTGGCATTGGTATCTGCGGTCAGATGCTCAGTGTCTGCGCTCCTTGGCAATGAATCCTGTGTCTCTTCTCCCAGAGCCGCCGGTGAGAATCGTCAGGGTGGCGGAGGGGCCATGGCAGTGTGTGGTGGGCACGGATGTGGTGCTGAGCTGTGAGCTGTCTCGGGCCAACGCTGAAGTGACTTGGTACAAGGGTGAGGTCAAGGTGGAGCCCGGCGAGAGGATGAGAGTGGAGGCCAAGGGCGTGCACAGGAGGCTGGCCATCCACAGCGCCACCCTGGAAGACAGCGGCACATACGTGTGCCACGTGGGTGAAGACGAGACAGCGTTCGAGGTGCAGGTGTCTGGTCAGTATCTGCAGTCACATGCTCGGTACCTGCGGTCACGTGCTCAGTATCTGCGGTCACGTGTTCTGTTTCTGAAGTGTCATGCTTAGTATCTGTACGTCTCGGCAATGAATCGGTGCCTTTTTTCTCCCAGAGCCGCCGGTGAGAATCGTCAGGGTGGCGGAGTGGGCGCGGCAGTGTGTGGTGGGCACGGACGTGGTGCTGAGCTGTGAGCTGTCTCGGGCCAACGCTGAAGTGACTTGGTACAAGAGTGAGGTCAAGGTGGAGCCCGGCGAGAGGATGAGAGTGGAGGCCGAGGGCGTGCACAGGAGGCTGGCCATCCACAGTGCCACCCTGGAGGACAGCGACACATACGTGTGTCAAGCGGACGACGATGAGACAGCGTTCGAGGTGCAGGTGTCTGGTCAGTATCAGCCCCATAACTGCAGTATCAGCGGTGCTCATTTGTTTGTATCTGCAGTTACATGGATATCTGTGGTCACGTGTAGTCACGTGTTTGGCATTGGTATCTGCGGTCAGATGCTCAGTGTCTGCGCTCCTTGGCAATGAATCCTGTGTCTTCTCCCAGAGCCGCCGGTGAGAATCGTCAGGGTGGCGGAGGGGCCACGGCAGTGTGTGGTGGGCACGGACGTGGTGCTGAGCTGTGAGCTGTCTCGGGCCAAAGCCGAAGTGACTTGGTACAAGGGTGAGGTCGAGGTGGAACTGGACGAGAGGGTGAGATTGGAGGCCGAGGGTGTCCACAGGAGGCTGACCATCCACAGCACCACCCTGGAGGACAGCGGCACATACGTGTGCCACGTGGATGATGACGAGACAGCGTTCGAGGTGCAGGTGTCTGGTCAGTATCTGCTGTCACATGCTCGGTATCTGCTGTCACATGCTCGGTATCTGCAGTCACATGCTCGGTATCTGCAGTCACATGCTCAGTATCTGCGGTCACATGCTTGGTATCTGCGGTCACATGCTCGGTATCTGCGGTCACATGCTCGGTATCTGCGGTCACATGCTCGGTATCTACGGTCACATGCTCGGTATCTGCGGTCACATGCTTGGTATCTGCGGTCACATGCTTGGTATCTGTGGACACGTGTTCGGTTTCTGAAGTGTCATGCTTAGTATCTGTACGTCTCGGCAATGAATCGGTGCCTTTTTTCTCCCAGAGCCACCGGTGAGAATCGTCAGGGTGGCGGAGTGGGCGCGGCAGTGTGTGGTGGGCACGGACGTGGTGCTGAGCTGTGAGCTGTCTCGGGCCAATGCTGAAGTGACTTGGTACAAGGGTGAGGTCAAGGTGGAGCCCGGCGAGAGGATGAGAGTGGAGGCCGAGGGTGTCCACAGGAGGCTGGCCATCCACAGTGCCACCCTGGAGGACAGCGGCACATACGTGTGCCACGCGGGCGACGATGAGACAGCGTTCGAGGTGCAGGTGTCTGGTCAGTATCAGCCCCATAACTGCAGTATCAGCGGTCACTCATTTGTTTGTATCTGCAGTTACATGGATATCTGTGGTCACGTGTAGTCACGTGTTTGGCATTGGTATCTGCGGTCAGATGCTCAGTGTCTGCGCTCCTTGGCAATGAATCCTGTGTCTTCTCCCAGAGCCGCCGGTGAGAATCGTCAGGGTGGCGGAGGGGCCACGGCAGTGTGTGGTGGGCACGGACGTGGTGTTGAGCTGTGAGCTGTCTCGGGCCAACGCCGAGGTGACTTGGTACAAGGGTGAGGTCGAGGTGGAACTGGACGAGAGGGTGAGATTGGAGGCCGAGGGCGTGCACAGGAGGCTGGCCATCCACAGCACCACCCTGGAGGACAGCGGCACATACGTCTGTCAAGCGGGCGACGATGAGACAGCGTTCGAGGTGCAGATTTCTGGTCAGTATCTGCCCCTCGCACGTGTTTCACGCAGGTTGTAGCGCGTGTGTTGTGTGTGAATGCGGGTCATACGCTGACCCGGTGGTGTGTTACAGAGCCCCCAGTGTCCATCGTCCGGAGCCCGGAAATCGCGGAGGATCAGTGCTTCGCAGCGTCGGAGGTGATTGTGGTGACGTGCATAGTGTCGCAGCCCGACGTGGCCGTGCGATGGTACAAGGATGGGACAGAGCTTCTCCCCGACTCGAAAATCACAATCGAGAGTCAGGGTCTGAGCCGGGAGCTGATCATCCACGACTCGGAACCGATGGATTCCGGCCAGTACGTGTGTGACGCCGGCACAGGTCAGCTGACCTTCCGAGTGACCGTGACAGGTACGTCCCAGCGTTCCCACCGAGCATCCCGATCTGCCGGCCGTGCTCCCACTCTGGACACTGACCGTTCCGGCTGCAGAAACCAACTGCTCTTGTCCGACACACTGACCTCTTTAGCTCCGGACACTGACCGCTCCTATTCTGGACATTCTCTCAGAACCGCCGGTGCTGTTCACAAACAAGGAACCTGAGGAGGAGGAGGTGTGGGTGCTGCGGGGAGGGAACGCCGTGCTGTGCGGGATCGTTTCCCGGGATGCCGCTGTGGTTACCTGGTACCGACACCGGGAGGAGGTTTGTGCCGGTGAGAAATACCAGCTCAGGACCGAAGCCAGAGTCCACAGCCTAGTGGTCAACAACTGCGTGAGAGAAGATTCCGGACTGTACGCCTGTCACTCGGCTGACGACGTCATGATGTTCAACCTGACAGTGGAAGGTAGGGCAGGGAGTGGGAAAGGACTGGGGTAAAGGGGCATTCGGGTGGGGGGGGTGGAAGGGCATCAGCTGGAAATCATTTTACATTTAATACAGAGTTCGTTGTTCAGGACGACAGTTTTCTGTGTGTAGGTGACATAGATATGTGGAGCTCTCAGTGTGGTTTGGAAACTCTTTGAATGATGATGGGTTTCCATGTGTCAGACACCCGACTGGTCACAGTGATGGGTTTCCATGTGTCAGACACCCGGCTGGTCTCGGTGACAGGTTTCCGTGTGTGTCAGACACCCGGCTGGTCACGGTGACGGGTTTCCATGTGTGTCAAACACCCGGCTGGTCACGGTGACGGGTTTTCATGTGTGTCAGACACCCGGCTGGTCATGCTGACAGGTGTTCATGTCTGCCCAGAGCTGCCCCACGTGTTCACACTGGGCCTGGAGGACGTCGCTGTGAGGAGCGGGGGGACACTGATTCTCCGCTGCGAGCTCTGCACAGCGCAGGCCGATATCCAGTGGCTGAAGGACGGCAAGGAGGTGGAGCCAAGCCACACGCATGTGATCCGGGCGGAGGGACGGGAACGCTCGCTGACTCTGACAGCCCCCACCCCGGCCGACCAGGGCGAGTACTGCTGCGAATCCAAGGACGACATAACCAGAGCCCAAGTGTCCGTGACAGGTCAGTACTCCCCCCACCCCCCAGAGCTCTCTCCTGTAACCCCATTCTCTGCTCCCTCCCCATCGTGTCTGTTCTGGGGCTCACTCCCCCATTCTAACCCCATTCCCTGCTCTCTCTCTCCCCATGGTGTCTGTGCTGGGGCTCACTCCCCCACTGGAGCTCTCTACTGTAACCCCATTCCCTGCTCTCTCATTCTCTCTCACTCCCCATCGTGTCTGCGCTCACTCACACTCTCCCTCCCTCACTCACTGACTCACTCACATCCTCCCTCCCTGACACACTCACACCCTCCCTCGCTCACTTGTGAGCTCACACTCGGTTGGACAGCTGTAGCTACAGCCGGATTCGCTGACGCTTTGTCGCAGAGACAGGTTTACATCAAAGTTGTTCTCTACACTACATCTGTATTCATAACAGTGTCACACACTCGCACTCTCTTCCTCTCATTCTCTCAAACTCTCTCCCTCTCACATTTTCTCACTCCCTCTAACACTCTTCTCTGTTGCTCTCTCTCACAATCACTCTTACACTCTCTCACTCTCACACTCTCTCTCTCCGAACTCTCTCATTCTCACACTCACTCTCACTCACTCTCTCACTCTCTCACTCTCTCACTCTCACACTCTCTCTCACACTCACTCTCACACTCTCCCTCACTCACACTCTCTCACTCTCACTCTCTCACACTCTCTCTCTCCCTCTCAGAGCGGCGTGTGGTTGAGTTCCTGGCAGAGCTCTGCTGTGTGACGGTGCTGGAGGGCGAGGACGCTCGCTTTAAATGCCTGTTGTCCCCGGAGGATGCGAGGCTGACCTGGCGACTGGACGGCTCGGAGGTGTCAGGGGACGGCAGCCGGTACGAGGTGTCACAGAGCGGCCTGTGCCACACACTTGTGATGCACAGCTGCCAGCCTGGCAAAGCCATCACCGTCACCGCAGAGAGCGAGGGGCTCATGTCCTCTGCCACCCTCCAGGTGCAAGGTAATGGACACCCCAATTGCCCCCCCGAGAGAGTCCATCTGAGACCCCCTCCCGCAACATCCCCCCAATAGCCCCCCAACATCCTCCCTTATTCACTTGTGCAGCCACACATCCATGCCACGCTCATGGATATGTACATATACACACCTTGCCCTCACTCACACTCTCCCTCCCTCACTCACTGACTCACTCACTCACACTCTCCCTCACTCACTGACTCACTCATACTCTCCCTCCCTCACTCACATCCTCCCTCCCTCACTCACTGTCTCACTCACACTCTCCCTCCCTCACTCACTGACTCACTCTCACTCTCCCTCCTTCACTCCCTCACTCACACCCTCGCTCCCTCCTTCCCTCACTGACTCACTCACTCACATCCTCCCTCCCTCACTCACTGACTCACTCACACCCTCCCTCCACACTCACTCACACCCTCCCTCACTCACTCACACCCACCCTCACTCCCCCTCTCACTTGCTCGCTCACACTCGGTTGGACAGCTTCAGCTACAGCTGGATTCGCTGTCTTTGTCACAGAGACACAGATTGTGTTCACTCGGAAGCTGGAGAGCCGGTCGGTGGAGGAGATGCAGGAGGTGACGCTAGAGGTGGGGGTGAGCACCGAGTGCGCCGAGGTGCGGTGGCTGAAGCAGGGTGTCCTCGTGCAGCCCGGGAACAAGTACAGCCTTCATCAGGACGGCACCACACGTCGGCTCACCATCCACAGCTGCTGCTTCTCGGACCGTGGGACGTACCAGTGCGAGACCCTGCACGACAGGACGCAGGCGCGGCTGACGATTGAGTGTGAGTGTGTGAGCTCCTGGCGAGGCAGGGGAGAGGGAGGGCAGTGTTGGGAGGGGGGAGTGTGGGGCCTGCATGGTGTGAGAGACGGTGATGGTGACATGGTTGGTGTTTGGCTGCAGCGCGCAGGATCACCGTCCGGAAGCCGCTGGTGGACGTGTTGGTGCACGAGAAGGACGCAGCCACCTTTGAGCTGGAGCTCTCGCACCCGGCGGTGCCTGGGGTTTGGCTGAAGGACGGGATCAGGGTCAAGCCGAGCAGCTCTCGCCGGGTCACCGCCAGCGGCCACGTCCACAGCCTGACTCTCTGCTCACTGGAGATGCAGGACACCGGAACCATCGCCTTCCAGACAGACTCTGTGCGCTGCTCAGCCCGGCTCACCGTCACAGGTACTCCAGCACTCGTACCCCCACACCCGTTCACCCCACTCCCTCCCCCACACCCAGAGAAGTGCCACATCCTGTTTACCTAATTCCGGAGAGTATTAGGCGCAGGTTGGCAAGAGCCAATGCTTGGAGGGAGCCCAGAGTGTGAGTAATTGCTGGAGTTCTAAACAACTAAAACCATTAGCTTGCCATTAAGATCACTGTCTGATAAGCTTTCCTGCTGCTTGTCCAGCTAGGACCAGCCTACCCGTTAAGGCTTTGGTTTGCAGGGTTAACAGGAGCTGAGTGGAAGGATTCCCTATCCCGTGACAGGTCTGTCCCTCCAAGTCCTGTTAATGAACCCGACTTGGCTGCGCTGCCATCAGCAGTGCCCTGGCAGTGCCGGGAAGCCGTGAGGGGTTTGAGTTGATTTTTCCACACGCTGATGATTCTCTCTCCCGACTGCATTCTTGCTCTCAGAGCCGCCCGTCACCTTCCTGAAGCCGCTGGAGGATCAGAGCGTCCCTGAGAGAGCAAGCGCCGCCTTTGAGTGTGAACTGTCCCAGCCGAACGCTCAGGTTACCTGGTCCAAGGTAGGCTCCAGCACTGACTCCGGCACCCAAACTCCCCGCACATCAGTACTCCCCCACACCTGTGCTCCTGTATTGCTCTTGGTGCAGTTGCCACTCCGTGGTGACCAGCTCTTGCCTGTGTTTAGGACGGTGATGTGGTGAAGCTGAACGCCAACACTCGCATTTACTGTGTGGGGAGGAAGCGGATTCTGCAGCTCAGTCAGTGCCGAGTCCAGGACAGTGGCAGCTACACCTGCGCCACCGGCCACGGCAGCAGCGTGGCTCAGTTGGCCGTTTACGGTACGTCTCCAGCTCAGCGTTTCCTGGTGCCTAACGTTACCCGAGGAGTTGGTGGCAGACACTGCGTAGTGAGTGCATCTCCCCTGCCCTCCCTCCACAGTGACCAGGCCTTCAGGTCCTCCACACCACATTCCCCTCCCTCGTCGCCTCCACCTCACCCCCTCAGCCTCAGCTACCTCTCCATCTCACCTCCACCCCACCCATCTCTCGCGTGGAATATGCTCCTCTGATGTTCTCTCTCTCCCCCCACCCCCCACTTTCTCTCACTGTCTCAACCCCCCAACCCCCACCCCCAACCCGCTGTGGGTGCTCCTCTGTGTGCAGAGCGGGAGATGAGGATTGTGAAGAGGCTGGAGCCAGTGCAGGTGCGAGAGAAGGACAACGCGCTGTTTGTGTGTGAGCTGTCCCAGGAGGGGGGGAGCGGCGAGTGGTTCCAGAACGGACACCGACTGAAGCCCAGCGACACCATCAAGATCAGGCAGGAGGGTGAGATATCTGGAGTTTGCCGCACGTTCAGCCTGTTGTATCCGTGCTGTGAGTGTGTGAGGCCAGGATGAGCCAGGCCTGTGTGAGTGGTTGAGGCCTGTGTCCCTGACTGTATCTCACAATCTCTCTGCTTTCACAGGGACCAAACATTTCCTGCTGTTGTACAGCGTGCGGTTGGAGGATGCGGGTGAGATCAGATTTGTCTCCAAACAGGCCGAGTCGGTGACTCACCTCGACGTGGACGGTACGTCGCTCACATATCACTGAATCTCGGCCCCAGAGGCTCCTCACTAACCACACGCTCCCCTCCCCTGACTGACCTACATCACCAGCCTCATCTCCCAGAGGCACCCAGACCATTCTCCTTTGTCCCAGCTCTCTCTCTCCCCACGTCGCTGCTGCTCTCCCCAGCTTAATTGGTCTCTGAGTCAGAAGATTGTGGGTTTAAGCCGCACACAGTCTAAGCTGACGCTCCAGTGCAGTACTGGGGGGAGAGAGCTACTGTCCTTCAGTCGAGGCGTTAAACCTCACTCCCGTCTGTGCCCCGTTCGGCCGGACGTTAAAGATCTTGTGGCACTGTTGGGAAAACAGAAGGGAGTTTCTTTCTCCCGGTGTCCTGGCCGACAATCCCTCAGTTAAAATCGGTCACACACATCACGGCTATTTGGTGGGACCAGTTGCCCTGTGCCGTGTTCGCCCCCAAAACACAGTCACTATACAGTTCAGTGCCCCCCCTGCCCACATGCACACAGTCACTACACTGCACAGTAAATCGTGTGACGGTTTTGAAGCCATTTTTAATAAATTTCAAGCCCTGACGAGCCTGTGAGTGATGGGCTTCCCTCCCTCCCCCGGTAACACTCGGCTCGGCCTCTCTGCCCAGCGCTGCCAGTGAGGATCGTGAAGCCTTTGCGAGACAAGACAGGGCTGGAGAAGCATCGGGTGATCCTGGAGTGTAAGGTGTCCACGCCCCGGGCTCAGGTGCGCTGGTACCGGGGAGATACCGAGCTGCAGCCCAGCGACAGGCACCAGATCTGTGCCGAGGGTGCTTACCGGCAGCTCATCATCCACTCGGTGACATTGGAGGATGAGGGCACCTACATGTGTGACGCCTACGATGACCAATCATCAGCCAAGCTCCTGGTTGAAGGTATGGAGCGGGGATGTGCAGGTGGGGGAGTGGGGGAATGAGAGGGTGAGAGGGGCAAAAGGGTAGAGCTGATATAGAATTATATAGCACAGAAGGAGGCCATTCGGCCCATCGTGTCTGTGCCAGAAAAGAGCTTCCAAATCAACCCCACTCCCCCCGCTCTCTCCCCATAGCCCTGATCAACCCCACTCCCTTGTGCTCTCCCCATAGCCCTGATCAACCCCACTCCCTTGTGCTCTCCCCATAGCCCTGATCAACCCCACTCCCCCGCTCGTTCCCCATAGTTGTAAACTTGTCCTCCCCAAATAATTATCTACTTCTCCCTTAAAAGCTGTTATTCAATCGACTTCCACCCTTTCAGGCAATACATTCCAGACTAGTTTAAATCAGTGTCCTCGGGTTACCGACCCACCCGCCGGTGGGAATAGTTTCTCCTGTTCACCCTATCGAATCCCCTCATAATTTTGAAAATTTCTATCAAGTCCCCTCTTAACCTTCTCTGCTCCAAGCAGAATAACCCTCGCTTCTCTCGCCTCTCCTGATAACTGAAGTCCCTCACTACTAGTACCATTCTGGTCAATCTCCTTTGCACTCTCTCCAATGCCTTGACATCCTTCCTAAAGTGTGGGGCCCAGAACTGAGCAGTCTCTCGCTGAGGCCTCACCAGTGTTTTATATAAAGGTTCATCATAACTTCCTGACTTGTGTATTCTATGCCCCTATTTATAAAGCCCAGTATTCCGGATGCTTTTTTAACAGCTGTATCTGCCTGTCCGCCATCTTCAAACATTTACTTATATGAACCCACAGCTCTCTCTGTCCCTTCACCCCCTTTAACATTGTACCATCAGCTTATGTTGCCTCTCCTCATTCTTCCTCACAAAATGCATCACTCCGCATTAAACTTCATCTGCCACGTGTCTGCCCATGTTACCAGTCTGTCTATGTCCTCTTGCAGTCTGTTACTGTCCTCCTCACTGTTTACTACTTTTCCTAGTTTAATATCATCTGCAAACTTGGAAATTGTACTCCTTGCTTCCTTGCTTGGCTCCACAAAAGCAGAGTTCACAGATTACACTGGGTGCACATTCTTTACTGCTGTGTGTCTAACCCTGACCCGGGAGTGTGGACGCACAGTGTAGAGGAGCGTTACTGTGTCTCTAACCCTGACCTGGGAGTGTGGACGCACAGTGTAGAGGAGCGTTACTGTGTCTCTAACCCTGACCTGGGAGTGTGGACGCACAGTGTACCGGGAATGTCACCAAAGGGTGCTGTGGAATGTAAGACGTGGTGTATGTGAGGCGGTGTGTGTGTGTGAGGTGGGGGTGTGTGTGTGAGGCGGGGGTGTGTAAAGTGGTGTGTGGCTGATTACAGAGCAGGCCCTATTGGTGGTGGCTGAGCTGATGGATGTGGTGGTGCGGGTGGGGGAGGAGGCCTGTTTCCAGTGTGAGCTCTCGATGCCGGTGGTCCGGGCGCCGCAGTGGAGTGTGAATGGGGAGATCTTGCAGCCGGGACCGAGGGTCCGGCTCGAGAACAAGGGCATCGTTCAGCGGTTGGTGCTGCAGGACGTCACGGCAAGAATGAGCGGAGCCGTGAAGTTCCTGGCGGGGAAGGCACGGAGCAGAGCACAGCTCCTTGTGAAAGGTCAGTCCGACTGCTTGAACTCGCACTCAGGCACTGTGTCTGCGCAACTCGTGGGAAGTCTGGCAACCATCCGAGTGTCGCCCAGTCCTGCCTGATGACGAGTGGGGATAGAGTGAGTCTCGGCCGGCTTATCACTGTGCCCAGGAACCTTCCAAACTGGACAGAGTGGGCAGCAAGGTGGCACGAACAGTTTATTACAGTCAAATGGAAATAGATCGAAATGAGAACCATAGAATTCTGTAGCCATGCGACCCCCCCCATCCGATACCCCACGTGAAAGGCTCTATGTAAATGCAAGTTGTTTTTGTGGCTCTTTTCAGTCCCATTTACCTGCCTGTCGATTACTCCGGTTTTCACTCCGTTTTAAATATCGAGTTTTCTTTTGAAAGCTAATATGGATTCCACCACAACCCGCGCTCCCGGGGGGACATTCCTTACCCTAACCACTCTATGTGTCAGAACATTGTGTTTGGTCTCAAATCATCACCAGCCTCTTCTGTGACACTGTCTGGGCAGTTGACATGTGAGGGACCTGCTCTGTGGCTGCCGCAGCCACAGCTGCTCTGTTCATTGTATTGTGTAAATTGTATTGTATGGATCTTCAGCCACGAGTTACCTGCTCATTGCTATCCATCACTGGTTAGGCACTGCCACTCTCCTGCCAGTGCCCGGCTCAGCAGGTTGTGGGTTCAGCTCTGAGCTCACAGCCAGTACGTGCAGAACATGGCTGCCGCAGCTTGCCACATAGTCACTACACAAAACGGAATCACATTATAGAAGCCTCTCTGTACCTGACTGTTTCTCTGATTCTGTGTGTGTTTCCCTCCCTCAGTCTCTATCTCATTCTGTGTCTATCTGTTTCCCTCTGTCTCTTTCTCCCTCTCTCTCTCTGTGTGTCTGTTTTTCCATCTCTCTCTCTGTCTTTCTGGGACATCCTCCCAACGTCGAAGGCGCTCTATAAATATAATTTTGTTGGTGGTGGGGTTGCTTTTCTTTGACCATATTTTATTGTTTTTTTGCAGATGATTAACCAGCAATGTGGCTCGGGTGCTCTCAGGAATAGGCGAGACCAGAGGCACCTGCCCCCCCTCCCCCCCTCAAGAACCCCCACCGACACCTGTCCCCTTAAAAGACACCTCCTACCCCAACAACCCCCACCTTCCCCTGTCACTGATTTCAGTCTCTGTGATGAATATCTGTGAACCCTTGGTGATGTTATCCTATGTGTTGGTGCTACATAAGCACATAGTGTTGTTCCCATTTCTTCACCCACTGTTGAACCAGAGATTTATAGATGGAAGAAACCCATTGGCCCATCGTGTCTGTAACAGCAATCCATTGCGTCCCACTGACCTGCCTTTTCTGCTCATGCTCGCGAATTGTTTCTCTTCAGATATCTATCATATTGCCTCTTGAAAGCAAATATGGTTCTTGCATCGACAACCTCACCCATCGTCCCACATCCTAACATCCCTAATCAATTCCTCCATTCTCCCGCTTTGTTACCCTAAACCGTTATAGATTCACTGGACAGTGCGAGTAATTTCTGGCCATGGATTCAATCAAAGCCCCTCATCATGTTAACGGCCTCTATCAAGTCTCCCATCACTTTGCTCTGACCCTCAGACAAGACCCCCAGGTCCTGCAGTCTCTGCTCTGAGTTCAAACCTCGACGGTGGTGAGGTCAGGGTAGAGGGAGCTGACCTGCTCCTTCATGCCTACCACTGACTGGTGCCAACCGCAGGGCGATACCGGAACCTTCCAATCTTCTTTATGGTGTCTTTATCCGCAACAATAATCATAGAATCTTACAGCACAGACGGAGGCCATTCGGCCCATCGTACCTTACCGGCTCTTTCAAAGAGCAACCATTCAGTCCCACTCCCCCGTTTTTATGCCGTAGTCCTCATATTTTTTCATTTTTAAGTACCTATAGAATTCTCTTTTGAAATCTGTTATCAAATTTGCTTCCACCACCCTTTCAGGCAGTGAATTCCAGACAGTAACAACTTTCAGAGTAAAACGTAATGAATAAACACTGATATTGCTGGTTTCTGATTTGTTGGCTCAAATTGACACCGTTACACCTCACCTGGCTCAGTAAGGAACATGCTCACCTGAGTCACAGTGCTCTGTGTTGGGCTGGGACTGGCTGCTCTTTACATGGTTCATCAATCATATTGGCCTGGAGACAGCAAGTGGGGAGACAGCAGGTGGTTGGCAATTTATGAGAACGATTGTGTAAAACACAACATTGATTGACCAGACAAATGTTTCTAGTCTGTGTCTAACCCTGACCTGGGAGTGTGGACGGACGCACAGTGTAGAGGGATCTTTACTGTTTCTAACCCTGATCTGGGAGTGTGGACACACAGTGTAGAGGGAGCTTTACTGTGTCTCTAACCCTGACCTGCGAGTGTGGACAGACGCACAGTGTAGAGAGAGAAATAATCTGTATCAAATAAATAATTCTTACATGTTACAGCATCTATAATATTTTTAAAAAATCATCTTTGTACAGACAGCTTCAAGATATACATTTGATTAGCACATTGAAATGATGCAGAATATATTAAAATTTCTCATCAATCAAGTGACGTGTTGCAGCACATACCTCGTCACACGGTGTTTCAGCATATACATGTTACAGAAGACCTCTTCCCCGTCCTGGGCCTGAGTCCTTGATCTCATGCAGTGAAGGCCTCTCGCTGTCTCTAGCCTCTGCTCTAGGAGCCGGTGGCAGTGCTGAGCTCTGGCTCCTTCCTGCTCTCCATGACCCTAGACTCCCCGAGCCCCGAGCCCTGTGCCTGGGTGAGGCTGAGGGCCATGGGGTGGGTGACCTGCACCTTGCCCACACCCTGGCTGGGGTCCTCGGCTGCCTTCAGCGGGTGGTGTCTCTGGATGTGTTTGACTACCTGGAACTTCTGCTTGGCCGTGTAGGGGCAATAATGGCAGTAGAAGGGGTGTTGGTTGGTGTGTGTGAGGTGGTGGTGTCGGAGGCCGGCCTGCCAGCGGAAGCCACGGTAACACACACCGCATACATACGGCTTCTCCTCGCTGTGTTTCTTCAAGTGGGTCTTAAGCAGGAAGCGTGTTTTGAAGCCTTTGCCGCACTGCTCACAGATATAGCCTCGAGCCTCCCTGTGCCGCGTCTCCTTGTGAGTGCGCAGAGCGTCCGCGCGGTTAGTGCAGTACTCGCACTCGTCACACCGGTACGGCTTGGCTCCTGCAACAGCAACATCATCCGGTTACCAACACTGACCACAAGCACTAACCCCTGGTGACGCCCCTGGTCAATCCAATGACTGTTTGTGGAACACTGTTTTGCGCAATTGGTTGCCACGTTTCGTCCACAAAATACACAATTCACTTTACTGTATATCTGAAGCGATTCGATACGTCTCAATGACATGATAAGGCGCTATGTCAAATATAAGGATTATTATTATTACCAGCACTGACCACAGGCACTTACCCAGTTACGTGGGGAAGGGAGCAGGCTCCGGGCACTTACCTGTGTGCTTGGTCATGTGGTATTTGAGCTGGTTGATCCACTTACACTTGTAGCCACACTCAGGGCACAGGTACTTGCGCTCGTCCTGGTGTATCCGCATGTGGTACTGAGAGAGCAGCAACAGTCATTGTCAGAGTCCAGAACTTGACCCCACCCCCCCCTCCCCACCGAACCTGACCCTCCAAAACCTGACCCCGAGCCCTGACCCTTCCCCCCCCCCAATCTCGGGTCCCGACAAACCCTGAGTCTTGACCTCTAACCCTTATCTCGGGCCCTCACCCTCTGAGGCTGGGACCCTACGCTTGACCTGAGGGCCGGGGGAGAAGGAGGAGGGGGCGGCGGAGGAGAAGGAGGCGGCAGGGAGGGGGAGGGGGAGTGGGAGGGAGGACCCTGTCAGTGGGAGCTCACCTTCAGACGGGAGGGGTCGGCACAGGCATAGCTGCACACACGGCACTTATACGGCTTCTCCCCGGTGTGGATGCGGCTGTGCCAGGTGATTTTCTGCCGGTTGCGGGTGGTGTAATCGCAGTCCGTGCACTTGTAGAGCCGGGTGCCACCATGGCCCCTTACGTGCTGTTCGTACACCAGCTGATGGCGGCAGCTGAAGTCGCAGGAGGGGCAGCGGAGGGGCCGCTCGGCTGCCGGCCCCCCCTCATGGCTGTCCAGCAGGTGCTGGATCAGCTGCTGCCGGTCGCGGGTGGCGAAGGGGCAGTGCTCACATCGGTGGCTGTAGTGCACGTGCCGGTGGCTCTCCAGCGCCTTCCGGCTGCCGAACCCAGCTTTGCAGGTGCCGCACTGCAGCTGCGGGTGCTGCTTCTGCTCGTGGCTCTTGAGGGTGGCCTCGCTGCGGCACACGAAGGGGCAGGAGGAGCAGCAGTGCCGGGCCGGCTCCTGGTGCTGCCGCAGGCAGTGCTGTTTGAGGGCGCCCTCGGAGCTGAAGCTGGCCTCGCAGTGCCTGCACGGCAAGCTGAGCTCCCCCGAGTGGCAGGAGGCATTGTGCCGGCGGATGTCGTTCTGGTTGTAGGCGCTGTAGTCGCAGAGCGGGCAGAAGTGGGTGGGTCGCTTCTCGTGTACCCGCAGCTTGTGGATCCGCAGTTTGGAGCCGGTGCCGAAGGTCTGCTGGCATGAGTCGCATCCCAGGCGGCCGCGGCCGGTGTGCAGGGACTCGTGGGCGTCCAGCCGGTACCGGCGGGCGGTGCTGAAGCCGCAGTAACGGCACTTATACGGTTTGAGGCCCTGGTGTTTGATGGCCACGTGCTGCTGGAGGCAGCGGGTCAGCTTGCAGGTGAAGAGGCAGAGCTGGCAGCGCAGTGCCGGGCGCCGGCTGCCTTTGCCGCGGTGCAGCCGGCCGTGGTGTCTCAGCGCCGACGGAGACTTGCAGACGAAGGAGCAGAGGCCGCACTGCAGCTCGTCCGCCCTCAGACAGCCCTTCCTCCGGTGCGTGGCCAGCGCCCGCGCCTGGGAGCAGCTGAACGGGCAGGACGGGCATGACAGGCGTCGGCGTTTCACAACACCCTCGGCCTCGCTGACCTTCCCCTCCCCCTCACTCCCCTCCTCATCACTGCCAGACCCCTCCTCGGGGCTGGTCTCCTCTGAGCCGTCCTGTTCCTCGGGGTGTGCGATGGCCTGGTGATTCCTCAGCGCTCGCTGTGACCTGAAGAGCAGTTGGCAAGAGCGACATTGGACGCGTGGAGCAGGCCGACCGCAGGCTTCCTCATGCCTCTGCATGTCTGCTTCACTGTCGCACACAAACTCACACCCGTCACAGCGGAACCTGCCCTCCTCCCGGCTGTACCCGACCTGGCAGCCGCGCTGGGGCTCACTCCCTGGCTCCCTGCCTCCAGCCGGCTCCTCGGCTTGTGTCCCTTCCGGGGTGACACAGCGGGCGGTCTCTCCAGCGAGACCCTCACACTCCCTCTGAACGGCCGGGCTTTGTTCTTTGCTCTCTGTGGTCGCTCGCTCACCCGGCTGGTCTCTCCAGGCCTTCTTGCCGCGCAGATGGTGGGGGGAGTGGGTGCCCGGCTCAGGCTGCGGTGTGAGCTCCGGTTCAGGTCTCACGCTGGGCTGTGAAGCGGCCGCTTGCCTGACGTACAGCTTGCGACTCTTGATGACGAGGGGACACTTTTTCCGCTGGTGAGTGCTGAGACCTCGCTGCTGTTTGAAGTTGGCCCCACAGCCCGAGCACACGAGGGCTCCTCGCCGGCCCTGACAGCCTGACTTACTGTGGAAGATCATCGCCTTCTCCTTCCTCGTCACGTAGGAACAGTTCTCACATTTGAAGACCTGAGTGTCGGTCTGGATCACCAGCATCTGCACACGGCCCTCGAGCACCAGCGCCTGTGCTCGCTGTCTGTCCTGCTTCCTCAGGGCTTTGATCTCACATTCCTGTGCCAACACCGACACCTCTGTGACCTCCGACCCTGCCAGCTCGGTGACCTCTGTGACCTCCGACTGTGCCAACTCTGTCACCTCCGCCTGTGCCAACCCCATGAGCTCTGTCACCTCCGTCTGTACCAACTCCATGACCTCTGTGACCTCCACCCGGGACACCTCTGCGACCTCCATGATCTCCGACTGTGCCAACTCCGTGATCTCCAACTGTGCCAGGCCCGTGACCTCTGTGACCTCGGCCTGTGCCAGCCCTGTGACCTCCGTGACCTCCAACTGTGCCAGCCCTGTGACCTCCGTGACCTCCAACTGTGCCAGGCCCGTGACCTCTGTGACCTCTTGACCCTCAGGCAGGCTATGTTGCCCACCTGTGCCCTCGGTGCCCACACTGAGCCAGGTCTCCCCGCCAGGGACTGTGTGAGCTCCGAGCTGGGGCCCAGTGGCCTGGCCTGAGAACCCGAAGTTACTCTGATCCTCGGTAATGAAGACCTGGATGTGATGCCCAGAGTCTCTGGGGGTCTCCGTGCCGTGCTCCCCGTTCCCACCATCGAAATTCTCCGTCAGGTTTCGCTCTTGGCTGGCGTCCCCAGTGCACGGGCCGGGTATGAAATGTGTGTACATGGTGCCGGCCTCAGCCTCACACGCCTCCCAGGTGCCGAGTGCCGGGAGCCGAGTACTCACTAGCCCTTCCATCCCGTCTGAGGCTGGGCTGGCCAAGTCCAGCTGGCTGTCAAAGACCTCTTGCAGTGGTGAGCTTCCTGACGGTGTTTCTGGCAGCTCAGCCACCTCGTGGTGCCCCTCTGCTCCCGACGGCTCCCGGCTGCCGACATCCAGATGACCCTGAGCCATGGAAAATACCATGTCCTGACTCGGCACAGCACTGCCCACCCCACCTACGCTCCCGTACAGCACGGCACCGATCGCCCGGTGTTTGGGCCCCTCTATCTCCCCCGGCATTGGCAGACCGCTCTTCGGCCAGCAGTCTGTGCCAAGCTGCGCCCGGCCGGTGGAGTGCCCCGTTGGGCTGTAGCCCAGCAGCAGGTCGGAGGAGTTCATGGCAAGCTCCTGACGGGCGTAGTTGTCCAGCCAGGCCTTGTCACCGGGAACGTAGCCGTGCACTTTGCGCTTGTGGAAGAAGAGGCTCGTGTTGCTGAAGGTGCTGTAGGCACACAGCGCGCAGCGGAAGGCACGGTGCTGAGTGTGCTTGCAGTTCTCATGGTTGAGCAGCGCCTGTTTGTAGGGCGTCTGGTAGCTGCAGTACTGACACTGGTAAACTGGCACCTGGTAATCCTGGCAGTGCTTCACCTGCATGTGCTTCTGCAGCTCGTACTTACGCTTACAGGCAAAGCCACAAACCTCGCAGATCAGAGACTTGCCCTGGTGTCGCAGCTTGTGGCTGCTCAGCTGGTCAGCTCGGTGACAGCGATAGGAGCATTGGTTACAGTGATACCTAAGGCACAGAGAGAGAGATCGGCACTAATTACAGTGATACTGACAGAGAGAAATTCCCGCAGTCTCACCCCACCTTCCTTAGTGACCTTTATCCTATTACCCAAGTTGCTCCCTCAACTCACCAAACACCCCTCTACCTCCCCCCAACTCCCAGTGGGATCACCTACTGACCGGTGTGTGCCGCTGGTGGTGTGTGTGTGCTGGCGGGGGCTGGTGTGTGGTGGTGTGTCTGCTGGTGTTGTGTGCTGGTGGGGGCTGGTGTGTGTACCGGTGGCAGGGGCTGGCGGGAGCCGGTGTATGCCGCTGGTGGGGGCTGGGTGGCCAGGCTTACCGCAGGTCTCCGGTATGCTTGCGCATGTGGACGGTCAGGTAATGTTTCCACTTGGTGATGTAGCCACACTCTGTGCACATGTAGTTCTTGGTGTCGGAGTGGGTGAGCATGTGCTTGGACAGGTAGCCCACATCCCTGCACGTGAAGTCACACACCTCACACTTGTGGGGCTTCTCACCTGGAGCACAGACCAAATGAGACAAGCAACAGTCAACAAATCACACCGCCCAGCGCTGGTGATACAGTCACCACCACACAGCGCCTGTACTACAGTCACCACCTTACAGCGCCTGTACTACAGTCACCACCACACAGTACAGGTGCTGTGCGGTGGTGACTGTAGTACAGGCGTTGTGGGGTGTGGCTGTAGTACAGGCGTTGTGGGGTGTGGCTCTAGTACAGGTGCTGTGGGGTGTGGCTGTAGTACATGTGCTGTGGCGTGTGGCTGACCTGTGTGGAGCAGGAAGTGCCGGTTGAGGACCCGCTTGTGTGCGGTGGCGAAGCTGCACTCGCTGCACTTGTGGATCTTCTCGTTGGCGTGCATCTTGCCCACGTGGTCGGTGAACTCCACGGGGTTGAAGGTGAGGAAGGGGCAGAAGGCGCAGTGCAGCTCCTCGCTGCCGGGATGGCCTCGGCGGCGGTGCCGGCGGAAGGCGTGCTTGTTGGAGCAGACAAAGTCGCACTGGTCGCAGTGGAAGGCGTAGTGCGTGCGGCGGTGAGTCTCCATCTCGGCCGCAGAGCCGAAGAGTGCGGCGCAGGCCCGGTACCGGCACTCCACCGCCTGCACCCCGTGAGCCGCCCGCACGTGCCGCTGGAGCTCGCCGCGGTCCTCGCTGGTGAACGGACAGCTTTGCTGGAAGCAGACGAGACGCTTGGGCCGTTCCCGGTGAACCTTCATGTGCTCCTTCAGCAGGTTACTGACCGTGAAGTGCTGCTCGCACACCGGGCACGAGTACACATCAGAGTAGAAGTTGGTGGTGTTCTCGTGCATGCTGGCCATGTGCCGGCTCAGAGAGTTCCTCTCCACCGCGCGGTACTCGCACAGTGGGCAGCTGTGAGCTTTCTCCCCCAGCTCCCGCAGCAGGTGGACCTTCAGCTTGCCCTTGCTGGTGAAGAAGCGTGTGCAGTGCGGACACTGCAGGCTGGGGTCCGGGAAATGCAGGTGTAAGTGCTCCACCAGGTGGGTTCGCTTCTTAAAGCAGCGTTTACACTCGGGGCAGATGTGCGTCTTGTAAAGATGTTCCATCCCCTCCTGAACGTCAACTGCGACAAGAGAAATACCCCGTCATAACACCACCACTACCAACACCACCATCACCAACAACACCATCACCAACAACACCACCACCACCAACACCATCATCATGTGGAGTCCTGTAGCTCAGTGGTTAGAGCACTCGCTTTGCAAGTGAGAGACCTGAGTTCAATTCCAGGCAGAGGGCGAAACCTTGGGCAAGTTTCCTTACTCCACATAGAGCCTAATAATAATCCCTCCAAAACCAAAACAATAATAAATTGGTCCACACAAGGGAAGGAGCGAGGCGGAGGGGCTGCAGAATGGAGTCCCAGAGGGTGGGGGGGCATAGAGGCTAAAGGCCCGAACACCAGAGCAGGGAGCGTGGAGCAGGCCTGTGCCTGCTGAGCGAAGGGAACGGACAAGGTGGTGAAGTTTTAACAGGTGGCAGAGATAGGGAGCAGCAAGGCACCCACTGAACCTGCTGCACTCCGGCTATCGCACCGGTGAGGTACACACTGCACCCCCCAGACTGTACCCGGGTCACCACTCACAGCCCCGATGCCCACAATTACACACCTCTGAAGTGCCGCTGCCGGGAGGGTTTGCTTCTGGCACTGGGCTGGTGCTCGGTGACGCACTCACGCACGCTCTCCACTGCCGTCGTGATGACCTTCTGTCTCCCCGGCTCATCAGACACCGCCTCCTGCTCATCGGGGGCAGTGCGTGTGCCGGGCTGCCCTGGTGGGGTTTCGCTCTGGCTCTGGCTGGGATGCTGCCCCTCCGGGGGGTGGGCCTCGCTGCAGTGCTGCCTCAGGTCATCCTGTCCGCATGTCTTAAAGGGACAGGCGGTGCAGCTGAAGCTGTGCGAGCGCAGGCCAGCCCGGGCGCGGTGCTGGGATAAGACTTTGCTGCTGGAGCAGATGAAGTGGCAGCGGTCGCAGTGGAAGGGGAAGTGCGTGCGGCGATGGAGCTCCATGTCCTGTTGGCTGGGGAAGAGGAGGCGGCAGGGGGGGTGCGGGCAGCCCACGGCCCCGGCCTGGTGCTCGCTCATCACGTGTCGCAGTGGCTCCCCGCGATGCTCAGGGCTGTGTTCTCCCGGGCGGCCGGTGGAGCCCTCCTCCCGGAGCTCAGCCCCTGCCCCCGGTGACCGGACGGCGAGTCTGTGGCCTCCAGCCCCGCTCTCGGGGTCCGGGCGCGCGCTGCGGGGGTCGGTGACGAGCTCCTCGCTCCCTGATCGCCGGCTACATTCCCGGTCGCCGTCCGTCGGCAAACGGTCTGTGTGACCAGAAACAGCCGCACGATCCCCAACATCTACAACAACAACGCAGACAGTCAGTGCTTCACACGGCACTGTGGGGAGGGGGGGGGGTCTGGGGGGATGTGTGTGGGGGGGATGTGTGTGGGGATGTGTGTGGGGCTGTGGGGGGCTGTGTGGGGGGCTGTGTGTGGGGCTTGGTGGGGGGGGGCTGTGTGTGGGCTGTGGGGGGGTGCTGTGTGGGGGGGGGGCTGCGTGTGGGGGGGTGTGGGGCTGTGTGTGGGGGGGCTGTGTGGGGGGCTGTGTATGGGGGGGGCTGTGGGGGGTGTGTGTGGGGGGGGGCTGTGTGGGGGTGTGGGGCTGTGTGTGGGGTGGCTGTGTGGGGGGGGGCTGCGTGTGGGGGGGTATGGGGCTGTGGGGGCTGTGTATTGGGGCTGTGTATGGGAGGGCTGTGTATGGGGGGGCTGTGTATGGGGGCTGTGTATGGGGGGCTGTGTATGGGGGGCTGTGTGTGGGGGGGCTGTGTGGGTGTGGGGCTGTGTGGGGGGGGCTGTGTATGGGGGGCTGTGGGCGTGTGGGGCTGTGTGTGGGGGGCTGTGTGTGGGGGGGACTGTGTATGGGGGCTGTGGGGGGGGCTGTGTGTGGGGGGGGGCTGTGTGTGGGGGGGCTGTGTGGGGGGGGGCTGGTGTGTGGGGGGGCTGTGGGGGGGGCTGTGTGTGGGGGGCTGTGTGTGGGGGGGCTGTGTGTGGGGGGGCTGTGTGTGGGGGGGCTGTGTGTGGGGGGGCTGTGGGGGTGTGGGGCTGTGGGGGTGTGGGGCTGTGTATAGGGGGTGTGGGGCTGTGTATAGGGGGTGTGGGGCTGTGTGTAGGGGGTGTGGGGCTGTGTATAGTGGGGGTGGGGCTGTGTGTGGGGGGGCTGTGGGGGGGGGGCTGTGTATGGGGGCTGTGTGGGGGGGCTGTGGGGCTGTGTGTGGGGGGGGCTGTGTGTGGGGGGGGCTGTGTGTGGGGGGGCTGTGGGGGGGGCTGTGGGGGGCTGTGTGTGGGGGCTGTATGGGGGCTGTGGGGCTGTGTGTGGGGGCTGTGGGGCTGTGTGGGGGTGTGGGGCTGTGTGGCTGTGTGTGGGGGGGTGGGGCCGGGCGGGGGTTACCTGCGGGCGGGGTTGGTGTTGGCGCGGGGCCGGGGTCAGGCTCGGGGCCTGTCAGCCGCTCCCTCAGCCTCGGCCTCAACTCCGCCATCAGCGCGGCCTCGGCCCCCACAGCCCCGCCACAGCCCGCCACAGCCCCGCCCCACACACAGCCCCGCCCCACACACAGCCCCGCCCCCACACACAGCCCCACCCCCCACACACACACAGCCCCGCCCACAGCCCGCCCCCACACACAGCCCCGCCCACAGCCCCGCCCCCACACACACAGCCCCGCCCACAGCCCCGCCCCACACACAGCCCCGCCCCCCACACACAGCCCCGCCCCCACACACAGCCCCGCCCACAGCCCCGCCCCCCACACACAGCCCCGCCCCCCACACACAGCCCCGCCCCACACACAGCCCCGCCCACACACACACAGCCCCGCCCCCACACACACAGCCCCGCCCCCCACACAGCCCCGCCCCCCACACAGCCCCGCCCCCACCACAGCCCCTCCCCCACCAGAGCCCCCCACCACCACAGCCACTCCCCCACACAGCCCCGCCCCCCCACAGCGCCCCGCCCCACCACAGCCCTTCCCCCCACAGCCCCCACCAGAGCCCCCCACCACCACAGCCCCTCCCCCCCACACAGCCCCGCCCCCCACCACAGCTCCTCCCCCCCACACAGCCCCGCCCCCCACTAGAGCCCCCCACCACAGCCCCTCCCCCCCCCCACAGCCCCCCCACTGTGCACAATTGGCTGTCACATTTTGCCCCCAAAATACAGTCACTACACTTTGCAATATATTCTGTGAAGCGCTTTGAGACTTCTCCGATGTGTATCAGCTATTATTAAAATATCAAATGCAACGATTATTATTAGTCGTAATTTTAATTAATTAATTTCCACTGGAAACTCACAATCGTTGATGGCATCAAACCGCCCTGAGACGTATCTTCAGGTACATTATCACCTTTCACTGTGAGCCGGGCAGCCGGGCTGTGACAATCACTGTGTGTCAAGCGCTCGTAGCTGTGCCCGCGAGTGGGGGGGGTTAACGTTAGTATTTCATTTCACAAGATCACCTCTACCGAAGAAGGACCTTCGGCCCATCTGATCTGATCCTCCCGCAACATTGAACTGTGTTGTAAATGAGGCGATGTAAAATGCAGGTTCTTTCCGTATTAATCATAGCTGATAAGAGCTTTAGACGGAGACATCGTTTACATTAAAGAACAAAGTTCATCTCTGGTGAGAGGATTGTTACCCAACACTCAGTTGTTCCCACAGAAACCCAGAGACAATCTGTCAGCTTTTTATTGTTCACATTCATAAATACCTGCAAATAGCACATCAGCACATCACTGCATAATCATAACTCAATGTTAACCATTCACGTCAATTAACCGTTCACATCAAGAAGCTGATCCTGAATTGTTTTGGGGGCAGAAATGCCAGACCCTCCCCTAACCCTCAGACCCCACTTTATTCTTTTATTAGAGATTTACACACCCGTATTAGAGATTTACACACCCGTTAGAGATTTACACCCGTGTTGAGAGATTTACACGCCCGTGTTAGTGATTTACACGCCCGTGTTAGTGATTTACACACCCGTGTTAGTGATTTACACACCCGTGTTAGTGATTTACACACCCGTGTTAGTGATTTACACACCCGTGTTAGTGATTTACACACCCGTGTTAGTGATTTACACCTGTGTTAGTGATTTACACACCCGTGTTAGTGATTTACACACTTTTATCAGTTATAGTTGTGGTTTTGTGGATAAATGATCAGAAAGTGAGCTGCCGGCTGTGGGAAGTGAGGTGTGATTAGCGGGGTTTGCGGTTTCCCCTGAAGCAGCGCGATTAAAGGGGTTCAGGCTCGGTAGGTTGGAGGGGAGGGGGGTTAGAACATTCCCTTAGATTTTTTCAGGTTTCTCTGTTTCCACTCAGGCATGGCGTTGAAGCTCACTCGTGATATCCCCATGACAGCCTCGAAAGTCAGAATCACACAGGTATTCCTACAGGGAGAGCGAGAGAGAGCGTCGGGGAGAGAGGAGTGGGAGAGAGAGAGAGAGAGCGGGGAGAAAGAGAGCGAGCGAGTGGGGAGAGAGAGATGCGAGCGGGGAGAGAGAGAGCGCGAGCGGGGAGAGAGAGAGAGAGAGAGAGAGAGAGCAGCGAGCGGGGAGAGAGAGAGAGAGAGAGAGCGGGGAGAGAGAGCGGCGGGAAGAGTAGAGAAAGAGAGAGGAGAAAGAGGGAGAGAGAGAGAAAGAGGAGACATTAACAATGCGCAAAGATACCAAAACAGTTACTCCATACATTCCTCCCAACCTTCAAACCTCCACCCCCGGCCCCCGCCACACACCCTCCCTTGCCTGCTTTTACACCCATCTCAAGACTTTCCTCTTTGACCGTGGCTTTGGTCATACTCCCACCCCCACTCTCTTCTTGAATCCAAGCCCCAGCTCGGATGTAAACTCTCCCTCTAGCACCTCAGGACATCCTCCTGATGTGAACGGTGCTGTGTAAATGTAATTTGTTGTTGTTATCGTCAGTGCGGTCAGGGACGCAGTCAGTGTGGTCAGGGACGCAGTCAGTGTGACTGTTTCTCTCAGGTGAGGGAAGGTGCTGTGTGGCCTTGCGTTCGCTCACCTCTTTCCTTGTGGGATCGATGCCTTCAGGAAGGTTTTCAGGCTCTATGTTGACGAGCAGGTGGGCCGAGAAGTTGCTTGTCGGGGCCTGAAACGTGGGCATTTTGCTGCACGACAGATGGAGTTTCCGCATATCCTGGTTTAGAAACAGGTGGATCAATAACCGGGTCCTGGAAAAGTTTCGGCTCTCGCGTGTCGCCAGCACAATGTACCCTGGGGGGGTCGGGGAACCGCTGGAGACACAGCAGACATCCCTGGTGGTGGGGGGGGGGTGGGGAGGGGCCGCGGATGGCAAGTGTGGCTGGGACAGCGCGCTTGCACCTCATTGTAGGGGGGAACTCACAGTCCAGGCTGACGCTCCAGCACAATGTTGAGGGTGGGGGGGTGTGGGCACTCGGTTGGAGACTGGGCGCGGCTGCTACACTACACAGACACACACACATACCCTAATCCCTGGGAAGCGCTGCTGAGATGCTACACGAGGGTCAGAAAACAGTGACCAGAGAGATAGCACTGGAAGCGGAGCCAGCACTGGGCTTACATTCATCAAATCGTTCAGCCCGGTCGGGTCTCCCAGCGCAAACTTCAGCTCATCGTATGATTTCCTGCCCTGGGAACAAAACATTTACAAACATCAATTAGGGTCAGCCACAGCGCAGATTAGAGACACAGTAAAGCTCCTCTACACTGTGTGTCCACACTCCCAGGTCAGGGTTAGAGACACAGTAAAGCTCCTCTACACTGTGCGTCCACACTCCCAGGTCACGGTTAGAGACACAGTAAAGCTCCTCTACACTGTGCGTCCACACTCCCAGGTCACGGTTAGAGATACAGTAAAGCTCCCTCTACACTGTGTGTCCACACTCCCAGGTCAGGGTTAGAGACACAGTAAAGCTCCTCTACACTGTGCGTCCACACTCCCAGGACAGGGTTAGGGTCAGAGTGGATGGTGGTGGAGAAGATGAACTTACAGCCCACTTGTGATGGTCCCAGGCCATGAACCAGCCGGTGAATGTTGGGGGCTCGAAGCTCTGCTTGACGATGATGATGGGGGTGTCCGTGTCTCTCTTGCTGGGGTGAGAGTGCAGGTACTCCTGAGCGGTAACCAAAGCGTTCTTCTTCTCCGTCTCATTGGCTCCTTTGCCGAACCACAGGAAAACCTGAGCCAAACAGAGAGGAGGTCAGCGGTGCTGGCGAGGCCGGCAACCAGCCAACCGTGGGTGGTGGTGGCTCGGCCAGCCTCAAACCCAAGCCTGGGTATCGGGTACGGGCTCTGGCTGGTCAGTCTGGCTCAGTCACCAGAGTGAGGTTACTCTGGGGGAAGTGGGTGTGAGTGTGGTGTCAGGGGGAGTGGGTGTGCGTGTGGGGGAGGGGGAGTGAGTTTGTGTGTTGGGGCGGGGGAAGTGAGTGTGAGTGTGGGGGAGGGGCAGAGGTGTGAGCGTGGGGTGGGCAGTGTGTTACCTGGTCCCAAGTGTCCAGTAACATGACATCGTCCTCGTCCAGATCTTCCTGGTCGAAGTCCATGATTTCCGTGGCGATGAAGCGGCCGGTCTGATTGGAGCATTCAAACAGGCGAGGGCTAACCATCTGGTGTTCCTCATGAAACCTGCACACGGGAGTCTGGTCACCATGGGCACCACCCTCACCCTCACCCACTCCAGCACTGCCCTCACCTAACCACTCCCACCCTCACCCAACCGCCACCTTCACCCAACCCCCACCCTCACCTCACACTCACCCAACCCCAGCCCTGCCCTCACAAGACCCGGGCACTGCTGCTGGGCATCATGGGTGGTGATTTTAAGCCTCAGACGCCATTCAACAACAACAACAACTTGGATTTATATAGCGCCCTCCACGCCGGATGGCGTCTCAGAGCACTTCACAGTAACGGATCATTCGCTGTCTAACAGGAGGCCTGAACACTTGACACATGAGCGACTCGGGTTACGGTGCAGCCTCACCTCTCCCCAAGAGGGGCCGTGGGGAGAACCTACCTCTTGTCGTTACAGTACGGAGCTTTCCCTCCCAGCACAGCCCAAAAGTTGGCCGGCTCCTTCCCCTCATACACCGTGGGTTTTTCCCGCTTGGCGATGATGTCAGCCAGGATCTTGGCCATTTCCCTCTCGTCACCACTGCAGCCCTGTCACACACACACACACATCAGCCCTGTCACACACACACACACGTCAGCCCTGTCACACACACACACACATCAGCCCTGTCACACACACACACACATCAGCCCTGTCACACACACACACACATCAGCCCTGTCACACACACACACACATCAGCCCTGTCACACACACACACACATCAGCCCTGTCACACACACACACATCAGCCCTGTCACACACACACACACATCAGCCCTGTCACTCACCCACACACGTCAGCCCTGTCACTCACCCACACACAGTCAGCCCTGTCACACACACACACACATCAGCTCTGTCACACACACACACACGTCAGCCCTGTCACAACACACCATCAGCCCTGTCACAACACACACACATCAGCCCTGTCACACACACACACACATCAGCCCTGTCACACACACACATCAGCCCTGTCACACACACACACACGTCAGCCCTGTCACTCACCCAACACACGTCAGCCCTGTCACACACACACACACGTCAGCCCTGTCACTCACCCACACACGTCAGCCCTGTCACACACACACACACATCAGCCCTGTCACACACACACACACGTCAGCCCTGTCACTCACCCACACACGTCAGCCCTGTCACACACACACACACGTCAGCCCTGTCACACACACACACACATCAGCCCTGTCACACACACACACACATCAGCCCTGTCACACACACACACACATCAGCCCTGTCACACACACACATCAGCCCTGTCACACACACACACACGTCAGCCCTGTCACTCACCCACACACGTCAGCCCTGTCACACACACACACACATCAGCTCTGTCACACACACACACACATCAGCCCTGTCACACACCCACACACATCAGCCCTGTCACACACACACACACATCAGCCCTGTCACACACACACATCAGCCCTGTCACACACACACACACATCAGCCCTGTCACACACACACATCAGCCCTGTCACACACACACGTCAGCCCTGTCACACACACACACACATCAGCCCTGTCACACACACACACACATCAGCCCTGTCACTCACCCACACACATCAGCCCTGTCACACACACACACACGTCAGCCCTGTCTCACACACGTGTCCACAGCCCCGAATCACTGACACCTTACCTTTCCATACCACAGGTAGCAGCACAGGTCGGAATTGAGAACAAAGACGTCATTAGAGTTGAGGGAGGAGGCGCGAGCCGGCACCTCGAAGGCCTTGGTGCTATATTCATTGCGGCCGTGAATCTGGAAAAGCCTGACCCCGGGCTCGGGCTCCACACGGCAACTCCGCGACGTTCCTCCCTGTGAACACAGCGTCCGTCACTGTGAGGTCACCCCCCCCATACAGCTCCCCTCACACAGCGCCCCCCACACAGCCCCACTCCACCCCGCCCCCTCACACAGCCCTGCCCTACACACACCCCCACCCACACACAGCCCCAGCCCCCACACAGCCCTACCCCCATAGTACCCTCCCACAGCCCCACTCCACTTGGCCCCCACACACAGCCCCAGCCCCCCACACAGCCCTGCCCCACCCACAGCCCCACCCACACACACAGACCCCCCCCACAGCCCCACCCACACACACAGCTACACCACCCCCACACAGCCCCGCGCCCACACACAGCCCCCACCCACACACAGCCCTCACCCCATCCACAGCCCCGCCGCCCCCACACAGCACTCCCACCCACACACAGAGTGCTACCCCCCCTACCCCACACAGCCCTGCTCCCAGCCTCACCTCATAAACGATGAATTTGTTTTTGAAGATGGACATGAGGTGCTGGGGCTCCTTGCCCATGGTCACTCGCACCTGCACAGGCTCACCTCCGTACTGCTGGTCCAAACCTACTGCCAGGAGCGCTGAGGCTGTGATCTCGTCCTGGCTGGCGTGCCGGCCCTGCCAACATATCCACCGTCATCACTGAGTCATCTCACATCCCCCCAGAGCTACAGAGTCCTAGCCAGAGCCACCTGCCCTAGCTAGCGCGGCCCCATAACCCCCCCCCTCTCCCCCCCACAATGCTGGCCGTGGCTGACGATCATGGTTAGGTGCCCAGCGCTGGGTATCCGGTTGGGTGCCCGGCGAGCACTGACCTGCCAGATGTAGAGGATGTAATGGTTCCTGCTGTGCGGCCGGTACGTGTACAGGATCAGGTAACAGTCACCACCGTAGAAGTGGCCATGCCAGCGTCGCTCCACCGGCACTAACTCCAGGTCCTCGATACGCCAAACCTGCAACACAAGCTCATGCTTAAACCAGGAGTCACTGCCTCTGGCACAACCGTGAGCCAAGAGCGGTGCTTGGCAATGATAGCCATCAGTCGTGGGCTATCAAACACCAGCAGCAGCACCAGTTCAGGGGCAGAGCGGAGAACACCGCAGGGAACTATACCCCGGGGAGTGTGGGGAAGTTCAGCAAGGGAGGGGAGAGGCTTCGAGTGGGGTGGGGTGGGGGGGTGGGGTGGGGTGGGGGGGTGGGGTGGTGGTCAGCGAGAGTTGGGGGAGGCTCTGAGCCGGGGGGGGGGGGATATGAGGCGCTCTGACCTCTATATCGCCCGATCCATCATCCACCATCTGGTGCCGAGCGGCCAGTTCGGGCCGGGCGTGCATCTCCATAGCGTCAAATTTCACCTGTTCCACTTTAGCTTCAATACAAAAGTGAGGAGAGGATGAGGTTATACCACTAAGTCCCCTTCCCCACCATAACATTCCCCCCTCCCCCAAAATAATCCCTCACATCAATCCTGTGGAGTCCTGTAGCTCAGTGATTAGAGCACTTGCCTCGCAAGCGAGGGATCAGGATTGGATTCCTAGCAGGGCAAAACCTTGGGTGGGCAAGTTTCTTTACTCCACACACCTGATAATAATCCCTCAAGAAATAACTTTTTTTTTAAAAAATAATAATTTGGTCACTTCAGTCCACAACTGTTTGTGGGACGCTGCTGTGCGCAATTGGCTGCCGCGTTTTGCCCACAAATATATAGTCAATTCACTTTACCGTATATTCTGTGAAGCGCTTTGAGACAAGAACAACAACAAAATTACATTTGTATAGCATCTTTCACGTGGACATCCCAAATCGCTGGACAGACAGAATCACACAGGTATTCCTACAGGAAGAGCGAGAGAGAGCGTCGGGGAGAGAGGAGTGGGAGAGAGAGAGGGAGCGGGGAGAGAGAGAGCGAGCGAGCGGGGAGAGAGAAAGAGAGAGCGAGCGGGGAGAGAGAGAGGGAGCGAGCGGGGAGAGAGAGCGGCGGGAAGAGTAGAGAAAGAGATAAGAGAAAGAGAGAGAGAGAGAAAGAGGAGACAATTTTTGGTCCCAGTTTTGGTCCCGAGCTGGGGGTCAGGATCAGGAATGTCATTTGTCACTTTGACCAGGGCTGTTTCTGTGCTGTGGGCGGCACGGAAACCCGATTGGAGGGGTTCGTGAAGGGAGTGGCGGGAGAGGAAGGAGTGAACCTGGGAAGCAACAACACGTTCCAAGACCTTGGAGAGGAAAGCGAGGTTGGAGATGGGGCAGTATTTTGGGAGTAGAGATGGGTCCAGGGAGGGTTTTTTAAGGATAGGAGTGATGACGACTGATTTTACTGCGGTGGGAACAGTACCATAGAACAGGGAGAGGTTTATGCTGTCTGTGAGTAGAGGGGCAGGCAGATGGAGCTGGGAGGTAAGGAGAGGGGTAGGGATGGGGTTGAGGGAGCAGGTGGTAGGTTTCATGCTTTGAGAGAGTGAGACAGGTTCGAAGGTATGGTAGGAGGGATGGGTAGGGGCCGAGGTGGGAGGGGGAGATGCGAAGGGTCTAGTAGACGGAAGTGGCAGAAGCAGCTGAGCGGATCCCCTTGACTTTGAATTCGAGGACATCCAGCATCGCCTCGCAGTTGGCATTTGAGGTGAGGATTGGCGAGGCATGAGAGGGTGGACGGAGGAGCCAGTTTGTGATGGAGCAGCCTGGGGTTGTTCTTGGCCTCCAAGATTGTCTTGGAGTAGAACGACGATTTAGTGGAGGCGAGGGTGAAGCGGTAAGATTTGATAAGGTCCAGCCAGATCTGCCGATGGACCATTAAGTTTGATTTAAGCCAAGTGCATTCAGTGTCACACATCTGTGCTTTAAGAGAGCGAAGGTGGCTGGTATACCATGGGGACTTACGTCAACAGGAGACGGTTCAGGAAGAGAGGGGAGACGCCTAGAAGACGTGAAAAGCGCTATATCAAATGCAAGAATTATTATATATTATCCACCCCTCCTGCTCCTCTCCCCCTGCTCCCTCAGCCTCAGGTTCCGGTACAAACCTATTTTGCCCACGGTGTGGGTTTTGCCCAATCCGACCGTCTGGTATTTGACCATCCACTTCTGGAACAGCTGTTTAAAGATAGCGGATTCCGCGCCCTCATTCTGCGTCTCTACGTTGGTGGACAGCGGATATCCCTTGGCCCGAATGAAGCCCTGAAACAAGACAAACAGGTGACAAGGATAGTGCCTCTGAGACACCTAATCCGCACTGACCAGCTCTGCCCACAGCCTCATTGCCCACACTACCCGCAGCCTCATTGCCCACACTGCCCGCAGCCTCACTGCCCACACTACCCGCAGCCTCATTGCCCACACTGCCCGCAGCCTCACTGCCCACATTGCCCGCAGCCTCACTGCCCACATTGCCCGCAGCCTCACTGCCCAGCGCTCTGGTAATTGATCACACCCACACATACCAGCGCCCTGGTGATTGCCAGCTGCCGTTCCTCCTTAGACGCCAGCTTCCCTTTCCACACGAAGATTTTAATGCCTCCCTGGTCCAGAATGTAACAATCCTGTCACAAAGAGTTAATTATGTTAATATCTGCAGCGATTCCTCCGGCAGCACATCAAATAATAATAATAATAATAATAATCCTTGCATTTGATATAGCGCTTTTCACGTCGGGAGGACGTCCCAAAGCGCTTCACAGAATATACTGTAAAGTGAATTGACTGTATATTTGTGGGCGAACGCGGCAGCCAATTGCGCACAGCAATGTCCCACAAACAGTCGTAGATTGAAAATGACCAATTTATTATTGTTTTGGGTTTTTTGGAGGGATTATTATTAGGCGTGTGGAGTAAGGAAACTTGCCCAAGGTTTCGCCCTGCCTGGAATTGAACTCAGGTCTCTCACTTGCAAAGCGAGTGCTCTAACCACTGAGCTACAGGACTCCTCAAACCGCCCCCTCCCACCCTGCCACCAGGTCACGGGGGACAGGGAGTGGGGTAGTGCGTGAGGATGCAAGGGGGGTGCGAGTGGGGCACGGGTCCAAGGGCGGGAGTGCAGCGGGGACAGTGGGGTCAGGGAATGGCCGAGATCTTACATTGCTGTTCAGAAGATTCTGGGTCAGAGGTCGAGCGGCCACTTCATGCACCATCAGGTTACCATCTGCGTCGGAGACACTGCAGACAGCAACATGTTAGAGGAGCAGCGCACACACAGCCAGTCATCAGGCAGTCACTAGGGTGGTCACTCAATCTGATATAGCACCTCGCTGTCCACTGTAGAGACTATGTGTTTTGTAGGAGACAGCAGCCAGCTTTCACACAGCAATGCTACTGCACTCAGTGGTGAGATGAACGAACCATTAATCTGGGGATTGTGGCCAGGACACCAGGAGAGAGAAACTCCTGCTTTTCTCTCTAACTGCGCTGTGTGATATTTAATGCTCTCCTGAACAGGGCACAGACAAGAGGTTGGTTAACGTCCCATTTAAAGGGGCATCTCCAACATCGCGCACTCCCCCATCACTGCGTTGGAGCATCAGCTTGGATTGTGAGTTTAAGAGTCCCCAAGGTGATAGCGCGCTGCCCTGCCACTCTTGCCGTCCACGGCCACCACCCCCCCGGATCTCCCTCCCTCAGTGATTGCTCCCCAACATGGGACCACAAGCGATGACGTGCCCAAGATTGAGTGATTGATTCCCACTCTGCCCTCCTTCCCCTCCCGCCGACGATGCTCACTGGTAAAGCTTGACGGCGGTTCTCTGGTTACAATCCACCAACTCGTCGGGGATCGGCAGTTTGATCTCACGCCGTTCACCAAGGAGCTGATACATCAGCCTCATCAGCTGTGGTGACGCCGTTTCGTTGTCTCCCTCCACAATGGCGATCTGAGTCCGCCCACCGCGCTCACGGTCACGGATATCCTTCGCCAACTGCATCCCCTGCAACCACAGCACTGTCCCTCAGCACTCGCACAGAACCCCCCCAGCCCCTCCCCATGTACAGACCTCTACCCCACTGGCCCCGCCCTCACACAGACCCCTCCCTCACACTGGCCAACCCCCACACCAGCCCCGACTCTGCACTGGCCCCCCACCCATGCCCAACCCCCACCCTCACACAGGAACCACCCCACACAAGATCCTCCCCCACACACCGACCCCTCCCCCACAGACCTCTACCCCCGCACCGTTCCCCCACCTCACAAAAAACCCTCCCTCATACAGAGCCAGCATCCTGCCACCCACACCAGCCCCTGTCCTCCGCCCCCACACTGGCCCTCGCCCAACCCCATGGACCCCACTAGTCCCGCCCCATATCAGCGCAGCCCACCCCCTGGCCCCTCCCCCACCTTGAGCCGCTCCATGCGGTTGCTGAGGGGGCCGTTCCATTGGACGATCAGTTTGCCAAGATCCAGCAGGAAGACGTCTCCTTTATTGAAGCTCGTCCAGGCCATTTCCACCTGTGACACAAATGTTACACATGTCTGGCCACAAGAACCACGCCACCGCCCCACACACGCCATACGCATGCGCCACACACATGGCCCACCCACCAACACACGCCACAGACACTCCTCGGGCCATCACCACACAGACGCCTGCGCTACCACCACCCACCGCGGAGGTCAGTACCCCCCCCACTCACCTCTCCAGCGTAAACATGTTTCCTTCCCTTCACGTGTAGCAGTCGCTGCACATCATACGTGTTGGTTTCCACATGTTTGAGACCAGAGGCCACGCCCCCACGCTTGTAACTGTGACAACAGGGATGGGTCACTGCAGTGCCCACCCCACCTCAACCCCACAGCCCCTCCCCCACAGCACCACCCCAACCCCACAGCCCCTCCCCCATAGCACCACCCCAACCCCACAGCCCCTCCCCCATAGCACCACCTCAACCGCTCCCCCATAGCACCACCTCAACCGCTCCCCCATAGCACCACCTCAATCGCTCCCCCATAGCACCATCCCAACCCCACAGCCCCTCCCCCATAGCACCACCCCAACCCCACAGCCCCTCCCCCATAGCACCACCTCAACCCCACAGCCCCTCCCCCATAGCACCATCCATTCACTTTACAGTGTGTTCTGTGAAGCGCTTTGGGACGTCCTCCCGCCGTGAAAAGCGCTATATCAAATGCGAGGATTATTATTATTATTATTATCCCAACCCCACAGCCCCTCCCCCACAGCCACACACTCTCACATCAGGCCTTTCTTGAAGAGGCTGCGGAAGCTCTCGGACTCGTGCCTCTGGACCTCGCGGTGCTGCACGGCGGCGCCCTGCAGTGCGTCATCTATCTGTGTGGTGTAGATGGCGGCGGCGCCCTGCTCGTCCTGCGAGGACTGCCTCCCCAACCAGAAATACACGTCATGGCACAGGGAGCGCGCAATCTTCCGTGTCTGTGCGTGAGGGAGAGGGGAGAGGGTTAGTCACACACACAGCCCGGGGGGGGGGGGCGGCGCCCTCACCGGTGACGGTGACAGTTGGCGACGCTCGCGCGGGGGCTCCGGACGCGCATGCTCGGCGCGGGGGCTGCTGGGATGGCGGAGGCAAAAGGCGGGAAAGGTGGTTTCGCGCTCAGGTGAGAGGCCGCGGCCTCGCGGGCGGGACCGGCGCTGTCCCCGGGGCTGTGCGTGTGTGTGTGTGTGTGTGTGTGTGTTGGAGTGGCTCCGCGATGCAGGCGGTGGTGCCCTGGAGCCCTGCAGTCAGGACACCGGTAGCCCTGATGAGCAATACCTGGTGCTCAGTGGCTCTCCAGACCTTCACATGTGTTCTCCGTGTGTGACAGACATTGGCTGATCACAGGGGTACACTTTGCTACGTGTCAGACACCCACTCACCGCTAAGACGATGTAGCAGTCGCCTTCGTAGAAGTTGCCGTACGACGCTTGGGGCACCGGTTCCATCTCCATTTTCTGGGGAGAAAAATAGATCGATAAATCCTAATGTAAACGAGTGTCACCTCCGGGATCGGGGGGCGGACATCCTGCACAGGACCCCACAATCCCACCCCTCCCGTAACTCAGTGCAGTCCCCAAGACTGGGCAGTACATTCCCCCGTCCGGTCAGTGGGACGTCCTCCCAATGGGAAAGGCGCAAGACAAATGTAATTTGTTTTTGTGGCTAGTCGTGGTTAAATTCCACCCATCACTGTAGTGTAGTGACTGTTACGGTGAAGAACACTGCCCCTCCACCCCCCCCCCCGGATGGGGAGGTGTGGTTCGAGCTGGGGCTCAGCTCGGGGCAGGGGAATGAGAGGCAGCGCAGAGGGGCTTCTGTGTGCGCCCCAGGCTGACAACATCCCCACTCCCCCGCCCTGTCTGCTACCCTGGGTAGACAGCGGCATTGGCTGAAAGGCTGGTGGAAGCATATTCAACAATAACTTTCAGAAGGGCGTTGGTAAATACTTGAAAAGGAAGCATTTGGGGCAAGAGCGGCGGAGTGAGATGGGTCGGTAGCTTTTCATAGAGCCGTCAAGATAGGCCAAATGGCCTCTCTCTGTGCTGAATGATTCTATCATTCTATGCAGGACAAATATTCCCCAGTTTATATAATTTCATATATATATAATTTCATATATATATAGTTTATATAATTACAGTTTATATAAAGGGCTGAGGTTTTAAATGAGAGCATCTCCCTCCCCCCCCCCCCCCCCCCCCGGGGTGGTGGTGACCCCTCCCGCCTCCTTGCCTCGATTCTCCATATCCGGACACCGGCTGATGATTGCAGGCTCCTGGCAATTACTGGACTCAGGCAGGGCATCCTCGTCACCTGCCAGGAGAGAGTGCGAGAGAAAAAGTGTGCATGAGAGACAGATTGTGGGAAGGTGTGAGAGAGAGCCCCTTGACCTCTGGCCCCACCACACACAGTGTAAGAAACGCAGATCCATATTGTGTGGGTGGGTGGGGGAAGAGGGAAGGGGAGAGAATGAGAGAGAGAGGGTTGGACAGGGCAGTAGAAGAGGCTAAGTGCAGCGAAGCCCAAGGTGTGTTTTTTGAGCTCAATGAGTGCAAAGGTTAAACACAGGCTGGAGCCACACCCAAACTTAAACACCGACACCACACACTACATACCACACACAGCCCCAGAAACACACACACACTGTAACACAAGCCCAGACACACACACACACAGCATCCCAGGAACACCTACACGCACAGACACACAAAGGTACACACACACAGCCCCAGACACACACATGTACAGCCCCAGGGACATGAATACAATTAAATTTGAAACACTTCACTGTCAATAAACTGAAAATTTGACACATCAAAAATTTCGCCCACAAATATATGGTCAATTCACTTTACAGTATATTCTGTGAAGCGCTTTGAGACGTCTCGAAGACGTGAAAAGCACTATATCAAATGCAGGGATTATTATAAATTTCTCCATTTGATTAGATTTCTGTGTCTCACCATCACACTCAGTGTGTCAGTCTCACAATCACTGTCACACTGTCTTACTGTCACATTAAGACGCTCAGTATCGCACTCGCTGTGTCAGTCTCACACGCACCATCACACTCACTGTCACACTCGGTGTGTCAGTCCCACACTCACTGACATGCTATACAAATGTAATCTTGTCAGCCTTACACTCACTGTCACGCTTAGTGTGTCAGTCTCTCACTCACCATTACGCTTAGTGTGTCAGTCTCTCACTCACCGTTACGCTCAGTGTGTCAGCCTCACACTCACTGTCACGCTCAGTGTGTCAGCCTCACACTCACTGTCACGCTCAGTGTGTCAGCTTCACACTCACCGTCACACTCAGTGTGTCAGTTTCACACCCACTGTAACACTCTTGTGTCAGCCTCACTAACTATCACGCTCTGTGTCAGCCTCACACTCACTGTCACACTCAGTGTGTCAGTCTCACACTCACGCTCAGTGTGTCAGTCTCACACTCACTGTCACGCTCAGTTTGTCAGTCTCACACTCACCGTCACGCTCAGTGTGTCAGTCTCACACTCACCGTCACGCTTAGTGTGTCAGTCTCACACTCACCGTCACGCTCAGTTTGTCAGTCTCACTCACCGTCACGCTCAGTGTGTCAGTCTCACACTCACCGTCACGCTTAGTGTGTCAGTCTCTCACTCATCGTCACGCTCAGTGTGTCAGTCTCACACTCACCGTCACGCTCAGTGTGTCAGTCTCGCACTCACCGTCACGCTCAGTGTGTCAGTCTCACACTCACCGTCACGCTCAGTGTGTCAGTCTCGCACTCACTGTCACTCTCAGTGTGTCAGTCTCACACTCACCGTCACGCTCGCTGTGTTAGTCTGATGTGCTCCCGGGAGCTCTCTTCCCTCGCTCGCTCTGCAACTCCCTGCGAGAGATCGAGTTGATTCCTGACGCTGCAAATACGTGAACTTCGCCCTTGGACTTTGTGTAAAGATTCACAAATTACCAGCACGGCTAATCAGCTGGCAGCGCACCCAGAGTCATCTGGCACGTCACCCCCTCCCCCACCATCATATTGCATCTTCCTTCCTCACCAACTCCAAGCACCCACCAACATCGCCCCCTCCCAAACACACTCACACCATGTAACCATGTGTAATCCCATCTTTCTATCTGACACGTCTCCTATGGCACATGAATCCTGGGGCCTGGGCGATGTGTGAGGGTCAGGGTGTGTGTGGTGGGGAAGGGTGAGAAGTGAGGGTCAGGGTGTATGTGTGGGGGGTTTGAGGAGTGAGGGTCAGGGTGGAAGGGTGAGCAGTGTCTCATCACAATGAAACAGCAGAACCTTTGAACAAGAAACGCCTTTGCAGACTTGCAGAGGCTCAGAAGCAGCAGCTCGGGCTCTACCAGTGCTGGTCTAGTGACTGTTTTGGGGGTGACGCAGCCACCAGTTTGCGCACAGCAACGTCCACAAACAGCCATGAAGGAGTGAGTGATTTTATCGGGGTAATATCAGCAGGAGACCAAGTGAGAGTCTCTTTCCCTGACATCTGCCTGAACAGGGCTCTGGCTGGGAGTGAGGTGTAATGTCTCATCAGGACAGCATCTCCGACGTTAAAGTGCTACCAACTGAGCCGGGCTTCACCTGAATTTCCCCAAAATGTTAAACCATCAAATCTTTCATTAAAATAAACCCAGTTTTTATTGTCCTGCACAGTTCATAAAGCAGAAGCTTCACTTTCCATCCATTCCCCCTACCCCCCGCCCCCCCGATTTTCTCTCTCCTTCTGCTCATTCTCTATCCATCCATCTTCCCTTATTTTCTCTCTCTGATATTGATCAGACTCTGTCGAGCTTGGAATCAGGAAGTCATTTGATGCCCTCGCAATGCGCTGAGTAGAAGTTTTTTTTAAAACTTGCTTCAATTAGTTCCTGGCTCCAGTCCAAAACATACAACTCAACACTCGCACTTTACCCGAGGAAGTGATTACAGTAGAATAAGAAAATAGACCTTGGAACGGCTGAGAGAAGAGCTGGGTGGAGGATAGACAAAGGAGAGAGGCAGAAAGAAACAGAAATTTATGGCACAGAAGGCGGCCATTTAGCCCATCATGTCTGTGCCACTCCATCTAGAGCAATCCTTTAAGTCCCTTTTTCCTGTCCTTTGCCCCCTCATGACCCCCTTAATTCCCCTCACATTCTCTTGTGACAGAGAAAGTTCTGTGTGTGTGGGGGGGGAGGAAGTATGTGTACATGTGTGTGGGGGAGAGTGCCCCCTGCGGGGCAGTGTGTGGGGGGGAAACGTGTCAGGGAGGGCAGTTTGACAATACAGCAGTTACCGTGGTGACAAGAGACATGGGCCTCATGGACCATTTTTACACTTTAAACATCCTAAACTGCTGTTCACATCCTCCCCCACACCAAACCCCACCCGCCCATCATCTCAGTCCTCAGTGGCTCCCAGCAGATCTCACCCTTCAACCTGCCACCTCCTTATCCAACCCTGCTCCTGAGTTAGCGAGTGTGAGGAAGTGAGCAAGCGTGTGGGAGAAAGCATGAGAAAGTGTATGAGTGAGTGCGACTGAGCATGTGAGCGTGTGTATGTGTGAATCACTAGCTTCAGAAGAAAAGGCGACGTGGAGTGTCTTTCTGTATGATATTGGTAACTGCAGCCGCAGTTCAGCAACACAGTGAGATGCATCCACACCTCCTCAACCACCACCCCGTCCCCCCACAATCACACATAGCAAAGTGTCACTGCAGCCTGGCACGGCAACAACTGTAGATAATTTATAAACATCATGCTGTGTCCTAGCAAGGGCCAGCGGTGGCAAGGGCAGGGCCCCGGTGAGGCACTAGCTGTCCTGGTGTTGTTGCAGGACTTGGTAAATGTCGTCAGTGACGGCGAGTTTCTCGAGCAAAGGGAGAATGTCCAGGAGCTCAGTGTCATACATGTCATCAAACCAGGAAGTGACGGGAATCTGGAGAAGGAGAAAGTATAAGAGCAGCAGAGATGTCCACACCCATATATGAACAATCCCCCCCCACCGTGCTGCTCCCACTGTGGCCCTCCCCACCCAATGGAGAGTTGGAGGTTGGTGAGGTCGGGACACGACAGTTGTATGTAGTGACGTGTGGTTAAATGTGGTAAAGCGCAGGGACGTGTTTACATTTGTGACGTGCGGTTACACGTGGCGAAGCGCAGTAACGTACAGCGTTGTTCGGGTGGAAGATATAGGACAATGGGGAATTGTCGATAATGATGACACGGTTTAGATTGCGGCCCAGCAGGCTCAGGTCCTTTACGTAGCTGCCCTGGTGATACACACAGGCCTCCCGGAACAGCCGGCTGCGGAAAGTGTTCCATTTGTCCAGCACATCCACCACAGGGTCACCGTACTGCAGAGCAATGGCAAACAGGTTAGTCTGAGGGTGAGCGATGAGGCTAAGGTGGGAATGTGGAAGTGTAGGTGAGTGTCAGGGGTGGGGTGTATGGGAACGTACCTTGGCGAGGCTAGCAGTGAACAGGATACACTCAAACAGCTGCCCCACTCGTTTTAAGAACTCATCCACGTGCGGCCGCTTCAGCACATACACCTGTAACACATGACAGTGCTGTGACACACTCATCACCTGTAACACACCAGTGCACGGAAAGGGTTCTGTCCATTGAGATTAAGTAAAGGGGAGTGAGGAGGCTGGGTTCATTGGGACTATCCTCGGTGGGGGTGGGGGAGGAGGAGGGGGGCAGCGAGATCTCCTCTGGGTTCAATTGGCTCCAAGGTGACATGTTTGGCAACGGAATGTTGGAATCGAGCCAGTCCTCTGTGTCTGGTTTCTGAGTAAGATGGGTCCGCAGGACTGTTGATGACAACCCAGCCTGACTCATAGGCAGGATCTGGAAGGACAGACCAGTCACTGCGGGCAGGGAGTCATCATTATCCTACTTAGCTCTTGTTAACTGTGCAAGCCAAAGCCCTAATAGGTAGGGTGGTCCTAGTTGTTAGGACACTGGGCTCAGACTCACACCAGCACTCGCTCAGAAACTGTACCCTTGCTGGGACTGGGGGCACAATGGAACAAGCTCCACTACAGGGCTACGGCTGCAGGACATCAGGCATATTTGTATGTGCTGGAGGGAAAGGGAGGCTGCGGCTGTGGAGCTGAGATTGATCGTCTCTTACCAAGTGTATAGTGTTGTTGATCTTTATGGGAACAATGAAATCTGCATTGCTCAAAGGCTGCAGGACAGAAAGAACAAAGCAGTCAACAAACTCTAACCCTGACCTGGGAGTGTGGACGCACAGTGTAGAGGGAGCGTTACTGTGTCTCTAACCCTGACCTGGGAGTGTGGACACACAGTGTAGAGGAGCTTTACTGTGTCTCTAACCCTGACCTGGGAGTGTGGACACACAGTGTAGAGGAGCTTTACTGTGTCTCTAACCCTGACCTGGGAGTGTGGACACACAGTGTAGAGGAGCTTTATTGTGTCTCTAACCCTGACCTGGGAGTGTGGACACACAGTGTAGAGGAGCTTTACTGTGTCTCTAACCCTGACCTGGGAGTGTGGACGGACAGTGCAGAGGAGCTTTATTGTGTCTCTAACCCTGACCTGGGAGTGTGGACGGACAGTGCAGAGGAGCTTTATTGTGTCTCTAACCCTGACCCGGGAGTGTGGACGGACAGTGCAGAGGAGCTTTACTGTGTCTCTAACCCTGACCCGGGAGTGTGGACGGACAGTGCAGAGGGAGCTTTTCTCTGTTGCTGACTTGCAAATGCTTACCATAAATGAACTATGTACTAAAGTCTCATCTAAATCTATCACCAGACATTTCTTTTCACGATCTTGAAACTTCTTGTTTGGGAGTAGCTTTCTGACTGGCTGCAGAGAGGGAAAACCTGCATCAGGTACACAGGAATCAGCTCCTCACCCCCAGTAAACACCTGAATTGAGCGCCCCCCCCCCCCCGGGGGCAAACAGCAGGAACCAGACCCTTTACAGTGTATCCTGTGAAGTGCTTTGAGACGTGAAAGGTGCTCCACACAGTGCAGCTCCGCCACCTGCTGACAGAGGGCGGTACTGTAGGAAATCACCGGAGACAGAAAGTCAGGTCCAGAGTTCACGTGGAAATTACTGATAAACACAGAGACACACAGACAACCCCGTCCCCCAGGTCCGCTGGACCCTGCCTGGCCCAATGGAAGCGTAGCATTGATACTAACCAACTTATCAGCATCTTTACAGTAGAAACAACAGAGTAGATTATAAAGGATTCCACGACGCGGCAGGTTTGGGCTGTACTGGAACTGAGCACCTGATGAAGAGAGAGAGAGGGCTGAGAGTGATCTGTGGTCGCAGCTATTGCCAAGAGTGCCGTTTGGCACAGTTGCTGCACTGATTGAGCCTCAGACCAGGAGATTCCTCCCAAGTCCTGGAGCCCACTTCCTGCACAGAAGACGTTTCACACACTTTCCCCTGTTGTTCCGGTTATATTTGCATTGGTCCCAGTTGCACTTTCGGGATGGAGTAAGTTGTGGTCAACTACTGCTTTTCTCTATATAAATGATCTGGATTCTGGTATTAAGGGCACCATTTATAAGTTAGCAGATGACATAAAAGGGAGTGCAGCTAACAATGCAAATGAAGCAAGTGTAGCTAACAAAATGATGATTGTAAGCAACTTTAGGGATACATGAGCTGATTGGGCGGAGAGATGGCAAATTAAATTTAATGCAGACAAATGTGCGAGTGGAAAAGCAAAGGGACCCGGTAATTAATGTACATAAATCCTTAATGGTGGGAAGGCGGGTGAACAAAGCTGTCAAAAAAACTAATGGGATCCTGGACTATAAATACGGGTAAAGAATATAAAAGCAAAGAGGCAATGCTAAACCTATATAAATCACTAGTTAGACCACAGCTGGTATATCATGTCCAGTATTGGTCACCCCACTTTAGGAAAAACCTGAAGGCTATAGGGGGGCGCAGAGGAGATGTACTGAGATGATCCGGGGAATCGGTGGTTTGGCCAATTGGGCTTCTGTGTGTAAACTTCTGTGGTTTTAAGGTTATTAGTTACATTATTACTGGTTATACTTTTACCTGTGGTTCCATTACTAGTTACAAATTACATGTGTTCCCATTTCTAGTTACACTGTTTTCCAGTGGTTCCATTACTAGTTGCACCAGTTATCCTGTGGATATCTTATTAGTTCAACTAGTTACCGCGTTGTTTCATTGCGAGTTATACACGTTTTCTGTGGTTCTATTACTGGTTACATTGGATATCCTGTGATCCCATGCCTAGTTACACTAGTTACCTTGCTCCAGGCGCAACGCCTCCCCCTCTTTAGTGACCTGGGTGGAGATGGACGAGATGTCCATGAGGCGGTCGCTGTCCCGGGCTGAGCGGCTGGGGCGCGGTTAGCTCACCGCATGGACTCGACTCTTGCTCAAGGTCCGGCCCCGGGAAGCGCTCAGCCCACGCCCCCCCCCCCAGCTCCGGGAGGGCTCCGGGCCGGGCCTCTCCCTCCCTCCCTCCCTCCCTCCCTCCCTCCCTCCCGCTGCGCTGTGGGTCGGGCCCGGGGCAGCTCTGAGCCGGTGGCGACCTGCACTTGCGCTCAGTTCATGCGCTGCTGAAGCTGAAGAGCCGCGATGGTGAGGGAGCGGCTCAGCTTCATCCATTGTGACGCTCTCACAAACAGCAGCAGATAAAGCTGCTAACACTGCCCCAGAGTAAACCTCATCAGCCCCGTCCCAACCTCAGCACCAGAGCACAGAGAAAGCTGCCAACGCCAGGCAGCCTGACCCTCAACACCAACCTTAGCCCCAACATCAGCCCCACAGTCCCAACCTCAGCACCAGAGCGCAGGTAAAGGTACCAACATTAGCCAACCTCAACCCTATAGCCCCAACGTCAGCCCCAGCACCAAAACTGGTCCGGTAGCCAATAGCCCCAACCTCAGTACCAGGACACAGATGAAGCTGCCAGTCCAGCCCCAGAGTCAACCTCTTACCCCCATAGTCCCAGCAACCAAGTGTAGCTCCGTAGCCAATAGCCCCAGAGCCATAGCCCCAGCTCCACGATCGGCCCCAGTATCAAAGCACACATAAAAGTTGCCAACCCCAGGGTCAAGCCCAGTCTATAGCGGGTTGGGCTCCGTGGGTTGGGGGCGGGGCTCTGTGGGTTGGGGGCTGAGCTCTGGTGGATTGGAGGCTGGGACAGGGACAGGGACGGAGCGACACGGGGACAGCAATGGCTCAGCCTCCAGCCGCCGCAAACAGCATATGGGGAACAAATCCAATAAGTTACAGAAACGCTGAATAATAAGAAAAGAAACCGGCGGTGGAGAGTTGCCGTCAGCCCCCGCAGGCTGGAGAGCTGAGCCGCTGTGTAATCCCTCCCCGGGAATCTGTCCTCAGCTCTGTCACCGCTATTCCTGGCCCCAGTCACTCACTCCTGTCCTCTGCTGCAAAACGTTGGCTTTTGCGTTTCGAATCCTTTTACGCTTTTCCAGTCTGTTCCCTTAGCGGATTATTGAGGTTTATGTTATCTCTCCTCCTCTGCCCTCCCCGCCGCCAGATCAAAGTTTCAAACCTTCTCCAAACTTTGATCAGCTGCTTGTTTAGTCCTGTTCCCTGAGGGCTGAGTGTGGAGATCCGGGCGCCATGCACAGAGCAGAGGCACGAGTGACCCTCAGGAAGGGCAGTGAGGAGGTGGGCAGAGGGCCTGGCAGCCTGGCAATGCCCAAACCCCCTCCGGAGAGGCCCAGGGGGCAGGCGATGGCAGAACTCTTCCAGCCACCAACCTTCCTGAGGAAGATGAAGAACGCAGCCATTGGCACAGGCTGTGACATCAGGCTGAAGGTGGCGGTGACTGGCAGCCCCACGCCAGCCCTCAGCTGGTTCAAGAACAAGTGGCCGGTGGGGCAGGAGTGTGAAGAGTACGGAGCGCTGTGGATCCGGGATTGCAAGCCTGCTGATGCCGGAGTCTATACCTGCATCGCCCGCAACCGACTGGGGGAAGCCCGCAGCTCGGCTGTGCTGGCTGTCCTGGACCTGGAAGGTGGGTCACGGTTTTGGGGGGTGGCAGCAGAGAAGTGAAAGGTGTGACACGGTCTGGTGGGGGCTGCGGAGAAGATGCGGGGGTGCAGGATGTCTAACTCCTAAATAGAGCTGATTAATGTCCTGGCATCACTCCCACAGGTGTGATGGTTCACGCAGGATTGAGTAAATGGTGTGTGTTGTCATGTGTCACTGTCTGTCATGGAGGATTGGGTGCATCACTGTGTTTAAGGGGGTTCTGTGCAACACTCTGGGATGCATCCCTCCAGGGAGAGTGCAGTCCAACCCAACAAATATCTCTGGAATTTCCATGTGTAGGTGGGATGCATGGAGTTCTGTGTGGTTTGGAGGTGCTTAAGCATGGTGATGGGTTTCCATGAGTCAGACACCCGGCTGGCCAAAAAGGAATGGTGCGAGTGTTCACAGATGTGAAGATGCCCAGGTGTAGGTTACAGCTGCTTTCTGTGTGTGTCCTGTGCACTGTCAATGCACTTTACAGGATATACTGTTAAGTGTAGTTACTGTGCATTTGTAGGTGAATGCAGCAGACAATTTGTGTACAGCAATGTTCCACACACAGCAATGACGTGAATGATCCATTTTATTTAGAGGATTGTTGGCTGGGGCCCTGGAGAGACTGCCTTCTCTTTTTGATTACTGCTGCAGGATCTTTCATGTCCATCCGAACAGGAACAGACAGGACATCAGTTTAACATCTCTTCCAAAGGATGGCAACTCCGACAGTGCAGTGCTCCCCCAGCATTGCACTGAAGCGCCAGCCTAGACTGAGTTCAAACATCCCAGCATGGACTTGAATCCACAAACTTATGATTCAGAGGCAAGAGTGCTATCAACTGAGCACACCTACTCTCTCAGACACACACCCATTCACACACATACACAGTCTATCTCAGACACACTCATTCACACTTACTCTGAGACTCTGGTTGAATCAGAAGGTGTTGCAGAGGCAGGGACAGTGTGTCTTGCACCTGTTGCAGCCACATGCACGCTGGTTCTGCTATTCTTAGTGTGGAATCTGCCAATCTTTAGATTCTAAGTGCGTAAGTGGAGCAGGGCTCGGGTTACTGAACGTACCTTTACACTGAGGCATCGAGAGTCCTTTTAGCAGAATCTCTTCTCCACGTTGCCAGCCTTGGGCCGCAGTTAAGCACTGTAAAGCGCTCCGAGACCCCGCCTGTTTGAAGGGCACTACTTAAGCACAAGCTATTGTTCTACAACTAATGATCTCTTTACTCTTCACCCTCTCCACTGTATCCCCTATACACTCTGTCCCTCTAATCTGTCTCTCTCTCTTCACATCCACAGATGACATCTTGGCTCATTTGGTAACAGAAATTACTATGTATTATAGAGAATCGCAGCCCGTGTGTGTTATAGAGNTTTTTTTTGTGTTAACCAGCCGGATGGCTGATACATGCGGAAACCTATCACCGTGCTTAAGAGTATCCAAACCAAGCTGAGATTTCCATGCATTCCTACACATGGAAATCCCAGAGTAAGATTGTTGGAATGGAATGCGCTTTCTCTCCCTGGAGAGAGGTAGGTGCAGGTTGGCGAGAGCCAACGTTTGGGGAGAGCCCATGAGTGTGCATTCGGGTAACTGCTGAAGTCTAACCAGCTAAAACCACACAGCTTGCCATTGAGAGCGCTGTCTGGCGCTGTCCCGCTGCTTGTCCAGCTAGGACCACTTTACCTGTTAGGGCTTTGGCTGCAGGGTTAACAGGAGCTGAGTGGGAGGATTCCCTGCCCCCAGACTGTTCGGCCCTTCCAAGTCCTGCACATGATCCAGGCCGGGCTGTGCTGTCATCAGCAGTGAGTGCCCTGAGATACTAGTATATCAAATAGCAGCCTCTGTGTGTATTATGCAGAATAGCAGCCCCTATGTGTATTGTAGAGAATAGCAACCCCTGTGTGTGTGTGTTATACGGAATAGCAGCCTATAAATTCCCTGGGGATGATGTGGAGAGCGTCTGTCCTGTGTCAGACGGGCAGTTTGGGGATTGTGGCCACAGTTACTCCTCATTCTGAGAAGCAGATACAGAGACTCAATCCAGGCGCTCAGCACCGAGAATTCCCTGCAGGCGCCTGGAATCTGTGCCATCCTCTGATGTGTGAGTGTGTGTGTTGGTGGGGGGGGGGTGGGTGGTAGGAGTGGCTGGGCTGTGTGTGTGGATGGGATGGGGGTAGGAATGGCTGGTACGGGAATGGCTGGGCTCTGTGTGGGTTGGGGTAGGAGTGGCTGGGCTGTGTGGGGGGGGGGGGGGGGAGTGGCTGGGCCTTGTGAGCGGGGTGGGTAGTGGCTGGGCTGTGTGGGGGTGGAGTGGTTGAGCTGTGTATGTGTGTGGCGGGGGCGAGTGGCTGGGCTGTGTGTGGCCGTGACGAGTGACTAGGTGGTGGGAGAGTGGCTGGGCTGTGTGTGTGGGGGAGAGTGGCTGGGCTGTGTGGGGAGGGGGAGTGGCTGGGCTGTGTGTGGGGAGGGGAGTGGCAGGGCTGTGTGTGGGGAGGGGGAGTGGCTGGGCTGTGTGTGGGGAGGGGAGTGGCTGGGCTATGTGTGGGGGGGTAGTGGCTATCTGTGTGTGTGTGTGTGTTGAGGGTGGGTGGTGGTGGGTTCTGAAGAGACAGTGGCAGAGCTGGCGGAGAGGAAGGTGACAGGGCAGTGCTAGTTAGTGCCACACTTTCACTGTGAGTGTTGGTGATGGTTGGGGATGGAATTGAAGCCAGGGACACACTGCAGTCTGGGGATGTTCGAGTTCTGCCAGAAGAAAAAAAAACCTGTTGATGCTTGGAGGAGGAATCCGTCTGTCAGCTGCTGACGCCAGAGGCAGGTTTCATGTTGTCTTGTTTAATGGAGCCGAGACGGTAGGGACTTGCTGAGAGTCCTACAAAGCGAGGCAAAGAGAGCAAGGAGCTGGCAGAGATTGGCACAGTGACTGAGAGGAACTTGGAGTGACTGGAAGAAAAAGTGAAATACTTTAAAAGTCTTGCAAAAGCAAAATAAGAGTAAGAGTTACTCACCAGCCAGGGAGCAGTCTTCATAATTTGGTTTGCCGACAACAGAGTGAGGTAAGGCTCCCTGTATGCTCACCTCAAACAAACCATTGCACATTCCCTCCCTGCTGTGTTGTGATTATGTGCTGATTAATGACCAGAAACATCCTTGTGTCAATTTAACTATCGTCTTGATGAAATATTCTGCTGAGTGCTATCTGAAAATGGGGTGTGGGATCTGGCAAAGGGGTGGAGCGCGTGGGTCCACGGTGCTAAATCTGTATCTTGGGTTTGTTGGGTGTTGGAGAGAAGAGACAGTTAATTAACCCCCTGATGGTCCAAACCTACAAATAGATTGTTGGAACACACACTGTGGCCAATCGTCCTCCAAGTATAGATCTGAACAACATCTATTGGCATCTCACCAAGGGGCTGCCTAAGCAGTAGCATCTGGAGCCATTTGCACTAAGGAAGGAGTAAAGACAGAAGGATTTTACATTTTATAGTGTTTTATCATGTTAAAATGATATGCTTCAGAAATAATCCTTGCATTTGATACATTGCCAATAAGACTGAAACATCTCAAAGCACTTCATAGCAGCCATTCTGCACACAGCCATGAAGCAACTGACCAATTTCTCTGAGGATTGTTGCCCAGGACACCAGGAGAAACTTCTTTCGCTTTTCCAATAGTATAACAAATTCTTTTAACTCCTCTCAGAACCGGCTAAACAGGAGCTTACTTTAACATCTCAACTGAAGGACATTGACTCTTAAGAAATGCAGATCCCTTCTCCCCTCAGACTGTATTGAAGCATCAGCCTCAAGTCCCTCAAGTAGAGCTTGTAGGCAACACTCTCTGAGTTAACCAAGGCCGGTTGGTGAATGGTGTGTCCTCAATCTTCAATAATAATCCTTATATTTGATACCACACATTATCACGTAATCAAAAAGTCTCAAAGCCTTTCACAGGATTTTACTGCGAAGTATAGTAACTGTGTTTGTTGGTGCACACAGCAGGT